CATGTTCAGTTACGTGAGTTATATCAAGGACCTTGAAGGACAAACAGTGTGCTGCTCAGATCTAAAACTAAGAATCAATTTCAAATTTGAATCGTTAGACCTACATAGAATATGAATCTATGGAAAGTCTGGATATTGTTTTCAACATTAATAACTGGAACGCGATATATTTTTGTAATTCATCGACTATCTCAATGAAGACGAGAGAGGCAGATGAACAACAATTCTCTCTGCAATGAAGAACACTGTATATACCTAACCCTAAATTGGATGCGCAGTGTTGAAAAAAAGTGGTTTGTTTTGCCTGAGGACGGATCTGGATTCTGAATTCGATTTCTATTTAGTTTTGATGAGTGATATGAGTTACGTTCTGTATCACTGTTATTGAAGATGGTAAATTCTTGAAAGATACAGTTTCGAACAGGAAGCACGAAAATCAGAAGAAAGTATTCCTTGATCGGAGAAAATACAGCAAACGGTACGAAACATACAGGATATGTCACGATGAGCATACACTATTTCTTTATGGAGAATCAGTCGTGGGAAATCCATGAAAATATGTATGTGATCAGAATTCTGAATCTTGAACCACCCTGTATCTGTTTCGATAAAATATCAGTGAAATTTTGGAACAAAAGTTGAGATAGGGACATGTGAGCCGTTTTGACCGATAATGAATATTTTCGACAAAAAAAATCCTAAAGTTGAAAAATATAGATTTTGAGCACCCTATATCTCTGTAACTCTTTTCGATAGACCCCAAGTATGATATATCGATGAAATCAGCTTTTCAGGGAGAATCTTAATATGCGATAAAAAACAGGGTGTTCTGTTCGAAATATCAATGTTGCTACTACTTTCTAGTAGAAGCGGTAACACTGCATTGTCGAACATATTTTAAATGAAAAGAGCGTATACCAAAATATGAGTATGCACATTTTCATGGATTTCTCCCGACTGATTCTCGATTTAAAGATAGTGTAACCTCATCGTGACATACCCTGTATAGGGTAATGAAATTAAATGAATACAGAGAAATATGAGGAAAAATTGAGCGAATTTTTCTGCACTCACCAGCGTGATAAAAGTTATGCTTTGATGAAACAACACGAAACACTAGAACAACACAAAATACCGATATTATTATTATTGAATCGAATGAGGAATACAAAAACACTATATACGAATCAATATGATCACTCAGTTTTTAGGGAACACTCAGTTCGGAACGATACATAATTCCTTTCGCCTATTTTCGATGTCGATCACAAAATTCGACCGTATGTGATGACATCGAATATAAGACTGTCTTGATTTACCACCTGGTCCCGAATGAATGACTAATGAGTTGAATCATGCTAACCGATTAATTTCCGAACAAATGATTTATCTATGACTAGTGATGATAATGGAATTATACAGGGGGAAATCTATGAAAAAAAATATAATATACAAAATATAAGATGAAGTATTGAACACGGATATACTGACAGTTTTATTTTCTAATGATTGAACACAGGCTGAAAATATAATCTTTCCTAAAATGTCTAGATTTGTTTCGATAACTGGAAAGAGTAGAAAAATAATGAACAATGTGGCCTACTTTTTATAAGCGCACATCAAATTTGACATTTGTGTGTTTGAAAATGTAATGAGCACACGAAAATAACTGAAATAATTGACAATCTATTCTATGGAACAAAATCCATCGATAATTCAGCTCTAATTAAGTTGAAATTTGAGAACTGGTTAGTTATTTTCAATAAAATTGGATTTCGAATTACGAGTTCAATTAAAAATTTTATTCTTCAAATTAGATGCGCACTGTTAAAAAGTAGACCATTTCATTGATTTTTCCTGCTCCTTGCAGATATCAGAACATTTCTACAAAATTCTAATATAGAGAGTGTTGTTATTGAGAAAGATGAAGTTTTCTGTTTTGCCTGAAGACGGATCTGGATTCTGAATTCGATTTCTATTTAGTTTTGATGAGTGATATGAGTTGAATATACCTACCAAGTATGAATCGATTATACACAGTGGTTCAAATGTTATGACCTGACCATAGATTAAGATTTTGCCAAAATCAAGATTACGTTCTGTATCACAATTATTGAAGTAGGTAAATTCTTAAAAAATACAGTTCCGAACAGAAAGCACGAAAATCAGAAGAAAGTATTTCTTGATCGGAAAAAATACAACAAACGGTACGAAACATACAGGGTATGTCACCACGAGCTTAGACTATCTCTTTATCGAGAATCAGTCGGGAGAAATCCATGAAAAAATGCATGTGATCAGAATTCTGAATCTTGAGCCACCCTGTATCTGTTACGATTAAATATTAGTGAAATAGTGGAACAAAAGTTGAGATAGGGACATGTGAGCCGTTTTGACCGATAATGAATATTTTCGACAAAAAAATCGTAAAGTTGAATAATGTCGATTTTGAACACCCTATATCTCTGTAACCATTTTCGATGGACCTCAAGTATGATGTATCAATGAAATCAGCCCTTCAGGGAGAATCTTAAAATGCGATGAAATACAGGGAATTCTGTTCGAAATATCAATGATGCTACTACTTTCTAGTAGAAGCGGTAACACTGCATTGTCGAACATACCGGGTGACCAGTTATATCGTTGTGCAGTTTGGACTAGTCTATTTTGATATTTTTCAAGTTTTTTTTGACAGGTTCACCTTCTCTCTTGAACTTCCGGTTCTACCGGAAACAAACTAGCCATTATTCAGGTATAGGGCAACTTTTTTATTTCATCGAATCACCCTGTATATTTTCACACATTCAGAAAGACTGGTATTTTCTCTTTTTAACAATGTATAACAAGTTATGTTTTCTTAGAAAACTATCAGAGTTATAACTGTTTGAAACAACTACTGCATGTGGAATGGTTTAATGAGATTTTGCAATGTAATCAAAGTCGTCTTTGGAAATCCTGATCACAACACATGAAATGTCAGATTAGATGTGTCAAATAAAGATTGTCGAGCATTTGTACTTCCTTCGAGTTGAAAAAATGTTCACTTAGACTGAAAAAGCAAATGAACTCATCATAAATCTGCATCAGATTTATACTCAATATATACGGTAATTCAGCATTTCAGGATAACATCCTAATATGCAGTAGATGCTTCAAAGAGTTATAACTCTGATAGTTTTTTAAGAAAACATAATTTGTTATACATTGTTAGGAAGAGAAAAAACCAGTCTTTCTGAATGTGCAGAAATATACAGGGTGCTTCGATGAAATAAAAAAGTTGCCCTATACCTGAATAATGGCTAGTTTGTTTCCGGTAGAACCGGAAGTTCAAGAAAGAAGGTGAACCTGTCAAAAAAACTTGAAAAATATCAAAATAGACTAGTCCAAACTGAACAACGATAACTTGAATGGTTTCAGAGATATAAGCATTTGAAATGGGTCAGAATACAACTGGTCACCCGGTATTTTAAATAAGAAGAGCGTATACCAAAATATAAGTATGCACATTTTCATGGAATTCTCCCGACTGATTCTCGATTTAAAAATAGTGTAAGCTCGTCGTGACATACCCTGTATAGGATAATGAAGTTGAATGAATACAGGAAAATATGAAGAAAAATTGAGAGAATTTCTCTGTACTTACCAGCGTGAAAAAAGTGATGCTTTGATGAAACAACACGAAACACTAGAACAACACAAAATACCGATATTATTGTTATTGAATCGAATGAAGAATACGAAAACACTATAATTATACAAATCAATACGATCACTCAGTTTTTAGGGAACACTCAGTATGGAACGATAAATAATTCCTTTCGCGTATTTTTCGATGTCGATCACAAAATTCGTCCGTACGTGATGACATCTAATATAAGACTGTCTCGATTTACCACCTGGTCCCGAATGAATGACTAATAAGTTGAATCATGCTAACCGATTAATTTATCTATGACGAGAGATGATAATGGAATTATACAGGAGGAAATCTATGAAAAGAAATATAATATACAAAATATAAGATGAAGTATTGAACACGGATATACTGACAGTTTAATTTTCTAATGATTGAACAGAGGCTGAAAATATAATCTTTCCAAAAATATCTAGATATGTTTTGATAATTGGAAAGGGTAGAAAAATAATGAACAAATGTGGCCTACTTTTCATAAGGCACATCAAATTTGACATTTGTGTGTGTGAAAATGTAATGAGCACACGAAAATAACTGAAATAATTGACAATCTATTCTATGGAACAAAATCCATCGATAGTTCACCTAATTCAGCTCTAATTAAGTTGAAATTTGAGAACTGGTTAGTTTTTTTCAATAAAATTGGATTTCGAATTGGAGTTCAATTAAACATTTTATTCTTCAAATTAGATGCGCACTGTTGAAAAGTAGACCAATTCATTGATTTTTCCTGCTCCTTGCAGATATCAGAACATATCTACAAAATTCTAATATAGAGAGTGTTGTTCGCAATTACTTGAAATCAAATCACAGAATTAGACTGACAGGAGTGACATCAGATATTTGATTACTTCAAAAGAATGATAAAGATGCTTACAACGCAGGTGTCCCTACTGTTAAAAACTTGAAATTTCACGTCGATAATTTTCAGATTCAAAAATATTAGATTTTAGCTCACGGTTTTTTGTCTCCTCCGCTACGCGTCGGGAGAAAACACAACCTGGAGCTAGAATCTACTACTTTTTTCCCTTGTATAATAAATAACTATTGTTTTCCTGATAGTTGTTTGTTTCTGTTGATAGAAGTGTCCAATCTGCTAACTTTTCAATTTATCAAAAAATGATCTTTTCAACGATGAAATAAATCCTCTTTCTATCTCTTTTTCTCATTCTTCATGTTGCTTCATAATGTGAAATAAACATCATTAGTATGTACTATTGTATCAATATATACAAGAATAATTTATTAAATAAAATCTCGAAATAAATAACAAAAACAATCATCTTTTGTACAATCCTATGTTCACTCAAGGGTTGTTGGTGGAGGTAGCAGCCGGAGTACCTGGATAGTACCCGGAGTACGCCATGCTCTGGGCATCACTGTTTCCATTCCACACGCGTTGGTAGGGACCACCCTGGTTAGGTTCCCACCCTGGTTCGTAGGAACTGGGTGGAGCTGTGGAAGGTCCTGGTACTCCGTAAAGTGGTGCAGGCGGTTCTAGTGGCATCATTGACATTGGCATCGGCATACCTAAAACCAAAATATCTCATAAAATGTATGGAAAACATTGTTGCCCATGAGATATTGCCACGATAGGAAGCAAACATATTTTATCATAGCTACTATATTTCAAATTATATTGATTCAAGAAAAGAAATCATTAATAAGGTTCATTATTCATCTCATCGTATAACATTCGATTATAGGAAACGCGTATATTGTTTCACTCAACGAAATACTCGCATATGGAGTAAAACGCTGACTATGTCAAAATATTCTAAATACATATCGAACAGCCGATAAGGCAGGGGACAGTTTGGATCTGATCAGCCAGCAGTCACTACTCACTATGGTTCATCCCCTGCGTCTTCTAGAGATAATTTTGTAAGTACTAACATATCCATCTTCATGGTACCAAGTCATGAAATGATTTTTTGTATTGCTAGGTCAGATGTACGTTTGTTTTGAGCCTCGTTTACCTGAACCACTAATGAAACTATTTTTTCGTTGAATAAATTGTAGCTGTTTTCATTTCTCGGCCTTCCAAGCGAGTTCATCACCCTGTAGCCATGGGGTCGTGACAATATGATCAGATAGAAACTGTTCTGGAGAACTTTTAAAATTGCTGTTTGTTCCATACCTGATTTGCCTAAGAATTGGTAAACAATGAATCCGAGTACGATGACAATAGCTAGTTTGCTGAGGATCAAAGCTTTGGTGGCTTTGAGACCAATCAGAGCCACGAACAGAGGCATCAACAGCTTCATCTTGAGTTTCAATAACAAGAGTACCGGGAAAAGTAGTTTCTTCTTCAATCCTAGACCCCTAGCTGAAACCCAAAAGATCATAGCGACGACTAAATGGAAAGCGTTGCTTCAGTATACTCACATTCTTCTTCGGTTTCTTTAGTCAGGATGTCCAGACCAGACTTCGGGTTGTAAATGACTTCAGTCTGATCCAACACAGCTTCTGGAACTTTGAATCTGAATTCATGCGTCTTCAGAAACCTCGCAGCCCTTTTGAAGATGGCAGCATCAATGTTCTGTAACACAAAAATAATCACCTGATGCACTAGCTGGATAGCGAATTAGTCCACCTTAGCATTTCTAGGGTCACTAGTTAGTCCATTGATGTTGTCTAAGTATCCCAGAACGTTTTGCTTGACGCAAGCCATGTCGATGCAATTGTCCAAAACGCTGGAGACCAGTTCATCCCCTGATTGAGGGGTGGACAGCCCTTGAACGTAGGTGGCTAGGGCTACAGTGGCTAAAAGAAACCTCCACATCATTGTAATGATTGAAATGAAGAACAGTAAATCAATGATAAGCAAATGGCTTGGGCGCAGTTATATACAAAGTGTCGTACGGAGAAGGAATTTTTAATCGGGAGAACGAATTGTTTAGTTTAATTTTTATGGTGTTGTTCCGCTATCAGATCCGGTGAAGTTGTGATTACTTAATATTCTGCAGAAGTGGTGCATTAGCGTATTCACTTTTTAAAGTGATGCGCTCTGAATTAGGTTATGTGGGTTTCGGTGTCTCTAGCGATGTCTGATCGAGTTGCCTTTGGAATATTTTGATCGGTACTGGGTCATATTGGAGAGCTGGAATTTATTTATCGAAAGTGACTATTGAAATTTCGAAATGCCTGGAATAAGTAGCAAGTTTCGGAATATCTAGACTTCCTCCCCATCTACATATATACACAAAAATCGACATATTGACTGTCTGAATTATATAGTTTTTGTACTTGTAATCGTGATATAATTTTCTGACTAGAATTAAGATGTACTGAGCAGATAATTGCAATTCAAATTTTTTGATCATATCTGAAAATAAAATTGAGTCTCGGAAACCATCCATCATTCTCAGAGTAGTTCAATTTTTCGAAGTAAAAGTCGTTTTAAAAACATATAGTTTCTGGTTTTGTATTCCCACATGTTTTTTACATAGGTATCTATGTTTTCTCAACAGTAACTTTGTATGTTTGTATCATCCCACTCTTTACAGGAATTTTTTTATGTGTCTGAAGGTGGTCGTTGAGCCTAAACTGATCACTATATTACTATGATTGATTTTTATAATTTGTGGTCGACCAACTTGGTGATTTTATTGTTTTTCTTTGAAAATACAATCACTTGAATATAAATACATATTTGCCAACGGTGAAATGATATCAATGCAGGAGAGAAGTTCAATCTAGCTGTTTTTTTCTTAAACATCTATGCTGACAGAGTTTTTAGGAGGAAAGCTATTCGGACAAACGATTGGAAATACCTCAAAAATTCAAATTTTCAAACCAATGAATTCTTAACAATGATTTTCGCTCTTAGAAATAAGTTCAAATAAAAGAGAAAGAATGACAGTAAACACATTGACCTAACTACCCAGAGAGACGAACAATTTGGATAAAAACTATTGAAACTCAACTCTTCACCTTCATTTTCCCACAGAACGATAAGTCAGGATGATAGGAAAAAATTGGTGTATACATATTGACTCACATCTTTTGGAGAGGAGAAACATACTTTCGAAAGGATCGATTCGTAGAAAACGATTGAAAATACCTCGCAGAAAATCGAACTCTCAAGCCAATCAATTCATCACCTAGATTTTCCGACAGAAAGGACATTAACTTTGATTTTTTCAAATGTACACCCTATATAATTTACGACATGTCAAAAATATAAATGAGCTGCATATTTGGATGAAAAATAGTAAAGTTATTGATGATTATGAACCTTCATTCCATCATCTAATGTAAGTTGAATATAGTGGGCTTTGAAATAACGTTTATATATTGTTCAAGCTCCATGGAAATATCATAGAATTGTTTATTATGAAATTGAAATCGTTCAATCTCAATACGAAAAAATATGAATAGACAGTTTCAATGAAAGATTCGGTATTTTGGTAAACTTTGATAATCAATAACTCAATTGTTTTTCATCCAGATATGCATTTCATATATATTTTTGAAATCATAAAAATAGGCTCTATCGATATGTCGTAAATTATATAGGGTGTTCCATTGAAGAAATCAAAGTTGATGTCTTTTCTGGAAGAACGAATGACCCTGTATATGAAACAACTTCACGAAATAAAAGTTTGGGTCATTTCCTTCAACTTTTTGATTCAACATTTTTTCACATCTCTGAAAACAAAAGAGTTAACGGGGGGTTCCATTTTGAGAGACGCACCCTGTACATAGGAGCAATTCGAAGAAAACGCTTGGAAATACCCCAAGAATAAAATTTTCAAACCAATCAACTCTTCACTTTGATTTTTCCACAGAAAAAATAGGCTAAGATAATGAAACAATAATGACTGTATACTCATACGAAACTCCCATTTTTTTCTGAAAATATCGAGGCTGCTCAAATGATTCAGTCAAATTTCCGGTGCGAATTCTTTCAATGAAAAAACTGGTTTACTGATTTATTGATTGAACTCTCGATGTTTTAATAACAGATAAAAATGTGTATCGATGAAAATGGCCAACCTGGAATTTTCAAAGTTCAATAATTCAAAAATGGATACGAATATCAATATGGATGTCGAGAGAGATGGAAGAGGTTCGTGTTTCAATTTTACACCGGATGGCCTAAAAATATATGTGGTGTTTCATTTGAAAAACTCGAGAAAAATCTATTTCAAAAGTTCCGAATTGAAAAAACATTTTCAGCCACCCTGTATGACTTGAGGGCATGAAAATTCCACAGAAATATGAGGCATCTCTTCATCAAGTGATATTATGATTATTATCTCTTGAACTTCATAATTGTGATTACAGTGATTTTTTCGGTATGGATCTGCAGATGACATTATTTCGAAAAAAAAACTAGCAACTTCAAAATGTTCGAGAAAAAGTCAAAAATATTATAGGAATGGATGGAGGTCACAGGAAAGCTTCAGAAAATGTGCTGATATATAGAGCATTCCATTTAAAAAAGTTATCCTGACCCTCTAGATTTTTTTCGATGCCCCCTGTATATGCGACAAACATTCCTATTTACGGACCTTGTTGTCTCATTGACATTCGTTTTCGAATTAAGTTTCTAGCTATCACAATAATGCCCTACCCTGTATAATGCCAACTGACACTGTATGTATATTGAATATCGTGTTCATAATCGTCCGAGTTTGAAAGCTCACTTTCTTCCAGGTTTATGAAATAGTAGATCGTTATTAGCGAAGCCGAGCGAAAGCAAAATTTGCGTGTCGAACAAAGTCACTTTTGATCCGAATGAAACATGCTATTTTTTCTGCAACCGAAACGAATAACTCAAATAAATATGTGAAGTTACCACCAATACCGTGCCATATTATTATGTATGCAATGCAACAAATATTGAAAAATAATCCGTGTGGTGAGAACATTCTACCTGCATCAACAGCAGGTTCATTCAATTTTCAAGGTTGTTCGAATTGTAGTTTCAATATAAATACAATCACAGAGTGACATATTTGTGTATGGACCAGGTGCTCTAATGGCAAATACCGCGTCAGTGCCAGCTATAGAAACAAGACTTGGAAAATGTTAGGTTAGTGAGCACATAGCACATCAACAATAAGAATAGCAATTATGTTTTCCTCTCCGTAATACAATGTTTGTCGCTTGATAATCAAATGAAGGTTAACGATATCGTTGTTTGAGACAAAAAACTATTGCTTGCCGTGATTATCCAAAAACAAGTTATCCATCCCGAGAATAACGAATGAAATACAGATCAAGCAAGTATTTGAATCTTGAAGGCTTGCCTGATCAAAACAAAAATACTTAACTGAGATGTTTATAATTTCAATACTGAACTATAATGAGGTGTATTTATATCTCCAGCATGGGTATGAAATGCCAAATCTGCTGAAATCGGAAACAAATCAGGTATGCCTCTCACCCCAAATAACCAACTGTCACAATGTTGTTTATTCTTGATGACGTCCAGTAGATCCTTTTTAGTTCCTAGGAGCTAAAGTTCAACTTTAGCTCCTAGGGACTAAAATTCAACTTTAGCTCCAAGGAACTAAATATGTTGCCTAGCAACATACCTATATTTGTGTCAGTAATAGAAACGTCAATTTAAGAGCTAATTTTGGTATCAGAATTCACGACTTTTGTGTCGGTTGCAGAAAAACAATCGTATTAATTGTAATCCAAGTGTTTAATAAATAAAAATAAATATCGAAAATATCACAGCCATCTATTCCAGAGGAGCATATCCACTGTAGGCCAACTGTTGAGCATCAGTTCTGTCCAGATGAGGGTCCCAGCCACCGTGGATGATAGCAGGATGATGGTCATGGCTCACTTTGGTGCAAATCTTCCATATGGCCAAAGCTGCTGACGTCACGAACGACACGAATGCCAGCTGAATCGCGTTCCACGTTTTGAATCCCAAGATGGCCAGAGCTAAGGGAATCAGGATCATTGCTTTGACGAGAATGAAGATGAGGATTGGGATGAATGCCTTCTTGATCTTAGATTTCTTGCGAGCTGTAAAAGAAAATGAGTGAATAACTCTCTAAGTCTCCGATGATTTCATGCAAATTATAGCTAGAGTCTAGTGTTTGTTTGCACTCTACCTTCAACTTCACTGCCTCTTCCAAAATTCAGTTTGAAATTGAGTTCATCCTTGTCAAGATTCCTGGCACCCATAGTTATTTTCGATCCGACAAATGGTAATTCGAAAGAAACTTCATTTTCCTTGACATAATCTTCCACAGTTTCCTCCAAAGACTTCTCTGGTCTTGCAGATGTCTCTCCAATATTGTTGAGTCCTATTGTTTCAACATCCTGAAAAATAAAGAAGAATTGGTTGAATCTTTGAAGTATCCTACATTTGCAGTGTATTTCCTGATAGACACTCTCAATGAATTGAGATAATGGCTTTTTCCTAGCATTTGTTTCCTGATGATTGAGGAAATTTTGGAAACAATTACACTTACTTTTTGTGATGACTGTTCTTCTAGAGATGCAGGTAAAGCAGCTGCAGTTGCTAAAACAACAAACACTAGTACTAGTTGACGCATAGCTACTAATGGCTCTGTTTATCTTCAATTTGGTATACCTAGTGATTCCTTTTTCCGATACATTAATCATTTATATCGATTCTGCTTCGGGCTAGCGAGGTGGTGGTAATACAATTCCGACCGTAAGAAAGTGAAATCAGAACTGAATCAGTATTCTGATAAGGAAGAAAAATGCTATTAATTTATTATTGGTGCCATTGTGATGGATGGCTTGAATCGTTGACCCAGAACTTGAATTTGGATAATTTTGGGATCCTCCTTATCAAACTAAATGCGCTATTGGGTCATGAAATTATAGTGTGGAATAAATAATAATAACATATTTTATTGGAAATTGCTATGTGTTTTCATCGACTGGTGAAAATTCCCTAAGAATTCCTATCATTAATTATTGCTGCATGGTTTGTCATTTTTTTTAGATAGGAGAATTATGGCAAAAATGTATCGGGGGTGAATACACATAAACATCGTTTTTTCTGTGACGGGAAAAAAGTTTGGCATTTCATCTCTGTTGGCAGGTTATAAAATGTCACTTTTCATAAATTACTTTTTTCCCGTGGGAAAAAAGTGAGTACTTTTTTCCCGGATATAAATCACATATACAGGGTGATTCAAAAGTAAGCGGCATCCTTTCAGAGGCGTATTCCTTGCATGAAAATAAGGCAAAAAGTTCCTATTGATAAGGATCCGAAAATGCTTCCTAAGGGAGCTACGGCCCTTTGAATAGGACACCTCAAAGACGGTTTTTTCTCTATAACTTTAAAATCCTTCACAACAAATTTTTAAAAATTGGTGTACGGCATAAACATTCGATGGTAAATAGGACTCCGTATTCGAAATAATTTCCAAACGAAATCACAGTAACCTGAATATCCGGAGAAGAAGGGATATTTTTACACTTACCCTCTCCCGCATGTGACGCCCCTGAATGAAATTCTGAAATTTCGAATACGGAGTCCTATTTACCATCGAATGTTTATGCCGTACACCAATTTTTAAAAATTTGTTGTGAAGGATTTTAAAGTTATAGAGAAAAAACCGTCTTTGAGGTGTCCTATTCAAAGGGCCGTAGCTCCCTTAGGAAGCATTTTCGGATCCTTATCAATAGGAACTTTTTGCCTTATTTTCAAGCAAGGAATACGCCTCTGAAAGGATGCGGCTTACTTTTGAATCACCCTGTATATACTCTGTTAATGGCTTTTGTTGTGCTATATTTCCGAAAAATGAGTCAATAATACCGTCTCCGAGAAAGAACTGCAAGTCCTTTTATCTTCCATTCGACTTCGCGGTTTCGTTTATTACTAAACAACTACTGAATTCGCAATTTTTTAAAATCAAATCACAGAATTTTACTGACAGAAGTGACATCAGATATTTGATTACTTCAAAAGAATGATAAAGATGTCTATAAAACGCAGGTGTCCCTACTGTTAAAAACTTGAAATTTCACGTCGACAATTTTCACATTTCGAAATAATGTAATATCTTCTCAATATTGATTCGTCCTTCCTTCTGTCACAGAAAAAAATAGTGTATTATACACGGGAAAAATATTAGATTTTAGCTCACGGTTTTTTGTCTCCCTCCGCTACGCGACGGGAGACAACACAACCTGGAGCTACAATCTACTACTTTTTTCCCTTGTATAATAAATAACTATTATTTGCATGAAAGTTTTATTGTCATGGCAAACAATTGATAATCATGCTTCGAGCAATTATTTCTACTTCCCTTGATGCAAGATTTCTTGCCAAGTGACAATGAAATTTCAATACTATTTGAAATGTTGTTATCAATAACAAATTTTCTTGAATGTTTTCACGGAGATCAATACAGAACTATACAGTATAAAGAAAATTTAATTCAAAAATGCAACAGAATTATGTTGATTGAAAGCAAAGTGGTAGCTCTTTATTACTACCAATGCCTGGAAATTTGAGAAATATCATTGATTCTTGGAATAGGCGTGTATTCTCCTCAGCTTTTGGAGCGCACGAGAGGAAATTCTTATTATGTTCATACCTAGGGAAGATATGGAGAGGAGGTGATTGGAGCAGATCATAGGGTCTATAGTCCAAGTATGTGACCTATATAATATGATGTCACACCAGCTGAAATATTCGACAAATGCCATAGAATGTTGAGTTGAAACTCTTATCTTATACGTCCACCAATTTTCATCACCAGTATTGATAAAATAGTCTCAACTCATTCAAATTCTCAAATGAGTGACTATCACTTCTTCTGCGTAAATGAAAACATTGCTGAAATCAAAGCCTGGGAAACAAACAACCTAGTTGAATTCAACGCCACCAAAACTCAAGCCTGTATTTTCTCTAGGAAAATTTATGCTCGGTATTTCCATCAGCAACACTCTTTCATGGGATAATCATGTCAGAACTATCGCAAAAGCTGCTTTACAAAAACTCTTGTTCCGTGCAAAAAGCTACTTTACACCTCAACAGCTTCTCATGATCTACAAAGCGCAGATACGGCCTGTTCTAGATTACTGTTCCCACATATGGGGTTCAGCACCAAAACATACGCTGATGCTCTTAGATTCCATCCAGAGAAGTGTCATTCGCCTGGTGGGTTATCATTGGAACACCGTAGAAAGGTCGGCGACCTTTCACTTTTCAATAAATACTTCCACGGAAAATGTTCTTCGGAAATCTCTGCTATCATTCCTTCACTAGCAATACCAATCAGACGAACTAGACAAGCCCAGTCAGCACATCCTTTCGTTGTCAACCTCGAAAGATGTCGAACAGCACTTTATCAAAACTCCTTCATCCATAGAACGGCTAGGCTCTGGAATTCATTGCCTGAGGAAGTATTCCCAACAACATATAATTTCCAGAAGTTCAAAACAAATTCAAATACCTTCCTTCTGTCTCCATCCTTCCTAGGAACGCACGATGTTCTTTGAATATTATAGGGATTTCCATTCATGCGCCCCAAGCGATTGATTCATTCTCTTTTGTAGCTATACAGTTCAATTACATTCGATTCCAGATTTTTGGAATGATTCATCATCACTGGCAGAATGACGTACCTTGTTCAAATTGCCCAAATCTAAGTATATATACCGAATGGCTCAATGAAAATTTTGTACCAGAAATTCTGCTAACCCATACAGACTAGACTTAACTGACAGACAAAACTGAACCATGTCAATGTTCTCTGAATCAGTTTCAATCTTTTCTTGGATATGCTGACATAGCGTAGCAAGACGTTGAAAAATCAATGAGATTAGCGGCGAAACAGTGAATTTATCAATATTCATTTAGATTTTATTGCATTCTGAATAACACTATCTTCATTGTGTAAACCAATATAGTGAGGGCGTGAGACGATTGGCTGTTCCATTCAAATTAACAGTACTGATGTGTGATGTGTGGAGTTAGTAACAAAGCCTACACATTGCACCATCATGAACTGCATCAACTCTGTAGAGGTTGATAGAAATATATCAACAGATTACATACATACTACTTATTATCTGAGACAGTTGTACTTTTTCCACAAAAGGGTGATATTATTTTAATATTCGAGAATGACTTCATCAGGTGGGTAAGTACGCAAATTACCCAGTCTGATACTTCATCCAAGAAGAACACAAAGCAGTTTCAATTGTTTCCTATATTTTATTTTCAATAAATTAACTAACAACAAGAATGTCAACATTCATATGGTTCACTGGCCCCCATACGCCATCTGTTGGGCAACGTCCGACCTATCGTGATGTAGGTGCGCATGTGAATCCCAAGCATTGTGTATGATCTGAGGCGGTTCATGATGGACCTTGGAACAAAGTTTCCATACTGCCATAGCCAGAGCAGAAACAAAGGACACGAAACTCAGCTGGATAGCGTTCCAGGCTTTGATGCCGAGCACTCCCAAGGCTAACGGGATCAGAGTCATCGCCTTGATCAGGATGAAGATCAGAATGGGGACGAAGATTTTCTTCAGTTTGGATTTTTTCCTTGCTGGAAACGAAAACGAATTTTGGTCAATGGTGATTGAAAGCTTTACCATTAAAGGACAGTGTTGTATTTCGTGCAAGATAAGTCATTCAAATTCCGACTATTGAGTCATTATCAGTGCATACCTGTAAGTAAGTCAATTAGAGCAAGTCAATATTCATTACATACCTTGAACTTCTCCTCCAAAGTTCAGTTTAAGATTCAGTTCAGTCTTATCCAGGTTTTCTGCTTTCATGGTTACCTTTGATCCAATGATTGGTAGATCGAATGATACTTCGTGGTTCTTTATATATGTTTCTATGTGGTCTTCTAGGGAACCATCACTTCTTGCAGATTTGACATCATTGCTTTTTATGTTGATATCTCCTCCAACCTGAAAACATATGTTTGCGATGAACTGTGAGTGGTTGCTAAAATAATCAACTAACTTGAAGAAGATCGTTCCATGCAGATTCTTCAACTTTGGGGGTAGCATTCACTGTCGCTATTCCCACTAGCATCAACCCCACTAGTAGACCTACCATTTTTTGTCTAGTATTACTCTTAATACTGTGATCAATGAAATATAATTAATGACACTTTTTTTCGTACCCTTACTATTTATACTGCTATAAAGAAGTGGTAAAGTACGAGAAATAAGAAAGTGATGATTTTTTTTCTGTGTGGATATCTAACAGCAACCATGTTTGGCATACGTTTGGGACGGGACTTTGATAGAATTTTGATGAGGACTGATTAAAAATGGGTGACATGAAGGTATTTAGTTTACTGATGGTTAATTAGTGGCACATTGTATCCATATGAGTGAGAATATATTATTAAGTTTATATTATGTATGTTATTGTTCCTCAGGTAGCAACTTTTCAATTTCAATCACTTCTTGAGTGTCCACTTTCTTTATTCATCCTGGCAAATGAATTTCAATCTGATGGGGATTCAACAGAGTTTCATAGTAGAGTCTTTGAGCAGATTCTGAGAATTTAATTTTATTGAAATCCACTGAATCGTTCGTTGACAATTTCTGTAGGTTTCTGTTGTGTTAGAGGTTTTCGAATAAACTCGATATTTCTTAGTTCGTTGAGTCAGATTCCTCCAAGATTTCTAAAATTCTACTTCATTCATCTCATTATTTGTTCAATTTATGTTTTACCCATTCATAATTTGATTACTATAGTCATATAATTCAAGATTTCAGTCAGAAATTTCTTGAAGCAGTGTGTCATTGCCTGTCAATATCTCCACCTAATACGGTGTTCACCAAGGATCTAATCTTGGTCTATTATTTTTGGGATTTTTTCACCAATAATCCAAAAATAACTTACGGAGTAATTTCTGTCTATAATACTTTATATCCACCTGAATTCATCAATTGATATAATCAATGTTTCGTTTCCACTTGAATACTATGAAGTATATTGACTGAAACCATCATACTTGGTGATATTTGTTCATAAGAAGAAGCAAACTTATTGTCTTCGAACTTTTTCATCCCATTATTCTTGCAATTAGGATTGATAAAGGAAATAAATTGATGATTGGATATCGGTATTAGTACTTTTGTAATTGAGAAATCAATTAGTATCGCTTGAATTTATCTTATCCAACCGATATTCGTGCTAGTATGTTATACAAAGAGGTTTGAAATGAGTACATATTATATTGAACACATCAATATAGAATACGAAACAAAAGTTCCTATAATATACTAGATTCTCTTTAGATCTTCTGAATAACGAGAAATATCTTTATGTTTGTGAACATTTATTCAAAAATCTGTGGTGTAAGTCCATCGTATCTCAGAGTGGAGTGATTAGTTTTATCAGGGATCAGAAACACGAAGTCGTCTCCACCATTCCAAAAGTGATCATATTACTCAATCAGATGATCGTACATGTTCAGAGCCTATATAGGCTCTGAACAACGCTCTTCAAGAAATTGTTATGTTCAATATCATTTATCACGATTACTGGCCTAGTGGTTGAGACGTTGGTCTGCCAATCTGAAAGTCACGTGTTCGAGCTCATCTTGGGTCAGCTTTTTCTGATTATAAACAAGTGTTGTTGGATATTCCTGTATTATTTCCTGAATATTCCGAATGTTATCTGAATATTGCTAGATTATTATAGGTACATTCTGATTTTGTAGGGAATATTCCTTGGGTCATAGTCTGGGAATATATACATTCTTTCCCACTAGCTACTATTTTTTGAACGGGTCAACTGAGAGAATTGAAACTTGGGGTGATGAAATTGGTGCATGAATACTATATTTTGGAGTAGAATTGACAGATGAAACTATCAAGATGGCGACTAGGCGCGTGAAATATCGAATAGGCTGTTCTTATGTCAAGAAGTTCAAGGCAACCATTTCGAGCATCTTCTGAACTGAACTCACCTTATTTCTTCAAAATATTAAGTTGAACGTCGTTGTATTGAGACAATCATTAACTGTTCCGCCATTTTGTAGTATTTTTCGATATATGATATTTTATTGCTGATCAGGAATATAACCAAAACTCAATTAAGAATTCATGAATTATTGAATAGGTGATATTTCTGAAGTTCCCAATCGTATTTCAACACATTGTAACTATGCTATGGTTTCCCCTACTTATACGAAATCGTGACGTCAGGTTTTACTGGAGATAAATATCTAGTCGTTTGAAAATTACCGTGGCATTATTGATGATTTTAGCATCTAACAATCAACCGAAAAGATATGAAATTGAAAGGTTTTTGAGTGATGATTCTATTTGATGAATAAAAAAAATTATGTAACGTTTCATTCTTCAAAATTTTTATTCATCAATGATCATCTCCTGTTATACATCAGATTATATCATGCATTCCATGGAAACGACCCATTTCAGTTTCAAAGGGACCAAATAAATTATGTTTGTTTTCATCATTCATAGTCCTTGGTATCATAATATGAAAGTAGATAACCTCAGGCTTCAATAAATAATCATTTATTAACAAAACATCAAACAACAACAAACAATTTCAAATTCCTACACTGCATCCCATCATTCATAAGCATTATACGCCATCTTATGAGCATCTCCCAAACTCCTAGCATAATGCGCACCTACAGGACTTTCCCATGGTGCAGCAGCGGAAATGTGAGGATGTGCATGTGCTCCGTCTGCAGCTAACTTCTGGCACAGCTGGAAGATGGCCAAACCAGTGGAAATGATGAACGAAATGAAAGACAGTTGGAGGCCGTTCCAGGCCTTCAAGCCGAGGATACCGATGGCCAAGGGCACCAGAGTGATGGCCTTGAGGAGCAGGAACACCAGGATGGGGATGAAGATCTTCTTCAGCTTGGACTTTTTGCGGGCTACAATAAAAAAATTATAGTAAGAACACAAAAATTAGGTGGAGTCATTGTGTATTAGTATAAAAGGGGCATTTTCTCTAAAACGGGTGACATTATCAACGTTCTGCAACAACTGACCCAAATGAGAGAGAGAGTTGCACAAAAATTAGTCATGCTAAGGCACATACCACTAACTGTTCACTGAGAAAAATTGTGCTATTAGAGTTTTTGCTGAGATATTTCTTGCTAGCATTACAAGAGATCATATCAACGTTATACATGAATGATGTCACTGTTGACATTTTGTTTTCCTGCACGCATCTGTAATTAATTGTCTAGTTTTCGAAATACAATGGTATCGGAAGTTTTAGAAGAATTCTATTTTTATTGATTAATCAACAACCTTCTGTTTTTCCTGAGGGTGCATGAATCAATAGATCTATTGAATTTCAAAAAGAAGTAAGTGGTATGTGCTAAGGGGTGGTTTATCGAAGAGTAGTTTCAATGATTGAATATTGTGCAACACTCTTTCTCATTCAAGCTAGTTTCTTCAGAAAGTCGATAATGACACCTCAAGAAAATGCGTTGTTCCAACACTCGATATTTGAAGACAGGGTTCCCCAAAGATAGGCATAAACTTTGAATACGAAAATTGTAGGGTTTGTAACCTCTAGAAAATTGTACGACTTCTTGGAAATTCGAAGATCTTGTCTTCATCTTGTATTGATCTCAAGACATGATCAAAACTCTAACTAATGTTATCAAATACCTTCTACTCCGCCTGATCCAAAATCAAGTTTCAAATCAACTTGGTCACTGTCCAATCCACTCGAATCGATTGTTACGTCACCAATCAGCGGAAGATTCAACTTCACGTTGTGAGTCTTGATGAATCCTTCTACACCATCCTCAAGGTTGTTCTCTGACCTTGAGGTTATTTCGTTCGAAGGGTAGCTGTTTCGTTTCACTTCCATACCACCGAACTGAAAAAAACAGAGGAAGAGACGCTGAAAATCCTGGTGAAGCAATAGATAATACAGTTACATCTTAAGGAGGTATGAGGATTCTTCAATGATAACTACTTGCTCTTAGGTATAGTCTATGCCCACTAGGGAAGTGACTAGACGACTATCAAGAGAATTTGGTCAGTTCATGTCGAGTAGCAATACTTGTTGAGTGAAAAATCAGTGGTTGAGAAGACCAACGTAAGAGTCACATTTGCGTTCTAGGGGCTTTCTTCCTTATATTTGACGCAGTTTTTTTTTTGTAAAATGCAGTACTCACTTGGAAATAGTCCTTCTGTAATATAGTGTCCAAGAACGTGAAAGCTTTGTACTGCCAGCAGGCTATGGTATCTTCCTGGACACAGGAAGACTTCATCTTCTCCACATGACTGTCCAGTGGGGTACCTTTCCAAAAAGCTGGTTTGTTTGAAGGAAGAGCACTTGCAGCTGCGATCAAACTCAGACCCAAAACGAACTTGGCTGCCATTTTGAGTATTCCGGTCGAAGAGAAGAGACTGAATGATCGAAAGAATTTGGTACTGTTGGCTTTAATACCTTCGCAATCGAAAGTGGATAAGTGTGGAATACTGATCAGGCCGATTTGGAGTAGTTGAATTCATTTGTTCGGTGTCTTGGACGTGACGTTCCTTCCGGAATATACAGGGTGTTTCAGATTCTTGTTTGGAATATTTTAGAGGCGATGACACTTGTGAAAATGAAAAAAAATCACGTCAACTTCAATGTTGATATAATACAAGGTATTGAAATCAAAAACAAAGTCAAACGTCGCCGACCTTCCTACGGTGTTCCAATGATGTCAAAGAGTGAGTGACTGTGGCGTCACCCACCAGGCGAATGGCTCTTCTCTGGATGTAATCTAAGAGCATCAGCGTATGTTTTGGTGTTGAACCCTATATGTGGGAACAGTATTCTAGAACAGGCCGTATCTGCGCTTTGTAGATCATGAGAAGCTGTTGAGGTGTGAAGCAGCTTTTCGCACGGAACAAGAATCCGAGTTTTTGTGAAGCAGCTTTTGCGATGGATCTGACATGATTATCCAATGAAAGAGTGTTGCTGATGGAAATACCGAGCAAAGCATAACTATTTATATCTTAGAAACTCCTCAACTGATTTTCGTTAAACTCAGTGAGTTTGTAATAGATATAGACATATTATATCTTTTGGCGTACCTAGTTTCACCCTTATCATTCCAGTGGCGTCCGTGTTGATATTTATGGTAAAAATCATTGTATCCCATTATTTTTCCACTAGTTTCAAAGTTGCATTCAATTCAACAATGAAAGATAAAATTTTCTTGCTTCATGAGTTTTTTGTATCTCGCTTGGTTTCCAAGAAAAAAAATAGACCTAATATGAATCCCAATTCTATTGCAGGTTAATTCAAGACATCCATTGAGATCCCTCGATAGCCACAGTTAGTATAATTTGGATATTTTGAGAATATATTATCAGTCACCGCTACCATACGGAATTTTGGAAGTAGGAAAGCTAACTTAGGTTGATGAAAAAGAAAAGCATATTTTCATGGTCAAATTCTGAAAAAATTAGCTTCAAACTTACAAGTATACATGATCTTTCATTTTCAATTATACGAATACTATCGCCAATCAAATTTTCTCGATTGAAATTTAACCATACCTGCTTTCATAAGTAGCGTGCAACACCTTGGTGGTAGATTTCACGAATAAAAATAATGAAACCACTTTAAATTAACTTTTTTCGGAAAATGGATACCAAAGGAGATGATCTTTCATTTGAGGAGGCTATTCTGGAGATGTTTTTTCGATAAAACATAGACCTAATGAGATGAAATAATGGAATTTTTCATAAAACCTCACTTCTTGAGGTGAATTCGAGAATGTGAATAGAAGTCCAAATATTTTGCCGGGAGAGATTCGGGCAGGGTTGGTTCAGTGTAATTTTCACGACGCGTCCAAACTGCAATCATTTTTCACGAATATTTGCCTAAAGTTCCTTCTGCCTAAGAAATATATACATAAATACACCTGAAATTCAATACAACATTTTTAGTGCAGACCAGTAGTTGTCAATTTTTCAAGGTCGGACAGGCAATAAAATATAAAAGAATGAGTACATGATATATCTGATACATAGCAAGATCAAGACGGACAAAAATATCTGCAAACCTATGATATCTGGAAACATACAATATGCATCCATATATAAAAATATATGAAAAAAACAACATTCTGGTAAAATGAGTAGAAGCAATACAATGACATAAAATAAAATCTGAAGATTTCCCAAATAAAATTCGTCCAGCGAATAGAAATGCTTTGTCTAACAAAAAATTTCTCAGCAAATTCTGAATTCCGTTTACATCTTCGAATCCATCTTTGACATCAAAGAATGCATCTACGTTCTATTTTCCATCTAAAACCATTTTGGAAATGATAATAAAAAACATCCTCAATGTAGCCTGCCAATGAGTCATTTGGTGTGACCAATTAACATCCAAGATTCACTATTAGCCTATGGATGTAGACCAACTATGATAAAAAAATCGTACTCTCTTTGTAAGATTTTTTACATCCTGCTTCCCTTCAGAAACTGGTTGATTTTCATATATTCCATATTTTTTCTCCTCTCATTCCTAACTTCATCATTGAATCGAACAACCATAACTATTCTTCATTATCTGAGTTTGAATATTCCTAATTTTCCATATTCGAATGAAAATTCTAGATAGCCATATTCTTCAGGAATATCAAGTCAATGAAAAATATCAGCATAAAGTCTGTCAATTCAACTTGATCATAAAAACAGGGAAGTTATCCTTTTTCTTCACATGAATGAGATATCAAACCTATCAACCCAACCCATTTTTTCCAAATTGAAAAGAACAAAAATAAAACTTCAAAAATAAATAATTTATTGTTCAGACTAGATCGAACACACAATAAATAGCTTTTAGACACACAAAATAACGTTATTCATCTCCAAGATGACCAGAATAGGCTAAATCCTGCGCAAAATAACCTTCTTGTCCTTCCATGCTTCTTGCTACAGGTGATTCCCAAGGTCCATGGGCACTGATCTGAGCATGCGCATTATTTTCAGCTATCTTCTTGCACAACTGAAAAATAGCCAGACCAGTCGAAATAACAAACGAAAAGAATGACAACTGCAGGGCATTCCAGGCCTTGAGAATCAGAACACCCAGTGCTAGAGGTACAACAGTGATGGCCTTCAGAAGAATGAACACCAGGATTGGTATCAGGATCTTCTTCAGTTTGGATTTGCGACCTGAAAACAGTTTTAGAATACAGGTTTATGTTCTCTGAATCATGTTCCATCAATTCTGATATTCTGTCCAACATAATTTCCATCTGAAATTGTTTGAAACATCGGCTACATCATTAGTTGACAATAAAATATCGTTACCTTCGACTACTTCCGTACCACCAAAGTTGAGGTTGAAATCAAGTTCATCACTGTCTAGATTCCTTGCACCGATAGTAATGGTTCCAACGAATGGCATTTTGATAGAAACTTTGTGTGTTTTGAGGTACGTTTGAAGCTTTTCTTCATAGTCAGCTCCTCTACTACTGACCTGATCTAATTTCACACTGTTTCTGCTAACTTCAACATCATCACTCACCTAGAAACAAGCATTCTTTGCAGAAACTACTACCTTCTTTTGATCTAGTTACTTGGACATGGTCTTTTTCAAGGAAACCATCAAAGAATGACATCAGCTTCTCTTGCAGATATCCCAGAGGGTCATCTTCGAAGTCTGTACTTTTTTCTTCTGCATAAGAAGACTCCTCTACTGGTAATCCGCAGACCAATGCTACCAAACAAATTCCAAGACATATTTTGAGCATTGTCATCGCTGTAAGACAAATTATACTGGGTGTAGTTGTTGTAGTATTCGTTTTATAGCCGTTATTGAAATAGTGGACCGGGGTTTTTATTTGGTGAAGTGTATCAACTGAAAAAAGATATCCGGATATCGTTCGATTGTGAATACTAATGCAGTTGGTTTTAAAAGGCACACTGTGCAAATGGGGGGATAATTGGTATGCAGACCTCAGGGTTTTGATTTATTCAAGTATTTGGGCCAAATTATTTATTTAGATTCCTTGGACTATTCGCGAATGAAAATATGCAGACAATGGGAAGGTTCAATTTCTGAATCTAAATGTTGGAGAGAGTGTAGAATAGAGGCGAATAGAGATAAGAATAAAGAGAACATGTAGTGTATATAGATAATAAACTCTATGTGATGGAAGAGTAGTTATCTGGATATGGTGTGACAAAGATAAAAAACTACAAGATATGATCATGAAATTTCGAAAATTCAAAAAATTTGAAATCGAAAACTGGTGAACTTGTTTTCTAAATGGTGTACTGGTTTGATGGAACAATTCCATTTAAACTTCCTGATCAAGTCTTTTTCTGAAACATTAATTGAACATATTATCCTCTCATGGAGTTACATTTGCTGATATCTAGCAGGCAGATTCAAAATCAAGCGAGCAATTTATAATCACTGAATATTTCTGGTAATAAAAATAATCTTCTGATAATTTTTTCTTTGCATATAGAAAAAACCTGATTAGTAAGAAAGGTTTTATATCCGAATTCAAGTAGGAAATTTTCTCCATCTCCAAGTAAATAACCACTTTGAACATTGATGGAAATATGAATTTCGTGGTGAGGTGATATTTTGGGTGCATATTATTAACCATGGAAAACTTCTTGTGTCACTTGGAGATATACAGTGTGTTTGGGAGATAGTGCAAAAACCTGTAAGGTCAGCTAGAGATGAGGATATTTTCAGTATCGAATCGACCAAACTTTGTTCGAAATTATCATGAAATCTCATTGAATTTTTTACATTGAATGTACAGTCATATGCAATGAATATGTCGCTAATGGGCGGTGTTAGCACCTCTAGTCTTATGTGATATCGCACCATCCAACGAGACATTTTCTTTTCTGCTGACTGTTTCAAAATGGAACTCCCCCTCAACTCTTTTGCTTCCATAGATGTGGAAAACTGTTGAATGGAGAAGTTTTTTGAAAAGACCCCAAATTTTAAATACTGTCTGTAGGTTAATCGAGGAGGTGTTACATTAATTTTACTTGAAGACAAATCAGATGATTTGCCCAAAACTGTCACCGCGTTTAACAAATTTTTCTATCAGATTCTTTCACGAAACGTCCAAAGATAAGTAAAAATTCGATATTTTCTTAATATATCTATATTTCTTCTCTTCTAACTTTTTCCCAAAGTGTCACTGACAAGCACTCGAATTTTTGTCTCAGGCTCCCAGATAAAAAATTATTTGAACGCAGTGACATTCTGAGGTAAATCTGTCCTATTACACATATATTGAGATAGTATAGTCATATTCTTATTTTGTAGAAGAGAGAAAGAGAGGAGAAAAAAAAACAAAATAATCATGTCGCATGGACTACAACTTTTATTTCGTGAAATTGTTCAATATACAGGTTAATTCGTTTTTCCGGAAAGGACATGAACTTCGATTTTTTCGATAGAACACTCTATATATTTTCCAACATATCGATAGGGCCATTTTTTCTGATATCAAAAATATATGGGTTGTGTATTTGGATGAAAAATTGTGGAATTATTGATGATCAAAGTTAACGCTTTATGAACCTTCACTTCAAATCATCTAATGTGAGTTGAATACCTATAGTGTAGGATTTGAAGTGATGGTTGTATAGTGTTCATCCTCCAAGGAAATGTCATGATATTGTTTATTATGAAATTAAAATTGTTCAATCTCAATTCAAAAAAATGTGGACAGTTTGAATGGAAGATGCGGTATTTTGGAAAACTTTGATCAATAAGTCATTCAATTTCTATACAAATAAGTTACTCATATATATATATTTTTGAAATCAAAATAAAAAGCTCTATCGACATGTCAGGAAATAAATAGTCACTTTTGATCCTAATGAAACAATCTACTATTTTGTTATATGCTCAGCTAGAGATTTAAGAGCAAAAATTTGATATCTCTATGAGAACACAAGAGTCAAGTGGGGTTTCATTTTAAAGATGTTCACCCTGTACGGAATCTCAATGAATGCAAGGAATGTATAATTTGCAACCTAGTAAATATTCGTAATCTTTTCAATGACATCTTCACTGAACATTCCATGTGAGATTACAAATCAAAGATTTTTCAAAAATATAGTTAGACTTGGGTTGATAATATTATATTTGGTCGAATCCCCTAGTTTTCCTCGCAATATCCCTGTATAGGTGATCTGAAATAATTGTTTCCTACTGTCCATATATACAGGGTGTTATTTGAGTATGCAGCCAAACCAAAAGAGGTTATGAATCAGGTGATTCTAAGATGAAAATTTTATATAAATGAAGGTCCAGAAATGCATTGTCCCCACTATACAGGGTGTCTAACTTTTTTCTAATAATGAATAGGTTTTTTGTAAATGTCGTAGGAATCCTTCACTCAGTTCAGAAGCAGATTGAGTCCTATTCAGATTCACAAAAAATAACCCTTTTTCAAAAAAGTTAAACATCCTCTATCTTGAGAACTATCCATTTCCTTGAAGTTTGGCCTGATACTTGAATAACACCCAGTATATAGGACAGAATCGAAATGAATAGGCTAGAAACATTTTCTACAGTATATTTTATAAAAAAAATAAATATCAATAAATATAGTGATGAATAGATTGGATCTAAACATAATCAGTTCAAACGGTTGAATGTGGACTATAAGCCATCTCCTGAGCATTCAAATTCCTGCCATAAATAGGCTGTGCTAGCGGTACAGCTCCAGGTAATACTTCTACTTGATGGTAATCATGATAATCCAAATGTGCTGCTACTGGTTCAGGATAGTGGACAACTTCATACAATGGTGCCTAAAATCACATTATTTTCAAAACCCAAGAATTTTCCGTCCTATGAATTGAGTTCATTTAGTCCCATTGAGACTTATAATAAGGAACAACAATATAAAATATCAGGATATGGTGAAACTTTCGTGATCTCAATTTTATTTCATGTTCTAATACCCACGTAAACGGATATCCAGTAATATTCAGAGAACATCGTGAGAACCAAGGGAAATAGGGTAGGAATTGGTGTTCTTCTTAAATTTCTGGAGGTTATATGCCTCGGGGAACACCTTCCTCGGCAATGTGTTCCAGAGCCTCGCTGTTCATTGGATGAACGAGTCTTTGGGAAGAGATGTTCTGTAGGTCTCCCACGAAAGGGTGCGAAGCCTCAACTCGACGGGTTAATCTCGCGGGGACCGCCAAGGGAGGAAAAATTGTTGATATTTCAGAACAGCATCGCCCATGGAAATATCTGTAAAATAGAGCCCACTTTTCTACAGTGTTCCAGAGAAGTGAATGGGTTTGTGAGCGAGGCATCACCCACGAGACGAATTGCCCTTTTTCGGACAGAATCCAACAGTTTCAGGGTATGTTTGGGTGCTGCACTCCAAATATGGAAACAGTATTCCAGGACAGGTCGGATCTGTGCCTTATAGATCATAAGCAGCTGACTGGCAGTGAAATAGCTCCTGGCTCGAAACAGAAGACCAAGTTTTTGGGATGCAGTCTTAGCAATTGATCTCACGTGATTTTCCCAAGGAAGGTTATTGCTGATAGTAAAACCAAGCATCGATATGGATGTCTTCAAAGGTATGGTTATTCCTGCTTATGTTGGGCACAGTAAGATCGGCCTTTCTAGAGAAGAGGCATATGCTTGTGTTTTGTTTGCATTGAAATCTTTCTAGTTATTGGATCCTTATTCGAGAATTGTTGCCAAGTCCAAGTTTATCTTGTCTACATTCCGATTATTCCTATTACCAGGTCAGCGTTATTTCTTTATATTTCGGATTGCACGAAAGGAATTCCCTATCATGTTTGTGGGAAACGGAGAGAAGGTATAGGTATAGAGGAATTGTTTTTGAACTTTTGCAGGTTATGCACTGTGAAGGATAACAGGAACAGTCTAAAAGTCATTTGGATGATTAATAGAGTATGTAATCTCACCTTTGGTGCTACAAATTTTGAGAAAATGGCAATAGCTCCTGTCAAAACAAGCGACAATAGTCCCAGAGTCAGTGCTTTCCAAGTTTTCAATGCTATAAGTGCCAGAGCAAGTGGTACAAGAACAGCTGTTTTGAATTTCAATCCCAACAGGAACGGAAATATAACTTTCTTCACTAGCTTAGATGAGCGCCCTAAACAAAAGTATGATGATAAAATATGTACAGGGTGTCTCGTGAATCGATGCCCATAGTTCGAGGGCATATTCTTTGAACAATTCTGAGTCAAAAGTGCCTCATACTCTTTTGTCTCGAACTCGATAGTCAAGGAGATATGATCAATTTAATAACTTTGCTCACCGATGCAAGAGATGGTCCATCAGTTTTTTAGCCACCGAGGTCACCTGACCTAACGCCTCTCGATTATTATCTTTGGGGACACTTGAAATGTCTAGTGTATTCAAATGGATCACCAACCAGAGATGAACTAATTCAGAATATCATGACTGCATCTGCATCTTTACCAGACGATCCAGATACTCTTCAGAGTGTATGTATTGAAATAAATCTCATACTCTCATTCACATACAAATTGAACTTTGGATCTTGTACTAAGGTAAAAGATATCGACCAGACAGGTCTTATATCAAATCAGCGGATTCATGATCATGAGATGAATTTTTTGAAAAAGAAAACAAATCATTCGCCAACCATATATTTGGAAAAAACCATAGCTTTCATGATAATTCCGTAATTCTTCATGTTGAATCATTAGAAATCAACAAACTCAAAAATGCTCAACGATCAACTAGACCTCAATAATAGTTCATCACTGTTGAATTTGTTTTCTCACTAGGTAATGATATTTATTTACTATCAACCCTTTCAAGTTAACCCGATATACCTTATTTCAATGTAGATATTATGCCTATTTACCGAAAATGTGATGAAAAATTTTGTGAAAATCTCATCGTTCGTGAAGTTTTCTCAAGAAATTTATCAATTGATGAAATATAATATTTCCTCATTCAATATTCTCGTCACCTCATTCTTCTAACTCTGTTGAATTTGATATTGCCTATCACTCCTCGACTACAGAGTTTTGGAAAAAAGTGTATGTCACTTTCAACTTGGAATTGTTCAATAAATATGCTCTTGAGCTATAGGCATCGAGTAACATGACGCCCTGTATATCTAGTTAATTCACTATGGGTACCATACCTGTCGCCGCTAACGGTACTGCCAAGTCGTTCGGTTGAAAACTCCTGGGAATATAACTTCCAAAAGGCCCATCAGGCCTCAGTAATGAAGGAACTTTAGCAACTAAATCATGGGTTTGCAAAAAGTCTTCGAAACTCTCAAGAATATCCTTCTGCAAACCCCGAATCTCCTGGAATATCAGAAATTAATTTCCAGAACTTTCACTAATCAAACGACAACTTTACCTGAACTTCAGGACTGTATGTTTTCACTAAAGCCAAATCTTCTGTGATTCTTATCGAATTTTTTTCCGATACCCTTTTGACCCATTCCAGAGTCCTTGGTTTTACACAATCTATCCTGAATTTCTGGAGGCAGGTCCTGAAAACATCCTGGACGACTTCAACTGCAGATTCGTCTGTCATTGCCGATGCTACCAACACTAGTACTAGGAATATTATATGCTTGTTACTCATGTTGAGCGATATTGGTATGCAGTACTGAGGTTGAATGAATGCGCGACAATGTTAAAGTACGATTTATAGATTTCTGGACCGGAAGGTCATCAATATTTGGACATGTAGGTATGCTAAAGACGTTACCCATAGGACTGAATGATAGTGAAAACTTTGTCAGCTCAATAACTCGATAATTCTTTCAAGAGTGTTTAATGATTGTAATGATATTAATGAAAATAATGATTATAATAATAATAATAATAAACCAAAGCGATGTACGTGATCGAGTTTTTGGTGCCAGCCGAACAGAACATCGTTTTCAAGGAGGAGGAGAAACAGACTAAATATCGAGATCATCTCTTCGAACTCTGCAGGCTCTATCCAGACCATTTTGTGGAATTGGTCATCCTGATAATCGGCTCCCTAGGAGGCACACGACATACGCTGCTCTCGGAAATCCAGAAAATCCCAGCATGCAGTGATAAGGCACACATCCTGGCTGGTGGAATGCAGAAGGCCGTCATACTTGGGTCATTGCGTTTACTCAGGACACTCGGTTCTTGGTTTCACTGATTATTCACCCCACAGGCTGTGGGGAGTTGTCACTGGATTTCATCTAGCACGACTCTGCGTGGCGTCGGAGGCCTCAAAGTCGTGACTGGAATAATATGAATTTAAATGAATGATAATAATAATTATAATTTCATTTATTATACACAACAAAGTTTAGGGGCTATCTTAACCCTCCTTAAAATTCAATTTTACAACACCGTAGAAGAGCGACCTGGCTCTATTTTATAGATATTTTCATGGACGATACTCTTCTGAAATATCAAAAATTGTTCCTCACTTGGCAGTCCCCGCGAGATTAACCCGTCGAGTTGAGGCTTCGCACCCCTTCGTGATCACTTTGGAGACCTGCAGTACTCTTTCCAAAGACTCGTTCATCAACTAACAGCGAGACTCTGGAACACATTGCCAAGGGAGGTATTCCCCGAGGCATATAACCTCCAGAAATTTGAGGAGAACACCAATTCCTACCTTATTTCCCTTGGTTCTCAAGACGTTCTCTGAACTTTACAGGATATCCTTTTTCGTGGAAACCAGAACATAAAAAAATTCTCTCGAGCATTCTCCTAATACATTGTTCAGTAGTGCAGTCAATATTCTCAATTTGTACAAGTTCAGAAACTTATGGAATATAATTTTGTGAATGTAACTGTAATTTGTGATATTAGTGAGTATTTTTGAATTGAAAATCAGGAATATGATTCTTTTCCAAAAATTTAGTGTTTTAATGTGAATTTCGACCATTCATTCATGAATCATTCACCAGGCTACCATATGTCTATTTTTTTGCAATAATTTTTTTTTTTGAAAAATTGTAACTCATACTGATCAAGTCACATGAATATATACGACGATATCTACGGAATAATCTCACATTTTTCTCCTTTCTGATACACGCAGTTCGACCGAACACCCTGTACAATAAATTGAGTCGATGAACGGTAAACAAAGAGTGAAATTGTATATAAGGTCAACGAGAACACTTTGTTAGGTGCCTGGAATTAGTATTCATGTCATATATAATAATATTCGACTGTCGGAGAGTTTCCGATACTTATTGCTGTTTATAAAGAATCATTGATCACCAATTAATACGTTTATTCAAAAATGGAATTATTTTCCTCACACTTTCAAAATACATAACATGACATGATATTTTGAAAACTTCGCACCTTCAATATCTCCCTTCTAGCAAATGATATGAAAAATCGAGAAGTCAGGTTGATTTTATTTCCGAGGATGACACTTTTGATATGCATTTTCAACCCTCTTAATTCAACCCCCTAGGAGAAGGGTCAAGTGGCACATCATTTTGAAGGGCGTTATCTCTCGACTCAGAAAGACTTGTGAATTATTCCTTTCTGCTCATATACAATGGTCTATCAGTCTACGAACTATGAGAATCCTATATAAATGTTCCCTCGCCAATTTACATAACGCGTATTATCGACCAAATCAGGACTTGCAACAAAAAGTCTTTGATGTTCTCTTTTCATGGTTCCGTTTACTTTATTGACCCTGCAACATATTCTGTTCGAATGCCCTCTCGATTCATAGGCATATGTCAAAACGCGATTTTGTCAGAATTCAGAAGTATTGATGATCTAGTACTTCTACTCAACACCCATAACATTCAAACATTGAATATCTAACAAAGCTTGTGCAGTCTTTGATGAATATTAGTTACGAACATTCATTATAAATGAATGAATTCTGAGCTATTAGGGATTGTTTTTGGTATTCTCTGTGGTATTAGGCGGTAGGTAGGTATAAATAAACTTATATTATGTAGTATGTACCTATGTGAATTTGTTTTATTATTCACTGAAAGGAAGATGTTCAGGATGGAAAGTTTTCTAATGGGCGTGTACACCTTAGTAGAACTTTCAACTCAAACCATGTTTATAATGATCCTTTTATACATAAATAATGATTGACGACATAATTCGATCGAAAAATTTACTGTAATGTTTTATTTTTGGACATAAATAATAGTATTTTCTGAAAACGGACCCTCTCATGACGTAGAAACCTCATCTCGCCATAGTTAAAAGAAAATACCAAACGCCCGACGGAGACTGAGGCAACTGATAAATATTAATTCTTTCAACTGTGATCTCGCGCTAATTCACTCTGTCAGAAATCATGTATCATTCATCTCTGTCTGGAATAGTCTTGTTTCAGTATTACGGTTTTGACGGGGGTTGAATCAAGATGACTAAAACTCATCACTTCAAATGTTTCCCTCGAAAATAAAATCGACCTGTCTTCCCGATTTTCACTGGAAGGAAGATATTGACGGTGGAAAGTTTTCAAAACCCTGTATTGAAACTCTAAAGAACTAAACATGAAAGTAGAAGGTGTTGAAAGTGCATCATGCCCCGTATTTTCAACAGTGGATTATAAAAAAATCACGGAATTTCAACAACAGAAATAATTTAATATCAACAAACATAACAAAATTAACAGAATTAGCTATCCAAATGAGCTTGATAAGCCATTTCATTCCCTGTCAATTGTCTGCCATATCCAGGATGCTCCCAACCGGAAGTAGGAGGATGTTCTACATGGTGCTCAACGTGCTGAGGATAGTGAATCACCTCATAGTTAACCACCTGAATGAAAAATAAAAAAAAACAATCAATTGAGTATTCTCAAGGAACTCATGCAAGTGAATGATTTCAAACACATCACTGTCCACTTCATGAAGTGATCACAATAACTCACTTTTGGTTTGGTGAACTTGAAAATCACTAGAGCTCCAGTAAGAACCAGGGAAAGCAGACCCAATGTAAGGGCTTTCCATGTCTTGAGGGCAATGAGGGCTAAGGCTAGAGGCACAAGAACTGCAGTCTTGAATTTCAATCCCAACAAGAAAGGGACAATTACTTTTTTCACTAACTTTGAAGACCTGCCTGCAATAGAAAAACGAAAACATTATCAAGACATGTATGAATATTAATATATATAGAATCATTGAATTTTGAATGAAGGAACTGTGGATGTTTTTATTGAAGAATACTTTACTATTGGATAGTAGAATTATAGAGATTTATATAATTTGTTTTGCTATATAGCGAACATCTTACCTGTAACTGCAAGAGGTACTTTGATGTCATCAGCAACAAAAGATCTTGGTACCAGATCAGCTATTTCACTACCTTTGTCTGTCAAAAGAGCTGGTGCTTTCATCAACAAGTCGTGAGACTGAAGGAAATCTTCGAATTTCTCGAAGATGTCATTAGAGAAACCTCTCTCCTAAAACAAAAAACAACACATATCTACACCAATTCACCACACTGAATCAGTTGCGATCTTCAACTACACACCTCAACTTGTCCTGGGACATCTTTCTTCACAATCATCAACTCTTCAGTGAGTTTGATCTGCTGTTGATCTGATACTTCGCTCAACCAGTGCAGAGCTTTCGGTTTGGCACAACTGACCTCGAAGTCCTTCAGGCAGCCCGAATAGATGTCATGAAGGACATCCACAGCGGATGGGCTAGCACTGGCTGTTGCCAAGATGGCTGCCGCAGTCAAAACGAATTTCACGGTGGCCATAGCTGTTCGCTTTAATTAACGCAATCAGAGCAACAATGAAGACTAAACTGATATCAACATTGTTTTATATATTGGTGGACGGAAATAGAAACTTAAAGAGACAGTCCTGACGACGTGAGTGGAATTCGATTGTTTGTTGTATTCATTCGATTTCGATCGGAATGCTGGCCAAAAAATTGGGTCTTCCTGATATCGAATCTGAAATTTCTTTCTGTTCCTTGAACGGATAGCAATTGGGAAACTTCTACATGGAATATTTATTCATTTCTCGAAATGCTCTGAGAGTTATATGAATGAAATATCTTTATCTTTTGAAGCACACGAAACAAATATCCAAAAACTTGACGGTTCTTCGATTTGTACACAGACAATTAAGTACTTTCGAAATATCTAACCCCCACAACAGACTATAGCTGAAAGACTGGGCTAGTGACTAGTCTAATTAATCCGAATTCAAATTGTTCAAAGCAGAAAAAAGCTATTCATATTTCAACAGGGTCAAAATTTTGGAATGCGACAAAATCAGTGTTGCGTAGTTTATATTATGTGTTCTGACCTAATACTCACTCTTTGATTCCTCTGTAATGCTTAATACAAACGACCAAATTCTGAGTCATAACATCAGTATACGCCTGTGTATCTATTGAATCACTCAGATCCTCATCATTCTGACAAAGTACTGTATCTACCACGTGGAACTTATGCAAAGAGTTCAAGGTCACACACAAATAGTCGCATTGTAGCCCGACTTGCATCATTAGACCGGAAGTGAACGTGTCTAGATTCCTCACGTTATTCTGAAGTTGTTGAGCAGATTTTTCTTGGAGATTGGTTGGACTCTACTTATTATATTCCAGCACAAAATAATTAATTCTCAACTATTATTCATGATACAAAAAGCTCATAGATCTGTTTTTGATTTGCAATAGGAGGATCGAAATACTATAATACAATTGCAGTGAGATTTATTGCAAAAAAATTATTGAAACATATCAGGTACTGATGCTGTATCAAGTGCATATTCTTGGAAGAATCATCTAAGATTTCATTCTATAGTTTCTTTCTCCTGCATCCTTTGCAGCAATGTAAGATATGAATATGATGATCTTAGAACCTGTGGAATGAAGAAAACATTGGCAAAATACATCAAGATGGTACATTATAGAACAATAAGTCACTCACCGATACAAACACACTGATAGACATCGTGAACAGTCCACCAGCTTTAAGACCGATTGGACTTTTGATCTGAGTCATGAAATTGAGAAGAATTTTCTGGAACTTTTTGTCACAGTCTAGCCAAGGTGTGTTGTAAGCTGATGAAAAAATCATTCCACTCTGAAAAACAATATTATGGAGCTGCATTTCATTGAACATGAGATGCTCCTGAATATAGAAAAGAAATGATACTAGGGAGTACCAACTTGGCTCCTTTCATAAACTACTTCGAGAGTGCAGGTTACATTGTCATAGATTCAAATATCTATAAATTACCTTGTATATTATCTCATTTCCAAACCAACAATACATGAATTGCTCCATCAGCATGCAAAGCAAGAATGATACGAACAGAAAGAACTCAATTCCTCCCAATTCAACCTAGAAATTTCCAAAATCAAGATGGAGAGTTTGTTTTCTATTCAAATGACTAACATACCACACACAACTGGAATAGAGCAAAACAAATGATCATAGATCCACCAAGAAACAAAATGAAAACGCTGGTATTATGTATATCCTCTATGTCCCTGGACAACCTAAAAGAAAACCATGGTTGGTCAAAGTATCATACCTATGAGTGATCAATATTGAAACATCCAAAATATCGTGTTTCAAGAATTCTTTTTTTCAACTTTGGACAATCTATAATTTTGTGATTCTTAGGATGATAAACTAAGCAACAATAATTTCGTCGCACGCCAAAATCTTGCCTTTGTTCAAATATAAATAACTTTTTTCTGTTTTGAACGATTCGAATTCGGATCACACTGTTCGCTAGCACAGTCCTTCAGCTATAATCTTGTTATCCTTTGGAACATAAGGTTCTTCACATAAAATCGCTACAGGGTGTTACCTGAAACTGTGCAAAATTTCGGAAATTTCAAAAGTATACCAAATGATGGAAAACTTTTTTTTTAACTTCGACAGTAGAGAAATGTAGATGATCTCCTTATCTTGAAACAGTTCTTGAATTGTCTCCCTATCTCTTTTATTCACAGAGTGATCTCGAAAAATTAACTTTTTGGTTTTGCAGTCATAATTTTTCTCCTCGTCAACCGATTTTTGAAATCTCAGGCTCATCTAGAAGCTCAAACTTCATATAAAGAGACATGAAGATCGGATTTGACTCAAGATGAACATTATACAGTGTGTCTCAGTGTATCTTTCGTGATTGTTGAGTTGGGATTCTGAAATTTGCAAGAGCGTTAGATATACTGAAAATACACATTATGACCATGTGGACTCGTCTCCAGTGATAAACACTGCTCGCCAACAGTCATGGAACCACCCACAAAAATAATATAAGGAGGCAAGATAGGTTGAAAATCACTTCGAATTCAAAATCAGGACGTCCCTTTCGTCCCTGCAAATTTCAGAACCAAACCTCAATAATCACGTGAGATACGGGGGTGCTTCCATGAGAAGTTAGACAAAATTAAATTTTTCTGAACTGAAAATTTCACAGGAATGATATGTATAGTCAGTGAATTGAACGTCCTGATTTCGAATACGAAGTGAGTTTCAATCTATCTTGGCTCCTAATAACATTTTTCGAAAATTTGGGTGGTTTCATGGCTGTTGGCGAGCAGTGTTTATTACTGGAGATGACTCCACTTGACAATTGTGTTTATTTTCAGTATATCTCCTGCTCCTGTGAGTTTCAGAATCCTAACTCAACAATTACGAAACATACAGGGGTGCTTCCATTAGGAGTGAGACACACTGTATAATGTTCATCTTGAGTCAATTCTGATCTTCATATCTCTTCATCTGAAGTTTCAGCTTCAGAATGAGATCAGGAAAACGAGTTGACAAGGAAAAAAGTTATGACTGCGAAACCAGGAAGGTACTTTTTTGAGATCACTCTGTGAATAAAAAAGATAAGAAGACAATTTGAAAAATGTCCCTAGGTAATGAGACCATCTTCATGCCACTGCTGTCGAAGTTGAAAATAAAAGTTTCTGTTCATTTGGGAGCCTTTTGAGAATTCCGAAATTTTTCACAGTTTCAGGTTATACCCTGTAACAGTTTTATAAAAAGAACCTCATGTTTTAAAAAAGTACGAGACTATAGCTGAAAGACTGGGCTAGTGACCAGTGTAATCCGAATTCAAATTGTTCAAAGCAGAAAAAAGTTATTCATATTTCAACAGGGTCAAAATTTTGGGATGCGACGAAATCAGTGTTGCGTAGTTTATATTATGTGTTCTGACCTAATACTCACTCTTTGATTCCTCTGTAATGCTTAATACAAACGACCAAATTCTGAGTCATAACATCAGTATACGCCTGTGTATCTATTGAATCACTCAGATCCTCATCATTCTGACATAGTACTGTATCTATCACGTGGAACTTATGCAAAGAGTTCAAGGTCACACACAAATAGTCGCATTGTAGCCCGACTTGCATCATTAGACCGGAAGTGAACGTGTCTAGATTCAAGAAAATCAACGTGTTCCAAAGAATTACCACATTCTGGAAAATGTAAATAATCTCGTAGTTTGGAGAGTATCTGAAATCTACAGGAAACCATCCTTGAGTCAACGGTACTAAACCTACTCGAAGAAACGGAATGGCAGAGAAGAAGATATACGTTTGTAATCCGATGTACAGGCAGAAGTAGAACAACGTTTTGTGGAACTTCTTCACTGACATTGCTAAAACGTAGTGTTCTTCGCATTTTGGTTGAAATAAAGGTTTGTTCATCTTCTTCAACAGAGATTTTATCAAATCCATGTTCTTGTAGATCGCCAGCATCTTGATTAAATCGATGGTACAAGTCATTGCTACATAAGAAACGTCTGTGAGTTCGTCAATGTTGTCAAATGAGCCGAAGATATAAATGAACTGGGATATCAGGAATGTTGTCCATATGGTAGTACATAGGAACGTATAGAAGTTGTAGAGTTTCTTGTACTTCATTCCTTCATCTGGTTTCCAGAAACCTATGAGTTTAAATGTGGAGATATGGAAAGAAAAGAAGTCAATGTAGTTGATTTTTCCACACATCTTCCTATGAGCATTTATTTTTCAGGAATGCTTGAGGTTCAGGTTTTATTCGTATGATAATTGGGGAAATTTTGCTGAGATTAATATTGATGACTTGGATTCAGAAAATGGTGTGTTATGAAATATTCAGTCGAATCATGCTCATACAGATATCAAAAATAGTTATCTATACGAGTACTATACATATCTGGTAGTGAGGAATATCAGTATTCACTGCTCGTTGTGATCAGAGTGGTTAGTAGTTTGATCCATTGTCGTTTGGTGATTTTATATCACCATATACCATAGAATTACATTTTATTTGGCATGAGATGGCATGATGATTTCAATTTTCAATATAATTTTGTTCCTCTTGTTCTTCGAAGTGCATTGAATGATTGAGGTAATCCAACTGAAATAAATATTAATGAGATGTAAATTGATGAAATTGAATATGTAGGAGTTACGTTAGAGCTGGAATGAAATATTCAGTGAGGCATTACACATAAATATCCATATAATTGGAGCTGAAATTATTGTAATGATTGAACTGAAGTAATTCTTACTGTCTCTGTGACTGAACAAGAAAAGTCGTGATTATACCACTATACCTCTGTCATTTATAATGGATATGGTTACCTATTGGTTATCTACATTATATTCCGATTGCATTTATCCTGTCATTTTTATCAAAACTATTTTCTAAAAGTGATCCAGATTTTCTCATAGAGTAGCAAACATTGGACTGATTTTGTGTTTTGTTCATCTGCAAATTATTATCGAATAATCATCAAATTAGTGGATTTGATTTGAGAGCCCAATCTGCTTTAGGTGAGGCATAATGTTTGTTTTATCCTTTGGAGTGCAAGGATGGAAATCACTATAATACCTTTGTGAAACATTCTGATAGAAAGAGAAAGTAGGAATTGGAGGATAACACGAATCAAATTGCCGACTAGGCAATTAACTTCAATGCTTGTTCAATCAAAGAGTTGGTTTTGGTAGAGAATCGTTTGACATATCTTGAGGATCTGAAAAACATTTTCCATGGAAGAATAGCTATAGGAAAGTGAACTGTCAACCAGTTTATCAGTTCCCGAACAACAAATTTCAGCAAGATCTTCATTAAAAGTGTTGATTCGCCTTCGCCGTGATTTCTTGGTCTCATGTGATGAATTCAAAATGCTAAGACTCAGTATACAAGGTGTTTCAGAATGGTGGTGACAAAAGTCTAGTGAATATTCCTCCCAACAAAATATAAAAAAGTCAAAGTTTGAAAAACAATGAGTTTTTCTATCAGTATCTTGAAATTTTCATGGTTTAATAACACAATATCAGACATTTACTGGGTCAATTAGGTATGATCCAAAATTTCCAGGGAAAAAAGTCATCATTTACAGATTCTCCACGAATATTCAGATGAACCCACTAGAAATACAATATATTTACCTCCTGCTATTTCTTCGTATCTTGCTTCAACTCTGAGAAAAACGTAAAATACCATATCTCAGCATATCTCTGAACTCCATTACAAAAAAAAGAAATGCTCAGATATTTCCAAAACAATTATTGCACATCATTATTTATGAAAACAAAAAATACATAAAATTCAATATCCTTTCTGAAATGTAATGTAATATTATTCTTTACTATAAAGGTATATTTCGATTGTCTCAAAGTATCTTTCAAGGAGTGCAATTTCAATGAAAAAAGTTATCGTATATCACACTTTTTTAATCAACAATCACTATGTACAAATAAATAAATAAATAAATAAATTATCGATCGAATAATTGATGAGTACATTCATACTTCTATTAACATACCTTATCAAGATTTCTTCACATTCATTATTATTTTGTTACATTTCACACATATAAACTAATGACTTAGTCCTGTAATTTCTAAGAATTTCCGAGAATGTACAAAATGGCAAAAAAGAGATAGATAATGAGGAAACTACCACTAGCCAGCTACTTAATTGTTTTTCTATGTAGGTATTCTTATCAAATTCATAATCAACTTTCACGATTCTAAAATGAGCAAAGTAAAATATTCCAGCCGATACTGGATATCATTCAGCTTCTGTGTTCACAGCACAAGCTGGATAAAGTCTTATACAGTCTCTTTTGTCTTGACCATCTCTAGCAGCCTGGACATATTTATAGAATCTGACCACAGCTGAATTCGTTGATGTAGGTTTCTTCAGTTCCGACGAGTCTCTGAAAAGAAAAAATCATTCAGTTATCAATTATGAAAGCGATTGCTTCTTGCTATGACTCAATATTGGCATAATATTGGTCTGATATTTCCTTTAGTGGGCCAATATAGCGCCAATATCTAGCCAAGATTTTTGCTAATGAGGTAACAATGACATTCTCCAAAAAAAGATGTCACTGATGTCAGTGACAAGTTGACTTTGACACTCGACCCATTGGTTTTGTGCAAGAAACTCCGGCTTCTCTGATACTGCTATATTTCTATTGAATAGTTTTTTTTATCTATAATCGGACTCAGAGCGTTATCTCAGATGGTGAAAAATCAAATTCTCTCGTGAAACCCTTCGGCATCCCTCAAGGCTCTATCCTTGGACCACTGCTTTTTAAACTTTACATTTGTGATTTCCATGGTCCGACATTATTAGGAATCTTGAAATGTTGTTCGATGTGTCTGCTTTTCGGTCCCAAAATTAAGACGAATGAAGTGAGTGAGTCTCTGTCTATCCGCATCAACAATGACGTTATTCCCTTCCTGACTGAAGGAGAAAATTTGGATCTTTGTCTGGATACCAATTTGAGGTACAGTGAATATATGAATCATTTAAGTAGCACATCTTTCAATGTCTTAAGACAATTATATCGTGGGCGTACAAGCAGAACCCTGTAATTCCACTTTATTCGGAAATGAGGAATTTATCACACATAAGTCCATATTAGCGTAACGCTCCAGGCAAATAAACATTCAAGTCCATTTTGCGTTTGTTTCCGGAGATATAGTCAATGAAAATCCACTTAAGTCTAATTTCGTTATGATTTTACAGGTTGATTCGAATTTTCAATTGCGTTTTTCTCCTTATATTATTTTCTGGACTTACATGATTCTGCTTGTACGCCCACGATATATCCCAGGAGAGACTTATTCTTGAGAACTATGAAGTTCAGCCATTGCGAATCCCCAATTTCCTTCAAATTGGCTTACTTTGATTCTATTTATGCTCTTGCCCTCCTACAAACAGATGCAGCCATTGAGGCTGCAACTAGTTGTAGTGTGACATGAATTTTCAAACAAAATTGGAGTTTTCTCATCCACCTATTCACGGTAGAAGTGAATTCTTGTATATTTGACATGTCCTTGATAATTGAATGGCAGATGGCAGAAATGACAAAATGGCCGTCACCGTTAGCCATTATGCTTGTTCACCAAATAGTATGACGAAATCGTAAGAAAATTATATTTCTAGTAGTCGATTTTCATACTGAAAATGTGTCATTGAAGTACATCGTGATAAATAAATTGTCCAAAGATGAAAAAAGAAGGGCAAACATAGTTCTAAGACAAGCGGACAAAGAAGGTGACATTTAGAACTTTTCCTTGAAATATCTCGATAGATAGTGGTTTTTTCACATTTTCATTATCAAATTCGTATTTTTGAGACAAGAATACGTGAGTACCAAAATGACGTTCCGTTTCGAAGACACTATCATCAACTTTACCCCATGATAGACATAGAACTAGCCATAAGTATAACCACATGTGTCTATTATTTGTATTGAAATGTTGTTACATGCATTCTCCTCATTTTTATAACTGTTGTTCGTCGAAAAGTGCCTTATCGCTATGAATTGAAGGCGGCGTTGATACCCTATTTCTATTTTCCATCTACGGCTATGATTGATGAATCAGGCGCTATCAGGGAAATTGAAAAGACAAAGAGCAGATTATATGTCTCATTCTTTAATTCTCTCAAGCATTGTAATTTAGAAAATAGCAAAGGACAAAAGTTCAGCTGTGTCCGAACTTTTATCTACTGATACCATCCAGTGACCCTAGTCTACACGATCTCAATCGATTGTTTGTGTCATATAGTATTCTATATTGCTTTCTCATAATGAATAATAATATGTATTTGTGGAAACACCTGTTATACTGACATCACTTCGAAATAATGTAGGTTTATTATACGCCTTAGGCATGAATGAATGACCTACTAGATATGTTTCATCTGTTCAATTATTTCCATGCTCATTAAAACTCGCCATGCCAAAATCATCTTCGAACAAACATAAAAATGAACAAGTTTCATGTACATGTCAATATCTCGAATGGTGACCTTGACATTTCTCCATATTGATGAGCTTATCTATAAAAACTATCTTGGTCACCTACTCTCTAGGCATAATCGACGGTGTTTGAGTATGATATTAAGCTGAAATGGTGAAGAAAGTAAGTAGCAAGTATATTATTATTCATTTCCTATTATATTTGCCCAGTGCCCAGTACGGACGGAATTTAACTTGTGAGTTATCGAGAAGGATAAATCTCAAAGTGTGTCATTTCTTCATTTGCTTGATGTGAGATTTCGATACCTCTATCAAAACTATAATACATATAATTCTAATGAAGTGCTGACCAATGAACTCTCTTGAATTGATTGAAACTACCAGAATCAACTGGGACCGAATAACAAATTCTGTGATCGGGACTCTAAGAGACTCTGAACGAAAACTTTGGCCCAAAAAATATATTATATTGACACATTTGCGTTGTCCAAAATTTGGCATGGTGAACCAATCAGAATAGCACATCAGTAGCTGCTTTTTTCCAGAATGAGAGGAGGACAAGGGCTGCTATCTCCACATGAGAAAACTCGAGTGATGTTTATTAAAAGAACAACTCTACAAGTACAAGGACTAGGTGATCCCTGTTCAGCGCCAATATATCAATTGGAACTCCATAACAAATCCACCATTTGTAAAGGGTTTTCCTGCTGAGGCCCCATACATCAAACATTATATACAAGAAGCAAGCTACGTCGATAAAAGAGACCTTATGAATCTTCGTTCCAAAAATGTTCACAAGGAAAAGCTACGTAGCCTGCCTATACCTAAAGAGCAGAATAAAAATCCAAACGCAAACTGGGAAAGGATATGGAAAAATATAAACTCCAAGAACAGGAGAAAAAACGAACTCAAAGTCGGTCGACCGTTCGTTTTTTCTCCTGTTGAAAAATACCGGACCACTTTGAGAATGGATGGTTTCCATGACTTATACTCCAAGAAGCTTACACCACAGCAAAGAGATATATGGTACCAGATAGTGAACAATTCTGTCCTAGTTCTCTAGAACACCGTAGAAAAGTTGACAATCTGGCTCTATTTTATAGATATTTCCATAGACGATGCTCTTCTGAAATATCAACAATTGTTCCTCCCTTGGCAGTTCCTGCGAGATTAACCCGTCGAGTTGGGGCTTGGCACCCATTCGTTGTTACTTTGGAGACCTGCAGAACATCTCTCTCCAAAGACTTGTTTATACAACGAACAGCGAGGCTCTGGAACCCATTGTCAAGGGAAGTGTTTCCCGAGTCATATAGCCTCCAGAAATTTAAGAAGAACCTTATTTCCCTTGGTTATCACGATGTTCTCTGAACATTACAGGATATCCCTCTTCGTGGGAACCAGAACATAAGAAAAATAGAGTTCAATCACGAATAGTAGAGCTACACCATCACCCAAACAATAGATGCCTGCATTGTTCTCCCCTGGACATCCTTGAACATCACGTTACCCAGTGTTCCGGACTACATGTTATATGGGACATTATTCGCCGATGGATTTTCCTGTACACAAGGATTCCTCAAGCCAATATCAACATAAAATTCGTCACAACACCAGGTTGGCACTTCGATGAACCTCTGCACACGGATGCCATTCAGGCAATAATAGGACACCTACTAGCACTTGTTTCAACAATTAACCCTCCATGTCAGCTCGCATACTACCTACCTATCACTATCAAACTAACTTAACCTAAAACCTAAGCCTATATCATTGTATATATTAGATATTGACCAATTAAGATTTTTTCTTGAAGAAAAAATAGAATAGGTACCCACCTGCTTAGTTCTGTTGAAAGTAGATTACTATGTGGACTGAACTTAGTAGGATTTTTGTACATGCTACAAATCAACCTCTCTCTACATGGTTCCTCGATGAAGTCAAGATCATTCAGCACTTTATCTATCTTCTCTAGAATTGGACTGTAAAACGCATCGTAAGTTACTGAAGCAGCTTTATATATCTCATCTTCGTATTGGTTCCTGCTAGGCTGTTGTGGCTCATTCTGTGGTTGGTTTCCTCCAAACTCTGGGAAGGAATCTTCATACTGGCTCCTGCTGGGTCCTTGTGGTTTGCTCTTCTCAAATTCCGGAAAGGAATCGAATGGTCTATCTAATCTTGATCCTTGGGGCTTCTCGGGAAGATCAGGAACTTCGACAGACTTTATTACTTCTACTGAAGGAACTCTTTCGGTTTGCTTGGGAAGATAGTCCTGAATGAAGGTTTGCTCTGGTGCATTCTGGCTGTAGACTGGATAAACTTGTTGTTGAGATTGGGAAGTTTTATGTTTCACAAAATCTGTTGACAAAAATCATAGGTTCATATATATAATAATGATAATAATAAGATAATTTCGCTTTCATTGACATAACCATGATACAAATGAAAATAATGATGGATATAAATCTTTTGAAGGTTTGTCAAAAGGCAGAGTTCAAAATTCTGTTCGGAAACAAATTTTGTTCTTCCACTCAACCATGTTGCTTATTCTATTCTAAATACGAATCAGTAATTCAAATGCTAGTTAGTTCAAACAGAACAGAATGAAGGGAACATATACAATAAATACAAAAATATCAAATTCAACAAAATGCCTGAGACTGCAAAAAAAATAATATGCCAGAATAGATTTAGTCATTCCATCATCTCGCCCAATGAAACAGCTAAAATACAAAGAAAAAGTTATTCAAATAACTAGGGACAGATATTTGTTCATCAAGTCTTGCTTTAACTTCTTCTTGAAACTTGTTTAGTTCAATTTTCTACGAAATAGGTTGAATATCCACGAAAGAGACTATTTTTATGAATAGGAGGTGTGAGCATTGTTTTATGCCGAACATTAATATAATGACAGTCCGTACAAAAAGTGATTTTATCATGAAGATAAGCAGGGCATTTGGTTAGAAAAAGTTTTTGAAATGGAGTAGAAGAATGTGAAGTTCTTCTTCCTGCCATATTTAGCCATCGTGAAGCTACCAACGAATGAGTCACGTGGTCCCTTTTGCTGAGGCCGCATATCAAACGCACACAGGTATTTTGGAGTCTTTGTAACCTTAACTGGTCTGATTTCAGCATCAAGGGCGATACACAGCATCTGCATAGCTTTCATGCGATATCACTATAGATTCACATAGTAAGATTTTCTTTTTTTTATTCGACAAATCCCTATTCGCATATATCGTTTTCAATCCGAAGTAGGCTTTCTTAGCAATATGTGAAATATTGATGATATTTCCTATTGACACATAACCATTAGCAAATTTGTGTATCACCAAATTCTCATTTTACTTCCGCATTTAGAGCCAGAAGTACGTACAATTCTATGTGAAGATGAAGAGAATCTCAATCAGGGTTTGTGGTACAGCCCCAGAAAATCTTTATGACTATGAAGAATTCGTCGGAAGTAGTCACACTAAGGAAAATGTGTATTAACCATAGTTAGAAATCTAATTATCCCAGCAAGAAACTCTAATAGCATAGGGGATACTCGAGTGATTATGAAGTCATCTTTGCTGCTATCAGACGATGTTTCTGTAGTAGGTAATTGACTTTGCTACCGCTAGTAGGTGCATCTAATAATAATCTAATCAACTTTTCATCTCTTACAGTTTAGGAAATAGTAATACTGTCCCTATTCAATGGACCCTGATCCTAAGATTGATCCTTGATACTCACTTTGTACTGCTTGTACTGTTTCCCCAGGTAATCCGGCTCCTATACCTCCATTCTGACCAAAATCAGTCATACCACTTATTCCCATTGGGTCACTATGACCTGCAGTGCTGCTTAGTCCAACAGCATTCTTGAATCCCACCAGATTTGATACCACAGCGTTATGCTGGCCTATCGATTGTCCACCTCCAGCAGTTTGCTGTCCAATCGAATATACTGCTGCAGCATTGTGCTGTCCAATAGGAGTACTTGCTGCAGCATTCTGAGGTCCGATCGAATTCCCGTTCCTCACAGCATTTCCGACTCTGATGGGGGCTTGCAAGGAGTTTCCGAATGAGTTTGGGCTATATGGTGGTTCGGCAAAAGGACCCTGCAGGAATTTATTGGGAGGCGGTCGAGGTGGTGGTACTAATGGGGTAGCAGGATAACGTGTCTTGGTAGAGGAAGGTACTTTGGCGCTGTAGAAAGAAGTTTGTTGCTTGAGTTTCTCCTGAAGTTTCAACGCGTTGTTCAGTTGGTGTTGTAGTCTGAGGTTCTCTTCGTGAATCCGTTGTTTCTCCTTCTGCAGTCGTGATTTTATCTGCAAGAACGGTTTGTCAGAATATGAGAGTCTAGTTCGAATGAGCAGAGCTGTACAACTAGTCTGTTTGGAATGGACAGACCTGTACACGCATTTCAGTTCTTTGTGTAGGTATCGACTTACCAGAGCTTCCTTTTCGGCCTTGAGTACGATGTTTTCTATTTCGGTGGAAGTGAGAGGTTTTCTGGTGTCTGGTTTCGGCCGTCTTGTTTCTTGACCTTGACCCCAACTGTCCACTTCGTTTTCTTCTTGTGGGTCTCTCCTGTGCGAGATTATTCTAGAAAGAGGGGAAAAAGTGTGGTGAAGGAATGGTTAGTGAAAGAGAAGGACACATACAGGGTGTTTCATTACTAATTGGACATATTTCAACCATAAAATCCCGAACTCAAAATATGAAGATTTAACCCAAATCACCTAGATAAAATATGTCTCCTGTCTGAGTTACAGGGTGTTTTATTCAAAAATTTCGAAATGTTTTTTGGCAAGTTCTTCAAAACTATTTGACGTATCACTTTCATATTTGGAGGGAAGTGTAGGTATTCTCAACCCAATTGAATTATGTGAAATGAACTTTTCTAGCTATCACCAGAGGCGTACGACAGGGGCAATTAATTGGTTGATCCCTCCCAAATTCTACGCCACTGGCGGAATTGCAATTCTATCACAAATTTTTGAATCTCCAACAACTTTGACGTAGATATTGTACTCTTTCTCCATGGCGATAAAGTCATTATTGTTCGAAATATTTCAAGTAAAACATAAATCTGCACAATTATATTGATTTCAATGTGCATTAATTTTGTCAATATTTTGGATCAATGGATTGAATCCATCAATAAAATGAAACTTCAATCCATATTAACAATAAAAACATGATAACAAAACAGACAGGAGCTGTTACAGGGTGTTCAATTATGTAATATATCAAAAAATTCAAAACGCCCTGCAACAGCTCCCGTCTGTTATGTTTTTATGTTAATATGGAATGAAGTTCCATTTGATTGATGAATGCAGTCCATTGATCCATAATATCGACATTATTGATACACATTAAAATCAAAATTGGGCTGCTTCATGTTCAACTCGAAATATCTCGAAAAATAATGACTTTATCGCTATGAAGAAAGAGTACAATATTTACGAAGAAGGTATTGAAGAATCGAAAAATTCTGATAAAATTGCAATGTCGCCAGTAAAGTAGAATTTGGGAAGGATCAACCAGTCACTTGCCCCTGTCGTACGCCTCTGGTGATAGCTAGAAAAGTTCATTGCACATAATTCAGTTGGATGTATAATACCTACACTTCCCTCCAAATATGAAAGTGATACGTCGAATGGTTCTGAAGAACTGAGCAAAAAACATTTCGAAATTTTTGAATAAAACACCCTGTAACTCAGATAGGAGACATATTTTATATACAGGTGATTTGGGTTAAATCTCCATATTTTGAGTTCGGGATTCTATGGTTGAAATATTTCCAATTAGTAATGAAACACACTGTATAATACCCTTACTTATGTTATTTCAAAAATTTCTGATTTTGTACAAGGAATATCTGGAAGCAAATTTATAATAAATCATGGAAAGATACAAATATCACCTGGATGAATCATTATTGTGAATTTAAAAGGAGTATTGAATAAATTTTATCAATGAAGCATTCATTTCAATATCTCTGTGGAAAGCATGTGACACCAAAATTAATCTATACTTGAGGAATTCTAAGATTAAATGGAACACTATGAAGCTAGACTACCAAAAGATACTATTAATCACCGATGAAGTGCATCTAAATTCGTGAAATCTATATCCATCTACTTTCACTACGTCTTACTCAATTCCAATCTTGAATAGTTTTTGCAGAATATTTACAACAGATTTAACGATACGTATACCCATTGTTTTGAGAACTATACGACATGAGCTGAAAGGAAATAATTGAATATTATTCAAAATTGATAGATATATTCCGTATATCCAAACATCTTCTAGAGGGTTTATCATTGGATATAGAAAAATCTTTCAATACAAAAGTTGTAGAGTTTGTTCTAAACGTCCAGAAAATTGTACGAGGTGTAACAAATGGTGTCGCTGATATAATAAATAGATACCAACTTCGTTATTTTCAATAGAACACCCTATATTTTTTCCAAAAAACTTGGAGATGCGATTTGTTGAAACCAAATTGTAACTGAAAACTGTTCAACCTCGAATATTCTGAAAACTGCTGACCCGAATATCATCAACTAATATATTTTGAAATCAGAAAAGGAAGATCTGCAATTTCGAAAATAACGAGTTGCTACCCATTTATTATATTAGAGATTTTCATTTGTTTCTCCTCGTGCGATTTTCTGGCGGTTCAAAATACACCCTACATCGTTTGTATTCGAATTTTCTTATATATATCCAATAATGAACCCTGTAGAAGCTGTTTGAATATACGGAAAGACCCTGTACACTCGATGTGCATACATAACTTCAAATTAAAAAAATGTGACCGAATTGTGATGAAATATTCGTTAAAATCGAATTCATTGTATGAAAAATTTCGTAATGTATTGGAAAATCCAAATGATCAATATTCTCCAATCATTATTTGATAACAGAATTGTGACGAAATATAATAATTCCATTCATCACTGAACTATTTCGAAAAATACCACAGCCATATACTTAAGGCGAGAATGAGATCTCAATGAATTCATCTCACATACCCATACAATAACTAGTTCACCACAATGTTTTCCACGTTTGCATTGTTTTGTCAATTACATGAGTCAAACAGTGGAAAAATCGTGTGTCTTTATAACGCTGACTGAATCCTCCTAAGGAGATTAATGACAATCATATAGTCGAACGACAATGGTTTCATAGTGGTTATGGTTTCGTGACCAATATTACTGCCCACACAGAGTGGTAATATATCGCACGTTGAGAACAATAATAGTGTGACAACTCAAAAAAGTTGATTTTTGAGTTAGAACCACCGTCAGATAGCAAATTTCGAGCTCTACACTCCTAGAATATCGTGACATCTCTAGGTCCAATAGCTGCTGCGTGACATCGCTGGTCACGTTATTGCACTAGAGGAGAAGTAGGTACTACAGCCGAGCAAGAAAGTGACTTTTCAGGATATTCTGACTCTGAGGAAATTTTCATGATAAGTCATCAAGATTTTCATTCAATAATGTGCTAAGTATAGTCTTCTACTCGCGTATGGTGACCATCTTTCACTAGGTTGAGTCTTCACGGATATGTTGAAAAAATATATACGCTCAATAATCACAAAAACGAAACTTACTCATTTCCGAAATAGGGTCCAGAAGGATTCAATTCAGGCTCGTCATAGCCACCATGCTCGTGATGATAACCCGGTGGACCCTCTTCGTAGCCATAACCTTGGGAACCATCCCCATAGTGGTGACCTGGGGGACCATCCCCATAGTGGTGACCTGGGGGACCATCTTCGTAGTGATGCTTGTACGGATGGTTCTTATGTCCATGAGCCACCTGGTGGATGTGCGAAATCTGGTGTTTGTGGATGTGGTGCTTTGCTCCATAGGGGGTATAGGCGCAGAGCTTGAAGAGGTGATGGAGAGCTGGGAATAGGAAGAGGACGATCTTGAGGATGAGTTTTTTGGCAGCTGCCACGCCGATGATGGCTGGAAGTACGAAGAGGATCTTGACGGCTAGCAGTTTGATCACCACCAAGATGGCCAGGAAGGCTAAGAGAAGCCTCTCGCCGATGTACTCTTCTGCAAGAACAAAATCATTGAGTGTGATCAAGTCTTTTCACTTTGCTGAGATTAGTGAACTCTGCCTGAGTGCACTCTATTTTATGGAATTGTATCCATAAAGCTATTAATATAACGAGATCATTTCGCGATTTATAATAGTCGAGACATTGATGAGACGGTGTTAATAATCAGGTTACATCCAAAGCTTTATCGTATCATTGACAACGGCGATGAGAAAATGAAATCAACAAGGTTTAATGTCATTTCTACTTGGCATTTCAAGAAGTCATCAACAGAATCATGCAAAATTTTGATATTCCTGATGATATATTAGCCGCAGTCAACACTTCAAGGTTGAACTTGCTTCCGGACAAATCTAAAATCCATTATGAAGAAGAATATCGGCAGTTTTGTGAGTGGCGAAATGAAGCACAAGTTGAAGGTGCAGCAGAAACAGTGTTGCTGACTTATTTCACAAAACTCTCTGTGGAATATTCTGCTTCATCCTTATAGCCGAAATATTCCATGTTACGAGCGACTTTAGAACAGTAGGAAAGAGTGGTAATCAACGAGTTTGTGCGTTCTGCTCCAGACGAGGAGTTTTTAATGAGGAGCCTGTCGAACCAATGAATTAGCGAAGATGACCACGGAAGATGTTGACGTTTTAGAGGACAAGCTGATTGCTACTATTCCCGACTCAAAAACCTACAAGAAACGGATTTTCGCTGTGGTATCTGACGTCGTAGTCAATCCTGTGCTTTTATTTAAAAAGTTCCCAATATTTAGGCCTACAAGAACTTGGTGGATGGGAATCGGAAGAGAGTGTGATTATAAAAGTGTCCATTGCTCGCAAATTTCAAATCGGCGATGTTTCCGGCTGTGAATTGAGCACTGAGGAACCGCAAGAAATCGAAAAGAGTGCTTGCTCGGTCATTAATCATGCTTCAGAGGACATACCTATGATCGTCGATTCTGAAAACTGTCAAAATATTTTTTTACATGTTCATGAAGACTAGTTCTAATATTGATATCTACCGTATCATTCTTTCGTAACTAACGTATCAAATTATGGTATTATGAGTAACTGAGGTTCTGTAGGTTTTGGTACGTTTATGATGTTAATAATCATTCATGAAGATTTCTTATGGAAATGTCTCAATCTTCAATGATACGATAGAAGTGTGAATTCTATCTAGACCTATATCCCCCATTAATATTAGGATATGAGGTGGTTCTAGGTGGGGTAACTCCTCCTCTATTATATGTGCTCCTATAGTTTTCTTGCCCTTGGGTTCTGAAGGTTATCACAAGTAATATGTGAAAATACGTTTCCTCCTCCGCCTCGAAAAACTCACGTTCATCTCCCTCTACTGAGCCAAACTTCCCGAGATTCCCTATCAATCGACAGCGCCCCGTTATACGAAGTTTATTTTAGCTCAGGCTGATATATGCATTCGATCTCTTGTGTTTATATGTACCCAGTGGTCTCTCAGCATGTCTGAGACCTTGGAGATTTTCCCGAATGTCTTTTGGAATTTCTTCTGATATAGCACTGCTGACGCTCCTGCAGAAAAGATCTGGCCCCACGTAGGGTGTCTGATCAAGTTTTCGAGCGTGTTTGGTAGCTACGTCATTTCCTTCTACTCCAGAATGTCGCGGATCTCATTGAAGGGTAACTGTATAATTGTAGACTAGCTTTGTATAGTAGGTACTAAAATTTTAGCCTGGAGAAGACGAAATACTAGCGAAGCAGGCTGTGTTTGAAATTATTTGTGTATCTACTAAGTTATACTCGGAGTCATCTCTGATTTGTGTATGTCTGATTATTTCTCGAGGTCTATTCTGGTAACTGTGAATCAGCCAAGAAGTTATTTCTATGTCTGAAATTAATACTTAGAACCTTCGAAGTACCAGACCATCTAGGTTGAACCAACTGAAAGAGAAATATTTGAAATGTATATATTGAAGTAAAAGAGACAATCACCAGGAAATGCCCAGGCATGTGAGCGTTTTATTACTCCTGCAATTGATCTCATTACCTCTGGAGAAGTTTTGGAAATGTTCATTTTCCATGAAGCAACTCAAAATAAATCGCTAATATAACAGAATAACTGGAACCAGAGGTTGAACCAACTATGTTGAATATAAATAGTCGATTGAGACAGAAGATAAGACAACCATCAGAAAAAGTATAATAGAAGACTATAGGACTAGCAGAGAATAAAAATGAGAATATTTATATCGGATCTTCAACTTTGGTCTTGGACCATTGTAGAATCTATTTATGATTATTTTCAAAGAATTGATGAGAAGATGAAACTAGAATGAACTGTACTTGATGAACCACCTCGAGAATCTGCGATAACATCAAACCTACAAATCGAGCCGTGAAACTTTATATTTTATTGAAAAAATATCAAGATCAGACGCTATCTTTCTCATTAATTCGAATTGGAAAGTAAATAATTATAATGGTGAAAGAGGATTGAGGTGTTCGTGGTCAATGCCGTGTTAAGCTCGCGAACACACTTTGACGTAATATCGGGATAATTAAAGAACCTCGAAGGTTCCCAAGCATAAAGAAAATAGTTGGTTTGAACACCGCACATTATAAGGAAATCAATAATATTAGTAGCATTACCGGCACCTTTCATGATTTCTGAACTCGCATGGTATACCGGAACTTCTCTTCAAAATTCATAATAGAAATAGAAACAGAAAATTCAATCAATTTTTCAGATTTGACAAAGGAAAATTGATGATAAACATGATTTTTCAATTTTCCATAAACCTTTCCCACACTGATATCACTATTCATAATTATTCAACACACCCTTATCAACAAAAAATTGCAGCATATTATAGTATGATACACAGGCTAGTGATCAATAATGAACTCAATATCATGACACAGATTGCAGTCAACAACTGATACAACGTTAATTTGATAGACAGTATTCTTCCTAAAAAACTTCATGATAAAGCTATCCAAGGAGTTTATCCTACCATCAAGAATAATAATCAAAATTATAGAACTTTAATCTATTTTGGATCATCAACTGAAAAATTAGCTTCATTTCTACATAAATAGGACTTAAAAGTAGCATATAGAACAAATAACACTTTGGGAAGGTTTTTCAAAAATAATAGAGACAAAACTTCTGAATTCGAAAAATCAGGGGTACACAAACTGAACTGTGGATCTTGTCCTAAGGTATATTATATCGGTCAGACAGGTTTTATTTTGAAAGAAAACAAATTCAACATACGCCAACCATATATTAGAAGAAAACCATAGTGTTGATGACAGTTTCGAAATTCTACACGTAGAAAATAGAGGAATAAAACTCAATCATTTTGAATAATTAGAAATCAACGAACTCAAAAATTCTGACATTTTACTTAACGATCAATCAGACCCCAATAGTTCACCACTGTTGAATTCGTTTTCTTGGTAAGTAATAATATTTATGCGATATCAACCCTTTCAAGTTAATCCGGTACAATTTGATATAGATATTGTTCTTATTTCCGAAAATGGAGGTTTATCGATCCTCTCCACAGGTAACTAATCCTTCAGGTTGGAAAAGTAGGATATATAAGCAAGCTAAGGTTAGTTTAGTTCATCATACTAGTATATCATCTGACGAAGCTACTGTGTTAGCGAAACATGTCGAGTGTTTGAGAATTTTGTGGAAATCTTATCGTTTGTGAAGTTTTTACATGTCTCTTATATTCACTGGAACTTCTTCTATCAGTTGAGAATTACTTGTTACAGAAATAAGGTACACTTTCATCTGATCTTAACTTGTTTAGATAGTGCTATATAATGCTTTGAACACTAACTTCACAGTAATTAGCGTATCATATTGCAGTGTGAAAAAATGGAACTGGATCAAACCAATTTCGCTTTGAAAAAGCATATTGATAATCATGAGTTCAGCTAGGGAAAGTTCTCTTCCTGATAGCAACTACTTACAATTTCCTCATTTTGATATCGAATCAAATGATCATGATATAATTGATGCTAATTTGGGATCAATTATCCAATGATTACCAATGAATAGTACGGATTATGCTGGATTTCTTTAGTCCAGTCTGACCTTAATCAAGTGTTCGTCAATGAAGATTTTATGCCATTGACACTGACTCATATTTCTTGGAAATGAAGCCAGATATATCCAATGGACTTTCTCTCATACACCGTTACGATGTTTGAATATTAATTACCTTCGAAAATTTTGGATTCTACTCAACTGACCAGTATTCCAGTAGGTCACCTCTTTCTACAAGAAGGAATTCATCCAAGAATCCAAGAACAATTTCTCATAAATCAATTCATTATCGAAAATGGAAAATAATAGTTTTAGACATGCTCCTCCATGGAATAAATGATCAATAATTCCTATTCAATTCCAAGTCGCAAGTTGTTTTCGAATTCATGTTATGTTTGTGCTCCTATTGTTGATAGCTAACTGTATAGCTGTTTTGATTTTTGAGATTCCAGTTCAGCCGTTAGAATTGCCCATATCAAAATGTTCTATGACAATTGAAATCCATTTTTTTTCTACATTCATGCAAAAAGCAGAACTTTATTGAACTATATTTAGTGGAGAAAGAAGTTCTTTATTGCACTTAGTGCAATAAAGTTTTCATTGCACTCATCTGTCATTGAACTTCAACGTGCTGTCATCATGACAAACATTTTTTATATTGCAACTGTGGTTAAAGAAACGTCAGTCAAGAATTAATTCTGACAATTAACAGAATTGTACCTAGTGCCGCACCTCAATAAATCATTTTTTGCTTTCTGCATGAACGTAAAAAAAATGTTGTATGCATGATTTTCTCTGTATAACTCTTGGAATAATGGAAGTGTTACATCATCATGATGAAGTCTGGTGTATAGCATCAAAATGGTTTTGTATTTTTTTTTTCGAAAAATCAACCTTGTATACATGTATATTTTCCGGATGTGTGATAGTGTTCGAACATGGAAATTCCAAAATTTTCATATTGAGCATTCCTTCTTCCCATCAAAATACAGCTCTGAAATCAGGAAATTAAAAGATGCGAGAAAATATTTTTTCTATGTCAATTAATGTTTGTCAACATGAATTTTGTTCATAATAATCCAAAATTATCATATTCAGAGAACGGATGATTCAATTTGGCTCGGGATTGTCTGCCAGCATTCATTCGTCTCATGAAATACATCTACGAATTCAGAAAATCCGAAAATCAAAGAGATCTATTTTTCCTATGTAATTTTATGTTTGTCAGTATCATTTTTTTTTCATGTGAATATTTGGCGAATATATAATTCAATTCGGCTCGGGTTTGTCTGTCAGCATTCATTCTTCTCATAAAATACTGCTCCATTATCAGAGAATTCCAAAACACTCAGTGACCAAGTGACTTGTCAATTTTCCCCACCATTCATTAACATATTCCCAAAATTTACAGATTTTTTTACAGAAGAAGATCCGTCACCATTGCATATCGAACACCCCACCAATTGATGACGTAACCTCTACATCACGTGACCTGTCAATGTTGCAGAAGAATTCCGGTATCATCAATACGTCACCAACAGTCCATCCCGTCATTATGACGTCATCTCAAATGTGTTACATGCGCATCTTTACATCTGAGTATGTATTGCGCACCACGTGACTCGTCAATTTCCCCCACCATTATCTAACATATTTCCAAAACTTACAGATTTTTTTGATAAAAACCTCATAACAGAAAAAGGTACGTTGCCATCTCACATCGACCACCCCACCAATTGATGACGTAACTTCAACATCACCTGACCTGTCAAAGTTCCAAAAGAATTCCGGTATCATCAATACATCACCACGTCATCTCAAATGTGTTACATGCGCATCTTTACATCTGAGTATGTATTGCGCACCACGTGACTTGTCAATTTCCCCCACCATTATCTAACATATTCCCAAAACTTACGGATTTTTTTGATGAAAATCCTCCCTTCGCCAATAGAGTTGCTTGATCTACCCTCGGCTTCTTTATTGAACAGCTCTAGTTTCACCAAAGTACCAACCCCATCTGAACTGTCATCGACTGACCTCGGAGATATTTTAAGGGTAGTTCCAGAAAAAAAAGTTTCCGGAAGTTGCAGTTCGAGATCGTGAGTCATCAGGAACTTCCGAGAGGTTTCTTTCAAAGACCGTGATATCTCTTCCAAGGGTGTTTCTTCTGTGAAGGAGCGATCAGCTCCACTAGGTTCAGAGGCAGCAGAATCGGCTTTGGTGTAGTTTTCGAAGTTTCTGGAGAACCTGAGGAAACTTGTGAACTGCACATCACTAGGGTAGTCTAAAGTGTCTTTGAGATAGTCGTAGATGCTGTTTTTGATGCAAGCTGCGGTAGGTTTTTCACAGTCCTTCACCAACCCCGACCACAACTCATTACCAGTGGTAATATTTTCCAGAGGTTGGTGAGCAGCAGCATACGAATCGCTGAGGACACCGAAAACATTGCACAGGAGTAGCAGCAGGAAACGGCTGGACATATCTTTGGTAGAACGGTGTGGCACTTTCATTTCACAACATTCTTGTTGCCGCTCACCTAACCTGTCTGATCGTGTCACGTGACAGGGAACTGGACCATCCTATTCGGAACACGGACGTCGATGCGCGAGCGTAGTCTGCCGAAGAATACGAGGATACGAGTCGACCATTAACTTATCATTTCTTGACATACTTCTGAACAAGGCTACAGGCCCGGACTGACTATAACGCAAGCGTCTTCGTTTTTTCCTGTTTATCTTCCATGTCCCGCCATACTAGGTTCTCTTCTCCACCATACTGCGTTTTCTTCTAGAATCCCTATTTTTCTTGAAACGCACTAGAATACTAACAGAACATCAATTTGGATTTCAGACAAAAAAAAGCACAAATGATGCTCTGTTTTCCTTCATGAAGGAGGTGTATAGGAGCTCAAACAGAGGAGCCGCTGCTGCGGCAGTGTTTTGTGATTTTTCGAAAGCATTTGATTGCATAAATCATGAAATACTGCTGCGGAAGATGTATCGCTACGGTTTTACTGATGGATTTTACTTACCTTACAGGTCGTCAATAATCTGTCAAAACATGCTGTGACCCAAAGACCACACATATCAAACATGGTGTACCGCAAGGATCAGTTCTTGGACCACTGCTATTTTCAATGTATGTGAATAACATAGTTTTCTTAGACATTAGGTGAAATCACTTCATTTGCTGATGACACCACTATCCTCCCGCAAGAAATGAGTGAAGCTATACTTCACACAACTGTTATGTACGATATCGAAGTTATTAAAGATTGGTGTGATTCAAATCTACTATCGCCCAATATAAAGAAAACGAATATCTTATCCATCCATGGCAATCTACCAAATTTAGGTATTGGAAATGAAAAAATAGAAAATAAATTATCGACCAAGTTTTCAGGTTTATACATGGCTTCTCCAGGCCAAAAATCAGGTTAATGTGTGTGCAAGCCCAAAGTCTCCCAATTACCTGATCTGGATTGAAATCCAATATTTCATTTGGAGTTTGATAAGTTTGTGTGAAAAATATCAGGCCCTTTTATCTCTACGCCGATATAGAGGCCGAATAGATGACGGATTCATTGGATGAGCGGGCCATACTTGAAGTCAAACGTGCTGCATCATCTGTACGCCGGTATCCAGGTCGGATCAACAAACGGATTCGTTGGATAAGAGGAGTTCATACGATTGAATCTTATGAACACTTCAGGCCATTGTGTCGGCGACCTTTCACTTTTCTATCGATACTTCCACGGGAAATGTTCTTCGGAAATCTCTGCTATCATCCCTTCACTAGCAATACCAATCAGACGAACTAGACGAGCCCAGTCAGCACATCCTTCCGTTGTCAACCTCGAAAGATGTCGAACAGCATTTTATCAAGACTCCTTCATCCATAGAACGGCTAGGCTCTGGAATTCATTGCCTGATGGAAGTAATCCCAACAACATATAATCTCCAAAAGTTCAAAAAAAAATTCAATACATACCTCCTGTCCTTATCCTCCCTAGGAACGCACGATGTTCTTTGAACATTATAGGGATTCCCTTTCGTGCGCTCCAAGCGATAAAAAAATATCAATACATACCCAATCTTGAAAAAAATTCAACTACCTGATCTGAAGAAATTGTTACCGAAAGGAGACAGAAATTCAAAAAACCCAAAGAGAAGAAGATCATCTATTATGGTTCTGTCAATATTGAAGCTGCAACTGCAGCTGCCAACGGTTGATGATAATGTTTGGATATTCTGACTTGAATGGATCTTTTGCAGTCATGATGTAGGGTTGTTTCAAACCAAAATTGATCATTATTCCTGAGGGAGTAACAGTGACTTTGAACTTCGGTCCTAGACTCTTCAGAAAAAAAGCATTAATAACAGTGGAGGTGAGATAATTCTACAGCTGAATTAAAATGTCTTCCAAGTGCAAACGAGGCTCAATCCTACCCTGCCTTGTATACAATTTTCTACTGCTCGTCTCATTCATGGGTTTTACTTAATAGATTATTTTTGTAAATGAGATGTGTTGTGGAACTTATGGAAATCACAATGATTTGTACTAGAGGAGATAATTTTGACTTTGAACTGTGTGGTGGGTCCATCGACGTTTGATAGGTGACCTGTGATACTTTCATGAAACTTTCTATAAGGAGGAAATTGGCATCACATTTTGGACGAGCTGATTTTTTTCTACACTGTTGATAACTCGTTTTCAAGAGGTGACCAGCAATATCTCATAATCACTTGCTAACTAACTCAAAATACGTCATCTCACAATATTTCCAGAAGATATCTTCTACATCAAATTGAATCATTGAATTTTGAAATAATTTTTTTGTTCGTTTTGCATGTGGAAACATTGTATTTTATTGAACGGCATGTGCCAATCACTATCCTGAGCAGAATGATTGAAAAATTGCACTTTCCTGTGCGGTAATTTGCTCTCAATTTCGCCATTTGATATCGAGATGAGGATTATATGCCAATTGGATGGTAGATGTCAAAACGTCACCTGTACCACTCCTTAATTTGAGTCATATCCACGGCACCTCGATTTATTTGCTATAATTATTCGTCATGTGATAATGAGTTGGAACAAGAAGCCAATAGAAGGATAGAAAGGGATAAACTGCCGCGACTCAAACTGATCTAGGTTTGTGACAGAGAGCGTCAATATTTCTGCGAATATTTTGCTTCCGTCGGAATATAATATCCGATGTACCGGTATAAAACACATGTGTTGCTCGGACTACAAGTACTCTTATCCACATGTTGAGTTCCACACTGGTCCATTGGATATTATCTTTCGAAAGGAGCGAGATATTCTAGGAAATATTTACGCTCTGCCACACGAAAAAAAAAAAAGATTTGTTGCATAAACAAATTTTTTATGCTTGAATTATTTTTTTTCGGTTTGAGCAATTTTTTGTTGAAACTGATACATGATTATTTCATGAAAGCAGCTTGTTCATGTGAAGAATGTGGTTTAATTGAATCAACAGTATAATATCAATTTCATCAACAAAATATGTGGTTATCTCAAAAACAAACTATGTCGATACATAATAATGTCGATTTTCATCCAACTATGATTATTTTGTTGATTCAAAGAAATAATGATCATTTTGAAAACAATATATCTTTGAAACAACATACAAGTTCTCTTATTCTGATGTAGCAATGAACTCGTTTCGAACGGATCATCTGCTTGAGTAAAACGACGAAATATGTGATATCAATAAAATATTTTGTTCATTCAACATAAAGTTGAATTTTCGCCACTAGATGGCGATCTTTCCGCCTCGTCTATGCCTGCCTCGAATTGAGTAAATACGTGGAGCCTGATTCTTCGTGTTTGAAATATCAGCTGGATAAATCAAATTAAGGATGCTTAGCAAGCCGAAATAGCATTGCATCAGCTGAAGAGAAGTGAAGACTGAAAATCTTGTGCTAGAAGCCAACTAAATCCTTGTTCAGTTCATTCTTTTGATGTGAAATTTCAGGAAATTCTTGAATCAATACCAAATTTGGTTCAATAATAGTTATTTGTTTAACTAGGCAGCAAAGTAGTAGATTGACTGGCTGATGCTGAATTCATAGCCGAGCGTAGCGAGGCTAGGAATCCAGCTAAGGCAGTCAATCTACTTTGCTGCCGAGTTGAACATATAATTTTTTCTCCGATTGTTCATAATGATATAGGAGAATATTGTAATTGCAAATTATTACAATCCCCACAATCTCTTTATTTTTCCTGTAGTATTAATTAAAATGAAATTTGATAGAAATCGCAGTTGTCCATGATAATTATAGTTTGACAATTCATGAAAATTCTGACATTTGTGCGAAAAAATATCGGTATATTTAAATTATTATATAATGGACAGTGATAGCGACCTGGAAGTACTTACACCTCCAGAAATAAGGGAGGTGGCAAAAAATATAGAGTTGAATTTGTTGCCGGAGAAGTCTCGAATGAAATATAAAGGAAATTATAAACGATTTATGAATTATTGATTTTGCTGATACATGTCAATCAGCAAAGTACCCACTTTGCTGCCTAGGCAGGAAAAGTAATACTTTGCTGATTGATATGTGTCAGCAAAATTAATATTTGCTGCCCATCGGAGAAAAAAAATTTGTCGAATAGAAATACAGTTTCTCTTGAATCAACGAAATATTTCATTGAATCATCAGAATATTTTATTGAATCAATCAAATATTTTATTGAATCAACCAAATATTCCAATGAATATCAACCGGACATTTCATTGAATTAACCAAATATTTCATTGAATCAACCAAATATTTCATTGAATACACTCGATATTCTTGGATAAACTTTACTAGTGCAATATGAAAATCGAACATACTATCTCTTTTCTTTTGTGCAGGCTTTGGTACTGACTCCATACGCTTCTCTAGGGAGTTGAACTGTGGATTGAAACGCAACAGTTGATGGTGCGAAATTATTTCGAAAATTTGAAATGCATTACTCGTTTAATCAATAAAGACTCCCTATCTTGATTGATAGTATATAGAAGAGACAGCGACTGTTTTATTTTACACATTTGATGAAGGATAATTCCATTTATTATTCCAGATATTTCGGGATCTTCTCTCCTTGTTTCTATGTATCAAATAAGAATATGGATATCATTCAACAATATTCGTGTAGTAGGGACAAATCATCAGATGATTTGCCCCATAATGTCACCGCGTTTAAAAAATTTTCCTATTAGAGAGCCTTAAAGAAAGGTTCACTTGCTTGTCAGTGACAATTCGTATTGAAAAAAATTTGGAGAAGAGAAATAAAGGTATGTAGAAAACATATCAAATTTCCACGTTTCGGGTACGAATCTGCTCTCGTTTTCAACGAAACGTCCAAATATATATTCACCTCACTTCAAGATTTAATTTGCTTATCTTGAAAATCAAGAAAAATCATTCAAAGAGAGAAGTTTGAAAAAAGTTAGATAATTTATTGGTTTTGTCATTATTTGGAATTCTATGGCAACATTTCGATGTTCTGTCTCATGTACTGCGCCGTCTTACCAGTATCGACCAATTAGGAAACTCTAATTTATATGGAGATTCAGGTGCTTGGATAGACGAGAAACCCTCTTGATCTAAATAATACTCGAGGCCAGAATTTCTTGTCAAAACAGTAAATCACCTTATTTGTTATTGAAATATAAAAAAGGCACTTTCTGATGGTCGTTTGATACTCTTCTATGGGGCCACTAGACGGTTTACATGAAAGAATTTACTGAATTAGCTTTTGCATGGTTTGTATCGAATTATTTGATAGTTAAAATCACTTTCTGTCACCACTGTTCGATGATGTTTTTCACTGATCCAAATGCGATATCAGAATCTAATTTCGCAAGACTGAATGAACATTACAAGTAGAGCACTTGAGATTATAGTAAGTGGGACCGATATCCAAGCAACTACTTAGTTGATTATTAAGTTATCAGAATAACATTTAACTTTCTCTTGATGGCCAGCTGAAGTTCTTTAATGAAATATTTAATGAAGTTGACAAAGTATCTGGTTATTAAAAAAAGAACCGAACAAAAATATAGGGTCCTCCTCTCAGATTACCTATACATAATTTGATTATCTCGGTGGAATATGTTCTCGATATTGCAAAATAATCTCACACAAACATTATCTCCAACTATAGTGAACAGTGTTCATTGCTCTTGATGATACACTTATTTTCTACTGAAATTGTGTTGCTTATAAAATTTTCATCTACATCCTAACAAATTTCAAATTCTTCACTAAGCTACTATTGAATTTTGTTTTTGATTGAAATATAATGTTCAGTTCTAGTAGATATATTTGCCTGGACCATAAGCGTTTTTTTTCTGTAAATAGAACTGAAGACTCGTAATAGGTCTGCTCTGTTTGATTTCAAAGTGAACATCACGATGGACTCGAATTATTTCCAATACTTATGTTTGGAAAAAGCCATTTATAATTATAGAATTGACATAGTTTTCAGTAAAAAAACTAGACAAGAAAAAAATTCGAAATTTATGGTGAATGTGTATTGATGTGTGGCCTATGAACCGTCTCTCCATACAAATGGTAAAATTAACATTTTTCACCGTTATAAAAATCGATGTCAAATGTTTTATGTACTATCAGTATATGAATTGAATGATCAATTAGCAAACACAATATAGTCTCTATTGGATAGTCTCCAAATATTATAATTATGACCCCATATAGAATATAATTTCATCTTCCAAATGGATCGACAATGTCAGTTCAAGATTTGCATAATTCTTCTGCTTACTTCGTAGGTAAGATAATAAATGTTCATAATTTGAATGGATAACAATTTGTCGGTAAGTAGGCAACCATTCAAACACTTCTAACGTATTGAGAACAACTCATTCTCCACTTCAAAACGGATTGCATTTACTGTACTACATCCATTTTATTCTGATAATGGAAGCGTTCATGAATGCAATGATGGAGCAATCAAGATGCCTGATGAAAATATGCTTCCTCATTTTCCAGTCCATTGAAAACTGGTTTATACCGATTGAATAGTTCTTACGACACCTATCGAATCCAGAACGAACCAAAACTTCTTTATAATTCTGCGAAGGCATTATAAAATACAGGTTCCACAACCTGGAGTACTGTTTATGCCATCTATGTTGATGGGTGCACAAGTAATACATGACTCGGAACTCAACTGAAGAAATAACACCTGGTCTACTGTCCAACAGATGGCGTGTGTTCACTATCATTTCCAAGGTTGGTAGAACTGATGATTGTTAAATGACATGAGAAGAAGAGATTATACATCTGAGAATGAATAACAATATTATCTCACTCTGAGACCTTGCTTGAGACAATTCCCCTTATTTTTACTTGCCTTCTTCAATGGATTTAGTTGTTCATCAAGAATTGCTTTCAGTTAAATCATGCAATGTTTCTGTTCCAATTGTTTTCGGAGATGAGTTGACATTTTTGTTATTTTTCATGATTTAGATTTCCTATTCTGGCCCTTGGCGAAATGTTTTGGTACCATTAGTTCACATGATACCTATAAACAATATTTTTATACTGGCATGTAGATATATCTCAGTGAGATAAATATCTTACTGAGGTGCATACCCAGGCTGCAGGCGCAGGCTCAGGGGCAATGGTAAGTCAAAACTCCTCCTGTACCAAGAACAAGCATCGCGATGTCCAGCAGCAGCATTATCCTCATGAAAAGTAGAATAACTCTGAGAGAGTATAGTGAGGCATGGTAATCACCTTGTAGTGGTGCTTCTGGCCTTCCAAAGACCTCGATTTGGGAGACCTCGAGGGAGATCATATACATCATCAAGGTTTTGCTTCGCTCTGATAACTCGAAGTGGTGTGATAATAATAATCATCTGATTGCTATTTGTTTATCAGAAATTAACAGTGTGTTTCTTTCCTCAAATCAAGGGAGACTCAGATTATTTATAGATGGTGATAAACACATTACTAGTAATGAAACTCAGAACTTGGGAACAAATAATTTAATAATACATAAATAGTAACTGCCTACACAACCAATACTCCTTACCCCAAAGAACACCTCCAACTGAGGTACATACCCAAGCTGCAGGCTGGGAGGCAATGGCAAATCAAAGTGGAGTGATTATAACGATCGCCTGATTGCTATTCTCTGAGCGTAAAGTGGAAATGTTGTTCTTTTCTTTGATCCAAAGAAGGTTCAGGTAAATCATAGTGAATAATTAATCACTGGGAATGAATCTCAGAACTCAGGAACATCTAGTTCAATAATAAATGAATAATAACTGCCTACATAACCATTACTCGTAACTCTGGAAAACTTTTTTTACTGAGGTGCATACCCAGGCTGCAGGCTGAGAGTCAATGGCAAGTCAAACCTCCTTCTGTATCTAGAATGACCACTGCCATGTCCTGAGTATAGTGAGACTTGGCAATCACCTCATAGATCGTATTCTGGCCCTACGAAGACATCGATTGGGGCCAGATGATAGTCAAAAACATGAGAGAGGTCATATCAGTTACCAGATATTTGCTTCGATTTGTTAATTCGAAGTGGAGTGATTATAACGATCATCTGATTGCTATTCGTTGATCAGAGAGTAAAAGTGTTGTTTCTTTCTTTGAATCAAGGAGGGTTCAGGTGAACCATAGATGATTGTAAACACCTAATCACTGGTGATGAAACTCAGAACTAAGGAACAAATAATTTGATAATAAATAAATAATAGCTGTCTACATAACCAATACTCGTGACCCTAAAGAACTTTTTCTACTGAGGCGCATACCCAGGCTGTAGGCTCAGAGGCAATGGAAAGTAAAAACTCCTTCCGTATCCTGAATAACCATCGCCTCGTCCTATATCAGCATAATCTTCATTTGCAGTCGAATAACTCCGAGCCTGAGTATGGTAAGGTTCGGCAATCATCTGATAAGTTGTCTTCTGACCTCTCGAAGACATTGATTCGAGCCAGATGATAGTCAAAGAGAGAAATCATATAACGATCACTTGATTGATATCCGTTTATCACAGAGTAGAAGTGTTGCTTCTTTTCTTGAATCAAGGAGGGTTCATTTGATTGAACCATAGATGATTGTGAATACCCAATCACTGGTAATGAAACTAATAACTTAGGAACAAATAATTTAATAATAAATAAATAATAACTGCCTACATAACCAATACTAGTGACTCTAAAGAATTTTTCCTACTGAGGCGCATACCCAGGCTGTAGGCTCAGAGGCAATGGCAGGTCAAAACTCCTTCCGTATCCAGAATGACCGCCACCATGTCCTGCAGCAGCATAATCTTCATGCGAAGTCGAATAACTCTGAGCCTGAGTATAATGAGGCTTGGCTATCACTTCGTAGGTCGTCTTCTGGCCTCCCGAAGACAACGATTTGAGTCCGATGATGGCCGAGAGCATCAGCGAGATCATGCCAGTCATCAGAGCCTTGCCTGCCATGGCCGCTAGACCACCCAGAGCTAATGCCATCATGGTTCCCTTCATCATGGCGGCTGCTGCAAGGATGTATCCCATGCCTCCACCTCCCTTTTTGCCTCCACCACCACCACCGCCGCCTGAAAAAAAGAGATTATTCCGTTGAGGAAAAACACGGAGAACAAGATTGATGAAGATGGTGTAAATTCAACAATATAGCTATTTATACAGGGTGTTTCAAAAAAACTTGACCCCCTTGCTAGGGTAGGTAGAACACTGCAAAATAAGTTGGGTTTGCTCAGTGAAATAATGTCGTAACGGCATCCGTTTTCATGATACAAGGTGTTGAAAAAATTATTTTTTTACACATTTTTCACGATTATGTCTAAAGTACTGGCAACATTGTAATGACATTTTGTATGGATGTTTCTTGAGAACTGACACATCGCATGAATTCGTTTTTATATCTGACTCTTATAGAGGGCGCTAGTTACACGGTTCGTACCGAGTAATTTAGAACATAACTTTTTTGAGGTTAGATTTTTCAATCCAAATATGATATGAACTTGAACATCATTCAATTTTACACCAAAAAGGTACTCTTGGTGGAACTCGATACTATTTTCCGTTTTCGGAATATTTCGATTTGAAAATAATGGAGTAGTAATGATGCTGGTATAAAATGAATTTTATTGAGTTCAATTACCTATTTATTCAGGTTCAAAAACAATAAAATTATTCTTGTGCCAAAGTTATTGATGGAACAAAGGATCATAAGTAGAAAATCAAGAGATATTTGACTAGAAACATGAAATATTGAATCAGTTAGAGTAAGTGTTCAAAATGACCTACGTTTCGACGAATACACGATCCTATATTGTTTTTTTAAGAATGTATTATTCTTCTGAACAGTTGAGGATCAGCTGTTAGGTCATTCAAATGTTCAATTATGTCTCACAACTCTTGACGTGAATTTACCTATGTAGCATAGATTTTCTGCTCAAGATACAACAATACTGTGTAATCCATGTTCTTAGTCAAATCTGTTTCGATGTTATTCTTGTGATTCATTGTTAAATCAATGAGTTTTGCATCGAAAATGTATTGTTGTTTTCGGTTTTCAATATTAGGTGATAATTTTTCATAATACTCACTCTAATACATAGCTTTATACCAGCAACAGTTATCACTTTATCATTTTCAAATCGGAATATTCCGAAAACGGAACACAGTATCGAGTTTCACCAAGAGTACCTTTTTGGTGTGAAATTGAATGATGTTCAAGTTCACATCAAATTTGTATTGAAAAATCTAATCTCGAAAAGATTATATTCAAAACTACTCGGTACGAACCGTGTATTTAGCGCCCTCTATGAGAGTCAGGTATAAAAATAAATGCATGCGATGTGTCAGATTCCAAGAAACATCCATACAAAATTTCATCACAATGTTGCTAGTAGTTTCGACATAATCTTGAAAAATGTGTAAAAAAAATATTTTTTCAACACCTTGTATCTTGATAACGGATGCCGTTACGAAATTTTTTTTACTCAGTAAACCCAACTTATTTTGCAGTGTTCTACCTACCCTAGTAAGGTGGTCAGGTTTTTTTGAAACACCCTGTATATCAAGGGAGGAAATGTATCCATTTCCTCCCGCGTGTAAAGAAGCGTAATGGAGGGCATCAAACACACATATATTTATGATTTTATCAACAGACGCATTTTTTAATGCATCAATCATTCTTGGAATTATGCTTCAGGCTGTCTATCTCTCGATTCAAATCATTATGCATTACAAATATAATATGCCATGGACAATTGACGGTATTTGGACGAAACTCAATTTGACATTTCTGTCATCATGAATTAATCGGTTCGATAAGAATTACGTTGGGGATATGGAGAATATTATGATTACATTGGACCTGTAAAGATCAGAAATTACTAACAGACAATGACTTACTGAGGAAAAATCTTATCTAAGGAGACATATAAAAGAAACTGGAGAATCAGGCAGATAATGAAGTATATTGTTCTTCAAATCAACGGAATAGCCAAAAGATCAACTCAATAATGCAATTCAACATTGGAAAACGCACGAATTGAAATTATAAATAAAAATTCACTCAATTCGACAAAAGTCAAAAGCAAAGAATAAATTGCAGAATGACATAATAGAATAACATGACAGAATAACATGACAGAATGACTACGTAATAAGTGATACAAACCGAATGAGAGTTCTTAACTATATGACCTAACTGATATTGAGCAATGAGAAAATATTGTAGCTAGAATGATTACAGGTGAGCAATGCATTAATTGTGAACCAAATGTTAAAAATAAGTAGATGAGAAACACGTGATCAGGTTGGAATTTGATAAATCGGATAAAAGGAGAAAAATCAATCAGTAGTAGGAATCAAAATCAGAAGAAGAAGATATTAGAGCAACAGCACCGGACTGAGTTGAAGTATAACGAGGTTCAAATACTCCTTTGATTTTTTCATAAAAAATCTAAATTTCTAGTGATTCTATTCATTATTTATCTCACTCTGTAGACATATGATCTAATCGTGACGACAATCATGCCTGTAATCATTCAAATTGTCGTAAAAATTATTGAAGACGGTGACTTGAAAAATGCAATCATTCGAAAATTGTAACGTTGAAAAGAGAAACCCTCATGAGATCGAAAATTCATATAGGACTATTTGTGACTAGTCCGAATCGAGGCTATCGATTCATCAAATAACATGGAATGTCTAATCCGTTTTCTTCAATTCTGATAGAATTTTTGTGATCGCAGTAGGCCAAGAAATCGTGTTTAATGATTTTTGTTTGCTCGATAGAGTACATAATTTTGAGTAGTATATCATGAAGGGAATAAAATTTCAATTCACCCTAGAAATACGAAAGTACAGATGTGGAGTGGACCGAATTGTAACACACTGTATATTCAATATAACAGAACATTTGCTTGATTCAATAACTAGCATTCCATCTGCACAGCAGTGTTGACATTGAAGAAGAAATCTCATTACATACCTCCTTTACGTGCCATGTCAGTACTCTCCTCTCCAAGAAGATTGACCTTGACTACATGACTACCCAAGAATCCTTGGACTTTCCTCATGAGAAAAACGTCCAGCCTTGCTTCAGGATCTCCAGGAAAATCCCTTGCTAGATCTGCTACGATCTCAGCGGTGTTTGGAGCCCTGGTGGCATTTTCCCGAACTATTGAAACTCCGGGAATCACCGTGTAGTTTTCAGCTTCGCTCAACTTGTCCACCCAGGAGATCACGTCTAGCTTCAGGCAGGTGGTAGAGTAGATTTTGTCACAGTCTCTGGCTAATGCTCTGCCATATTGGCTCCTGTCGCTGCTCCATGAAAACAAAACATTGATAGTATGAGAATCTTCCAACGAGATGAACTCATACCCAGTTCAAAATATCCATCATTCAGTATGAAGTTTTTGACTTCAAACTATATAGAATAGAGTTCCACGATAATTATGTGGATTGAGGTAATATCAAATTTTTTTTTCTGTGAGGGGAAAAGAATTGGCATTTCATTTCTGTTGACAGGTTATGGAATGTCGTTTTTCATAATTTACTCCTTTCTCGTGAAGAAAAAGTTAGTACTTAGAGCTCATATCATCGTCTCCAAGATAGAACTGCAAGTCCTTTCATCTTACATTCCACTTGAATTACTAAACAACGAATGAATTCACAATTTTTCGAAATCTGATCTCAGAATTAGACTGACAGATATTTGAATACTTCAAAGGAATGACAAAGATGTCTGCAATGCAGGTCTAATTCCTGTTAAAAACTTCAAATTTCACGTCAATAATATCTTCTCAATATTGATTCGTTATTTTACTCGTCACAAAAAAAGTGGTGTATCAAAGACGGAAAAAATATCAGATTTCAGCTAACAACCTGAAGCTTAAATTTACAACTTTTTTCTTGTATAATACATAACTATTCTATCATGATCGAAGTTATGTGTTCTAGGAAACATTTTTTTGGTTTTGAACTCAAAACCTGGGAAATTTCCATCATGTTTCTTGATATTCAATATAACGTTCATTTTGGAAAATAAATGTTTAGAAGGTTACTCTGCCAATTTTTGCAAATCTGGGTTTTCCGTCCAGATATGCTTATAAGCTGAAAAAAAAACTCTTTCAATCATTTGATATTTGATATTAAAAGTTGAAGTTGATGGAAATAGAATCTATAGCGATTTGAAATCAGCATATACTCCATTCGATATTTCAAAAAGCCAGATATATTGGATCCGTGACGTGTTAGTCCTGAAATGTTGCTATCTTTTTCTCTGGTACCTTACCATTCTGCAGTGTTACAGGGTGATTGGTCAGGTGAAGGACAATAAGCGTGTTGGAACGTCAAACTCCTTTTTTTATGTTCTGGTTCTCACGAAAAGAGATATCCTGTAGTGTTTAGAGAACATCGTGAGAACCAAAGGAAATAAGGTAGGAATTAGTGTTCTTCTCAAATTTCTGGAGGTTATATGCCTCGGGGAACACCTCCCTTGGCAATGCGTTCCAGAGCCTCGCTGTTCGATGAACGAGTCTTTGGAAAGAGATATTCTGCAGGTCTCCAAAGTGACCACGAAGGTATGCGGAGCCTCAACTCGACAGGATAATCTCGCGGGCACTGCCAAGGGAGGAACAATTGTTGATATTTCAGAAGAGCAGAAGAGCAAAATATCTATAGAATAGGGCCAGATCGCCAGCTTGTCTACGGTGTTCCAGAGAAGTAAGTGAGTTTGTGAGCGAGGCATCACCCACGAGACGAATTGCCCGTTTTTGGACAGAATCCCTCAGTTTCAGGTTATGTTTGGGTGCTGCACTCCAAATATGGGAACAGTATTCCAGTACAGGTCGAATCTGTGCCTCATAGATCTTAAGCAGCTGACTGGATGTAAAATAGCTACTGGCCCGAAACAGAAAACCAAGTGTTTGGGAAGCACTTTTAGCAATTGATCTCACGTCACACCAATGAATTGAGACCACCTCAAATGGCGCAGGAAATATGTGTTTTGAGATGAGAAAATTTCAATTACCTTTTTATCGTCCTAGTATAAATGAAAAATTTAAAAATCATATTAACTGGTATAGTTTTTTGCTATTGAGCTCACAATGATGTCTTATTTGAGGATCAGTGGTCTTCCCCATTAATGGAGTTACCATATCATAGTACTTTTCATATACATATCTTCTCAAAAAATGCCTTGGGAGGTTCAACTAGGATCTAATGAGACTGTGCATATTTTTTATTGATTCCAAAAAGCAGTGTCAGAATGTGAACAAGTAAGTTGTATGCATTTCAACGAATAACTTTACTAAATGAGATTCATTACCATGAACATATTTTCTGTACTGAAGGAAGTATTCAATCATCAACTTTTCTTTTTCAAATTGATCTTTGTGAAGACACAATTCATCTATTGTTTGATTTGTTAGAGTTCCAACGTGTTTTGTGTAGACTATGATTGGAGAGAGAATAAATATTAAAGACTCTTGATGAGTTGGTGTCATCATGCAAAATTTCAAGAAGAGATGAGTATTACAACATTAGTAGATACAATCTGATAATTCATTGTGAGTAGGTTGTTGGATTTCAATTCTGATGAGTAGATATTTTTGTAGTTCCTATCAAGAAGAATTTTCTCAAAGCTCATCGATATCAGGTATCTTAAGGCTGTATGACACCTGTACAATTTGATGACAAATATGTTAACAAAAATGATGACAAAAATATTCTTTATGTCATAATACAGTGAAAAAGGTGTTGATTTTGCGCAGATTTGCAAACATTCTTGTAAATCTATAGGACTGGTTCTAAATATTGAATATTTATACTGTATGGCACATAAAAAATATTTTTGTTATCATTTTTCTTATCATATTTGTCATCAAATTTAACAGGTGTCATACAGCCTTAATACGTATCTTACCAGTCAATCATTGTTCTCAGAAAATGAATGAATATAAAGACATTTTCCGAAAATATACTCAATAATATATTGTGCTATGGGCAATGATGCAAAAATGCAATATTGATGCGCTAATAAAAAGATCTTGAATATTCACCTGATATTTTCTTTCTCCTCCCGTGGATTTTCTTCAGCGAACACACTGAAAATATGCACTAAAACAAAAGCTACCGCAACAGTGCGCGTCATCGTTATTGTTGATGCAGTTATTGTTTTCAGATGACTGACAGGGTTGACGTATCACAACTCAGTTTTTATAGTCGAGCATTCAGATTAGAAAAAAATGTTTTCTCGAATTACTCAAATTAGTGTCCAGTGGTTAGATCGTTGGAGTTAGTGGAGCAAGAAGTACTTAAGAGCAGCGCAAGTGACGGAATTGCAGGTTAATTTTTCTCTGTCCGTACCGGAATTGTTATTATAATACGAGCGATATTGAAATAATTGGTTCGTGATACATCCGCTTCGATAGGAATGCACCTTTCGATGGATATCATCGTCGTTATTGAATTTATAGGCGATTCAATTTTCCGCAGACACGTGCTGAGAAATTTGGAATGTTTCATTGTGTCATCCTGTATATTTGACAGAATCATTCTTGATTATCGATAACATGAATCTGATAAAAAGACTCTAGTGGAATATTTTGTAATACAGTCAACATTGCTGAAGATTTGGAATCAGATCGTAATTTTGAGCTGAAACAATAAACATTTTTTAGTTGATTTTAACTCCAGGTCCACAAAACTTTATTCAATTCAGGTCCAAACCAGATTGTGTAACCATTTTGTAGCTACCCTTCAATTAAACTGACACAAGATGTCTCAGAAGTATGTAGAAAAAATGTTCGAGGACTCCTGTAAAATATTTTGACTGAAATTGAACAAAATTTGTGTTCTTGGTGAAACTGACTGTGCATTTCTATTTTGACGAGAAACTTTCCTCAATGGAATTTTTTACAATCTGATGACATTTCGTAGGATTTCCAGAGTTCTTTCCTGGATTGACCTGGAGAGATTTGGAATCGACTAGATATTGGAGAACATTTCCTGGATATACTGGGTGTCTCCAAAAGTGGAGCCTGATGACATTTCAAAGAATTTCCAGAGCTCTTTCCTGGGTTGACCTGGAAATATTTGGAATCAACTAGATTTTGGAGAATATTTCCTGGATAAACTGGGTGTTTCAGAAGTGGATTGGAAAATTGAGTGGGTGACAATATACTAAGAGAATGAAAACGAAATGAGAGTATATCTTTGTAGAGAAGGAAAGAAATTGGAAGACAAGGAAATGATGAATTAGAGAGTTTGCATTGCTGCAGTCAGAAATAGAGGATGTATAAAAGAGTCTCACAATTTGAAAGTATAGTAATAGTTGAGAGATACGATCGTGGATGTTTTGAATAATCTTCAAGAAACACCTTTTCGTGTCAGTACGTCTCATTCAGCATCTTATTTCATTTATTGCTCCAATTGAACAAACATCAACTGTTCAATATGTTGAGATTTTCTGAAGAGAAGAATATTTAAGTAAAACTGACCAGAATAGAGAACATTTTGGAAAAACATTTCAGCTATTGAAAGAAGAAAAATTCAAATACGGAAAATTCGAAATTCGGATTTGAATTTTCGTATGTTTTCCTGGTATACTTATAGACCTCATAAGTCGACTTGATTTCTAGTTGGAGAAATTATCATAGGAAATTATCCGTTCTGGAAATTTTCCAATATTTTCTGGTACAGAACTGGATATATGGAGTATAATTCCAGCTTAATTATTGGAAATTGGCATAGAATCAAATCATCAAGTTCCGTTCATCTATATTTCTGTTTCTCATTCCATGTAACTTTCATGATTTCAATTCTTGATATATTCGACATGATATCAATCGACGGAAAATTGCATAGAAGAGGAAACCAGATCGGAATCCATCGACTGGTGATGAGTTTTTGATTCCTGTTAGGAATTATAATCAATTTATTTCGAAAATTTCTCCCAAACTTTATATTGGTTATGGAAGGCGACATATCATAGGAACTTTTACGATAGTCACATTTATGTCTCAATAGAAACACGACAGTTACCCTTACGAGGGGAGAGTATCAACCCTTGACGTCGGTAAACCCTCGTTGCAACCGGGGTAGGCGCCTGATGGGTAAGATATATACAGTGTTTCTCATCAAGGAGAAAATTGTTGGCTATCTGTGTCGTTCATTTTTCAAGTGATAGAAGAATATGGCGCGTTTCAGCATCGGAATTTGAAAAGAGTTTTCATATAGATTCCAGTGAGTAACATGATCTCAATTCTCAATATATTCAAAATTCGAGATATGATATCAACTGTGTTTTAGATCGATAGAATAATGATGATGAAGAACCAGGAACCAACGACCGGTGATAAGTTCCTCATTCCTGTTACGAATAACATTCAATTGAGATGAATATATGAAGAAAGAAACACAATTCCTCACTCAACTAAACTCAAGATAAGTGGAATTTATGTTCATTCAGAAAACGTAATGAAATTTGACTATTCTGTCTCAGAGCTTCATCATTCCACAATAATATTGTTGACAAAATACACTAAAATAAAATCGTATCATTCATCAGATACATATGGGTGGGTTCCCAGTGCACATGATTACTCAAAGACCTTTATGATACAGTACGAAATATAAAGAGGGAACAATATGATATTGGTTCTCAAATTGACAACTTCAGATCAATATAATACCGACTGTCCACTGAAGTATTCATAAACGTTTGTAATCGACTGAATGGAAACCAACTTTTAAAAAAATAATTTATTAACATCAAATAAATTAATCATAACAACATAAATACATCTATTCAGGCTTGTACTCTGGCTGCAACCCAAGTGGCAACGGCATATCGAAACTCCTTCCATACCCAGAATGACCACCTCCATGATGGTAATCCTCGTGCGAAGACGAATGCGAATTCGAATGCGTGTACACAGGCTTAGACACCACCTCATAAGTAGTCTTACCACCTCCTCCAGAAAGCGACTTCAACCCAATGATAGCAGAAAGTAGCAGCGATATCAATCCTGTCATAAGAGCTTTACCAGCCAGAGCTGCCAAAGCTCCTAGAGCCAAGGCCATCAGGGTACCCTTCATCATCGCACCAGCAGCTAGCAGCATCCCCATACCTCCATCTCCTTTCTTGCCACCACCTCCAAAACCTCCTCCACCTCCTTTCCGAGCAGAAGCAGCATCTTCTTGCTCAAGATGGACCTTAATGGAGTGGCTGCTGAGAAACCCTTGGATCTTCTTCAGCAAGAACGCATCTAGTCTAGCATCTGGATCGTTAGGAAACTCCCTGGCTAAGTCTGCTACTATGTCTGCTGTGCTGGATCTAGCAGTGGCGTTATCTCGTACTATGGTAACACCTCTGAAGATGCTGTAGTTGTCGTCTTCGTTGAGCTTGTCCACCCAGGAGACTATGTCCAACTTCAGGCAGGTAGTTGAGTAGGATTTGTCACAGTCTTTGGCAATGGATCGCTTGTAGTCGCTCCTGTCACTTATCACTATTGGCTTCTGATCTTCTGAGGCGGTTGAGGATATCAGAACTGTCACTGTCACTAGAAGGGCACTGATGGTCCACATTGTTGTTGGAGGTGTGTTTGTGACTGATGCTGTAGGTGGGTTCGGTAGGAGATTATATAGGAGCGAGGATTGTATAGAAAAAATTGTGCTTTTTATCACCTAAATTGGAATTCAATGCTTAGACGAATGGAAATAAGTGGAGCACAAAGTAATTGTAGGCGCAAGTGACGGGCATAAATTCGTAAATTTTTGGTCAGTGCCGGACCAGATTACAATTGTTCATAGAAAGAGAATGTGTGCAATGGTTGTGATAATTATTCATACAGTCATGATATCTTCAATGAGTCTACTGCGGTTGATTTGCATGTTTTGTATTTGTAGAACTTTGAATGTGAAGAAGTTAATTTTAGATTATCCCTACAATCTTCACCAACAAGAAAATAATTTGAGCCTATACAGGGTGTTTAAAATTCGATCCTCATCATTCGAATCTCGAAAGTATATGAGAGTTGCGCATTGACTAACAATATGTCGTTCAGAAAGATTCGACATTTTTAGTTTGTCCGAATTCCAAAATTGCACTTTTACATCGCTATTCTTTCTCTGCTGTATGATGGTGTGTTCGTATTTGCTTACCGACGTCTCGTCTCTCGTCCACCATCATCAACTTCATTCGTTCCATTGGGCGCCATATTGGATATTTCCTGTTTTGAATTGAACATGTAATCCTCTTTTCAATAGAGTATCACAAGTTGGTGTTCTATCTGGGAGAATTGAAGATATTCGGAAAAACGAATCATCATAGTAGACTTTGAGTTTGATGTTTCACTGTCAGTTTTTCACGATTGATGACATTCGTTTGTTATGTATGTCAATGTATTTTTGGCAGAAATGGCTCACTCTAGTTGAGAATTCAAAACCTTTCAGATGTCAGAACACTGTTCCTCATATCCCGTTCTTGTTCACTTTTGGAAGCTATTTCCAGCCAAAAATACAGTGACACACAAAGCAATCGATGTCATCAAGTGTGTGATGAATGAAAGTGAAACATCAAACTCGAAGCCTACTATGATAATTTGTTTCTTTGATTATCTCCGATATTTTCGAAAGTAATGGCGCCTCGTGACACACCATTTGAAAGATAATGACAATTCAAAACAGAAAAAATCTATGGCGTCTGTAGTAAAAAGTGGAGTTGATGATGGTGGCTTGGACACAAAATAAATGTCAGTTAGCAATACTGGAAGCACCATCATGTAGAAGAGAAAAAATGGCAATGCAAAAGTTCATTTCACTTTGATATCCTTCAATAAATAAAGCTGAAAAAAAAATTATTTTCCAAAATTTTGGGTTTTTCCCAATGGTGAGTATCAAATTTGAAATACCCTGTATAGATCAACTCTTTACTACAGTTGTAACGTGTTCAGTATCAAGAAGTCAAAGATGGTGAGTTTAGATTGAGTCTTTGAATGAAACTATGATAGCAGTATGTGGATTTCGATCCTCTCCACATCAATCCATGATCAATTCAAAAACTAATTAAATTGATACATTATTTCATTCATGGATGTTTTTTTATGAATGATAGAGATATCATACATCTTTACAGAAAGGAAAATGAAGGTTGGTGTAAAGATTTCAACAACGCATACCGAGGAAGGCATGAATGAATTCCTCCTCTACTCTCCATGAAACAAGAAGATTTATGGTAGCTGTATATTCAGTTCTAGATGTGAAGAATTTTGGAAGATATTAATACTTTGATTTTTCATGTGGATATCCCTTATGTTTCATAGATGATTACTTCTTAACTGACCAATCCGGACCTGCACGAATAATGGAAGTACTATAACTCATTTAATTGCATTTCTCTCTTCACTATCACTGCGCCAATTCTTCAATTTTTTTTCATCAATACTCTTGGTACCTGCACTCAGATTTGTTTTTAATTTCGGACTGAATAGATTCGATCTCAACTTAGAAAACAGTATGTTTGGTCCAGTATCTCCCTCATCTTCTTTTTGTTTATAATGAACATGCAACGAATTGGACCATTCTTCAAGGTCTTGATTTTCTTCGGACCATGGTTCTTTAATGTGAATATAATTACTTGTTATTGTTCTTATTTTCAACAAACGTGACATGGGAATCCTAATTGAACTCCAGAAGTTGATAGTTTCATTTCTGCAATTCTAATGATAAGATTAATGTATCATTTTCGTATTTTATTTTGGTGCTTTGAAACAATCATTTAGTTTGATCATTACTCGAGTAGATCTGAGTGAAAGTGATCTTGAAATAGGTTGAATATCAATAATTGAACTTCGATTTCATGCACTAATAAATATGAGGATTATTATTCGAAAGCTGTTGATTAACCTGAAAATATTTATGACACTCATTTGATGGAAATCAATGTGATGTAGATGTTTATATTTAAGTTCATACACTTAATGGGGTTGAATGATGTGAATTCAGAAATCTATTGAATAGTTCTCCTACAAGATATTTATAAGGAAAGTAGCGAACAATGTTCATGAATAAACAGAGAACAGCTCGTGAATGTAATAATATTGAATTTTCCAGACTTTTTTCTCCATTTCTGGAATAACAGATCATGAATTCCACTAGATTTCTTCACCAAATTGATATTTGAATAGCTGCGAAGACATTCAAGATAGCACTGAAAAAACAAGATAAATATAAAAATCAACTTTATTCAAAAATTGACGGGAACACAACCAAAATAAATTAACAACATAACCTAAAAATATCGTTTGGTATCTATCACTCAAGCTGCTTTGTACTCAGGCTGCAATCCCAAAGGCAAAGGCATATCGAAACTCCTACCATACGAAGAATGCCCATAACCTGGATGTCCATGTTCTTCGTGAGCCACAGAATGCGAAGCCGAATGTGTATAAATCGGCTTAGACACGATCTCATAAGTAGTAGACTTGTGCCCCTGACTAGTCAATGCCTTCAGCCCGATAATCCCGGAAATAAGCAGGGAAATCAGCCCTGTCATGAGCGCCTTGCCAGCGATGGCCGCTATACCGCCCAGAGCTAAAGCCATCAGAGTTCCCTTCATCATCGCCCCAGCTGCCATCATCATCCCCATTCCACCACCGCCTCCTCCGCTACCCCCACCACCACCTCCTTGGCCTCCCAAACCACCCCCACCCTTCTTCCTAGCCGTCTCCACGGTGTTCTTGTTCAGCAAATCCAAGCGCAGCGAGTGGCTGCCGAGGTACGAAGTCACTTTCTTCATCAGGAAGGCGTCGAGCCGAGCGTCGGGATCGTTCGGGAAGTCACGGGCTAGTTCGGCGACCATTTCGGCGGTGTTCGCTCTGGCACTGGTGTTTTCCCGTATCACTGACACTCCGGGAAGGACACTGTAACTGTCTTGCTCGTTGAGTTTATCTACCCAGGACACTATGTCGAGTTTGAGGCACGTGGATGAGTATGTTGATGCGCAGTCTCTGGCTAGAGACTTTTTGGGTTTCGGTTCGGGTTTTTCGTCATCGCACTTGACTATGAAAGATGATGTTAACACTAGGAAAAACGTTAGAGCGTTCTTAGAGAACATGGTGATCGTTGATGTCTCTGAGTCACTGATGTCGTTGTGGCTAGTCTGCTAGTTTATATAGAGGGTATAGGGAAAAAATATATCATCTTGTTTTATCTGGAATCTGTGATTAACATTTATCGCAGATGGAAATTGCTCTCTATACCAGTTCCATGCGTGGTCGGTACGCACAGTGGCGTACGACGGACTTTTCTCGATTTTGAATGGTTCGCTGAATTCGTTAAACATTTTCACAATGTTCTTGATAATCTGCCTAGAATATCTGGAAATAATTCGAACGACACCTACCAGGTATCAGTAGTATTTGTACCATACTGTTTGGAATTTACACAGTCAGAATGGAATGATATTGAAATCAAAGGATGAGAAGGTAACAACCAAAGATGAAAAATCAAGTTTTGTTATTCTTAACGAAGATATTGGTTCCTGTTCAGTCGATGAGGATGAAACATTGTATCCATTCCTAGGGTCAAACAGAAGAATGAAACATACATTTGCAAGTGGAAATTTCGATTTATATGTTAAAAACCGAAACAAATTATTTCCCAATACATCCAAAGTTAGGTGGAAATTCGATATGTTTTCGATATATTAATATTCTTTTCCTTCAAAAATTTTTGAAACTAGTTGTCATTGTATATCCACTGAATTCGAAGGAACTAATCAAAGAAAATCAAATTTCGTGATTCTTAACGAAGACATTGCTTCCTGTTCAGTCGATAAGGATGGAACATTTGCTAGTGATATTTTCAATTTCAATGTTGAAAACGAGAACAAATTATTTTTCAATACATCCAAAGCTAAGTGGAAGTTCAATATGTTTTCGTTATATCGATATTCGTCTCCTTGAAACATTTTCAAACAATGTGACATTCCGAAACAATTCATTTGAATTACCCTTACGTGGTGAAATCTCAGAAAATCTAGAGAAATTGAATATATCTCATTTTGATATGATGACTCTCCATGTCTTAGACATGACATTCTACATCTCTCCCTATCCTAACATCGTACGAACGATGCTCTCCTAACATTATAAGGATAACTTTTCTTGCGCTCCAAGAGATGAACAAAAAAAAAACGTAATGACAGACAAGAGAATATTATAATGTTTCAAATATCTCAGATACTAGCCTTATTATCTGTTACCTATATCTATCCATGATATTCAATGTAATACAACTGCTGATGAGTTTTGGTACAGACCCGCACCATTTCTATTCTCCTGAATTATATTCATTCCACTTCTAAAAGCAATTGACTTCTAGTTAGAATTTCTATGAATGAGTTGATGTCTACGTTCAATAAGAAATTGCTATTTCCCGAACAAAAATCTTGATTGCCTAAATTATTTATGTTAGATACTAATGAACATGCAGATTATCTGAGTAACCAGAAAGGCTGTGCTCTTGAATAGACATTTGCAGAAAAGTAACTAGAAGTTGAAAATATTCACAAGTCAACTTGAATTTGATGTAATTGTTATATTCAGAATATTATTCGATAGACGTAGTCGCCTAAATCTTTCTCTTCTTATTCTGCAATACATGAATCACCTCACGCAGATATTATAAGAACTATAATAGTTATTTATGTATCAAGGGCGTGAAATAGGCTTTTATGGACCGCAGTGTAAGTAATAGACCGAGCGATAGCGAGGGCTATTAACACACCTAGGTCCATAAAAGCTAGTTACGCCCGAAATACATACAACATTTTATGCACGACCTGTATATATTTGATATCTCATGTAGGTATCTCTTCACCCCTCAAACACAATAAAAATACATCACGGTTGCAATGAGACTGCATTGTATCCATATCGCAAATCAACGTTACCATGGCAACTCAGTCAATTTTTCAAAATAGGAATTAATAGGCCAGTAGCCATATTAACTGTCAATTTGTGTAATCATACATAATTCATTAGTGATTTCAAAATGAATTCTAGTGATGAAGAAAGTGTGAATTGTACTCCACCAGAAATTAGTGAGGCAGCTGAGGAAGCAAAATCGAGTTTATTGCCAAGTAAATAAAAAAAAATGTACGACAAAGTATACGAAGAATTCGTAAGCTGGTGCGACAGAAATGATGTAAAAAATAAGAACCACACTGAAAGTGTGATTCTTGCCAATTTTCTGGAAAAATCAAAATCTCGTAAGCCCTCTTCCATGTGGTCATATTATTCCATGTTGAGAGCTACTTTAAATGTACATGATAATAGAGATATTAGTAAATATGCAAGATTGATAGCTTTTTTGAAAAGAAAATCTGACGGTTATAAACCAAAGAAAACTTTAATATTCAAATGAGCACTCCTGTATAATTCACATTTATTTTCCCAATCATTTTGCTTTAATTGAAACCATTGGAATCTAGATTTCTATCGATATGACAGTGACATTAGCTTTACCACCAGCTCAATGATTTTATCGCCTGCCGGGCGGTAAAGTAGTCCGCGGGCGGTAAAGTTCCACTTTACGCCCGCAAACCCGGGCTTTAAAGTGCTACTTTACGCCCGGTCGTGCATAAAGAGTATTTTGCACTATTGTCATATACGAATATATATGTGCTAACTATATGGTTACCAAGGCTTCGTAGCTATGAAGTCTACAAAATGTTTTGATTGATATGAAGCTACCAAATCTGTAGAATTGTCATTTAATTCAGTAGCTATTGTCCTGCTATGTACGCACATGGCCATGTGTGGAATTGACCAGTCTATACTTTCTTCGCTATGAATGCGGCATCGATACGTTAGAAATTGTTATTAAACGCGTAAAACTGTACTAGTTATCTCAATACTTCTTATTACTTATTGCTGAACGAAGAAAAACGCAATACTGGTATTTAAAAATGATTCGGCTGAGAAAGTTGAAAATATTAAACGCTCTATATTAGATAGGATGTCGTATGGTGTTCCACATTCTGCTGTATTTTTGTAAATATCCTGGGAACGCGATAGCCTCGAATTTATCTTTATCAATTATTGACAGTACCATTCAGGTCAATGAAGAGAATTGCAAATGGTCAATTACAAAATTGAATGAAGAAAAAAGAATTACCTGGACCAAACCTGATGTTAACTTTGGACTTTTGATGGAGGTTAGCTTTTATTTTCCTCATAGTACTATTTCCTATTCTTTCTAATCTCCTTAGGTTAGATCATAGTATCAATGCCGCAACTAGTAACATAACCTCGTTATCATATTTGATTTTCCTGTGATAGGTATATTCCGTTTTTTTTTTTCACCAAATTCACATCATGTGTGAATCATTCGAGAATTGTAGCGATAGTATTTTTGGCACAAGATATCCTTGAATCTTTACATGAGACAACAACCTGTTGTGGGTTCAATTTGCTACTGAATATTTGAAAATTAGTACATTATCTAACAAGTGCTATAAACGTCCTTTTAGTAACGAGCATTTTAAGCACGAGCGGAGCAGAGCGGAGTTGTCAAGTTGATGCAGTATTGAGGAAAATATCAATCTACACTTACGTTCTTTGGCAACTCAGGGATGAAGTGGACGCTAATCTCTTATCACTTTATTATTTTGGATATGTTTAATCTTGACTTTCTTATGCTATCATGTGCTGAGGCAAATGAGCCAGGGCTGATAAGGTCTTCAGAGTTTAGAAGAAAATAATTAGAATTTTTCTAATCGTATACCTCTTTTTGTAGAGAATTATTCTCAGAATTGAAACTACTAACATTTCCCTCCCTGTTCATTCTGGCATATTGTATCAATAATGCAGGTCAAAAATAACTTATCTGAATATGCTGTTTCTAGAAATAATCAATATGCTCTTAGAGTAAGTATGGATTTTTGGCCTTAGCTACCTATCAAATTATATAAGGAACTACCAATTGACTCGAAAAAAATACGAAATAAATATAAATTAAAAAATAACCTTGGAGTGATTTCGAATAAAAATTCTTTTCATTCAATCAATGATTTTTTCAATTGCAACGTCTCTAACCTCGCACCCAATACTTTTTGTTGATGTCCTTATCACTTTTGTTTGTGTGCAAAATTTTCGGAGTTCGTTTCTCTACCTATCATGTATGTTCACTCACTGTATATCAGATTTTTTAATTAGAAAACCTATTTTGACCTTATCCAATACTGGAAAGTCTATGGAAATAATTATTTCGTATTGTATTGTACTGCCTGGAAAACACTAGTGAAGATTCGGACCATGAAAATGAACCAATGAAACCACTGATAACAATCAACAATATTTTAATAAATAATCAAGCATAAACATGATCTCATTGTGTGGACTATCAAATCAATTATAATCATCAAACCAGATGTGAAAAATTCTCTATAAATAGAATTTCTTTTTTCATTCAAATGTTACTTGATACTAGCACACTTTGAATGCCCAACTAACATTCTGACCCATAGCTTTCTATGAAACTGTTCCTACTACATGAATCAAGATTTGGTTATTGAGAATTGATCGATAAGGTTTGTTGATCTGTGCCTATGTTCTCTGTTCTATCTTGATGTTTTTACCTTCAATCGTGTGCTATTATTGATTTATTGTCTTGTGTCTAGTAAAAAATAGTGTTAGACATCAGAACATTGATAGCAATTGTGACGTAAGTCAATGAAACAAGTGAAATTATCCTATATTCTATAACATTGATGCTATTCATCTCCAAAAATCTAGATTCTCACTAATAATATCACGAGAGCTACAATTATTTCCGAAATTTTCAGTGAAATTCTACGATTCATTCAGCATTATCTTAACTGGAAGAATACAGCTAACTTCTGCCAAAAATGGAAGCGAATGTGAATCTTGTTTAGTGAACTCTCATGAATGACCAGAAGCCTAATATTTTTCATATTGGTGACGATGACTAATATATGAAAATAATGCACATGTACACATGTATATGTGATGTACCTATATGGAAATCAGAAGATAATGATGATCATCATGAGGATTGAAACCAGTGTAACTAAAAGAAGATTCAATTCTGCTTGAGTTACAAAAAAGTTACAAAGAACTCACAAAATTCCAATTTCCGAATATTCACACACTATTTACAACTCCGTGAAACAATGACAAATTCGATATACAGTGTTTGAATGTCGGAAATGATGATGGATTTCCCTCCACCAACTCCTTCATAGGTTCTAATCCAGGTCTAGGTCTAAGTAGATGAGGTATATGTCTAGGTCTGAATATAGATCTGGATCTATTTTCTCGTCTAAGAAATGGTATGGTACCCCATACTCAAAGGCGACCCGATCAAACTACCCTCCAGGGAAGACCTACTCCACTGCTGCACCCCTTGGGGCACTAACTCGTAAGAAACCGGAGAATGGACATGATGGCCTTCCAGCAGACTCTTCAGTGCCGTGGCTGCTGCTATAGCCAAGGCTGCAACACCAACTCCGAGACCTTTGAAGGCTACCAGCGCTACAGCGGAAAGAAGGAGGGGGAAGATTATAGCTGCCTTGAGCTTCAGCAGCAAAAGGATTGGTAGGATGAGTCTTCTGAGCTTTCGCGTGCGAGATTCTGAAATAAATAACAAAATAGTAGAAGAGGCAATGAGGCTAAATAGGGATTTACTCGAGCGTCGTGGGGACGTATCAGATTGTGAAGATTAAATGTGAAAATGAAAAAAAGTTTATACAGGCCCCTGGAGGGAATACCGAATGTCTATCAGAAAGTGTCTTCTTCAGTTATTTTTCAATATATAGGGTGAATCATGAGTTTAATACTGTCTGTAGGTTAATCGAGGAGGTGGTACATGAAAGTATTTGTATTATTTCAATGTATTTGTAGAGAGACAAATCAGATGATTTGCCCCAAAATGTCACTGATAGAACAATTTGTAAACGCGCTCGAGTATTTCTGACGATCGATTTTTTTTTACTTATCTGATCGGCTGCCCTAAACTTTCGACACCATATAAAAGGCCCAGGTATGGTGGGTATTCATACAATGGAAGTGATAATTATTTGACTCGGAAATATTTTTTTTACTGATGTTTATTTGACAATTGAAATTCTCCGTTATCTCGGTTTACATTCATTCAATTCCAGAGGAATTTCTGAAGACAAGCGCTGTTGGGTTGACAAAATTATAGTTATTAACATCAGAGAAAATGTCTGGCTTCATAACAGGTGGATGCAGAAATATGTAGACCATGTAGCTAATACTTTATCATACAATGAGGTGTCTTTATCATGATTCAAAGCAAGAGACCAAGAAATCATGACAGAACTATTCATATAATGCAGCTGTTGCAATTTCACTTAATTAGTATGATACCTAGATATTTTGATCTAGATTGATTAGAGGAATTGGACCATTCGATGTGGAATAGGAGACAGATTCTGATTGATTTTCAGAAAGATATATACGAGGCGTTCTTGAAATATGTACAGTCTAACAAATATTCTCATAACAGATTTGTTTAATTTCTTCCAATTGATGAGAAATCTCATCCCTAAAATTTAACAAAAAACGTGAGAAAAATCGAATATGCCACTTCAAATCTATTTAAATATTTGAACTCCGCGTGATCGTGCCTTGCGTACGGAAATTTCAACAGAGATGACGTCAGAATTGTGACAGTGTAGAACTTTGCGTCAAAATAGGGGTCCAACCCAAAGTTTCATGTTGATCCCTGTATTCTTTTTGTTGGTGTCATTCGATAGTTTACGTCGAGCTTTTTCAGGGTTTGGAATATAGGCACTTATTTCAATGCTACCCTGTATAGGGAAGATAGTTACTGTAACAAATATATTTTTCCACTCCCCAAACTGAAATGCCATGCTACTGAAGTTATTCAGAAAAACGTGTGGAAAATAGTCATGCATTTTTGATTATTATACTCTTAGTTTCACTATCAATTACAATCAGAGTCAAAAAGGAAAATTTCATGATGCTGAGTACTACTTCTTCAGAACAAGACGTATTTAAGATATTTTCCTGAAAATACGAATGATAGTGTTACATTCCATCATTTTAAAATTTTTCAAGTGCATATTGGTCATCTAAGTATCACCAAAATTTGATGGCGATTCACTTATCTAAGTGTAAGTGATTCATTTGAAGCTGGACTCGAATTGATAGTCGTATATCCTTATTCTAAGATGCTTTTTGAAGATAATATACAGGGTGGTTCCTTTTTCAATACGGAAAATTCAACAGCGTATAGTGCTCGTTGAAATATTGAAAAAACTTCTTATGACCCTATACTTTTAAACGCTTCGTTTTTGAGATATTGGGTGTCAAAAATACGCTTCTGAATATATTTTTTCAATCAAAAGTTAGAAACGTTAGATAAATTGACGAAATTTTTCACAGATACTAAACTTTTTGAGCTCTATTAGATTAAATGAAAATTATTCATAAAAACTATTCAGTGGCGGCTGAATCTAGGGTGGCGAAGGTAATAATTACACAGATTTTTCGGGTAATTATTTTTCATTTATTTTTCAAGTTTCAATGAAAAAAGCTCGCTTGTAAGATTTTATAACATTTTTCAGTTGAATAATACTACTTGATATCAATTAAAGAAGTAGGCTATGCTCAGTTGCTCACTGTTCACTGTTTATATGTGCTGTCACTCTGAAAGTTCTGTCAAAGAAATAACAAACTGGAGTTAATCCGTATTTTCATCGCAAAGTGTAATAATTTTATTCCAATTTTGCCGTTTGTCAATATGCCTATGGGATTTAGTAATGGAGAGTATGCAGATATTCATTTCGTTTACGGATTTCCCCAGGAGATGGGTACCTAATGCATGAGTCTTTATCAATACTCACTCACGTTTCTGTCAGTTTGGGTTACGTGGCAATAATGAACAATACCGAAATAATGGCCCACTGAGAAGAAATGATAACAATCACATTCTTAGATTTTTTTATGTTAACCAACAAATCAGTTCTAGAAAAGCAGCTCAACAGTTGCAGGTAATTTATAAACTAATATCATGTCATGCTTTTAGTAATTTTGGTTCTCTTTTTTCGTTTATTACTAGTTATCAGTTTATACTAATGCACGCATAAATAAAAGTTATAGTTCCGACTTTTATTCAGGTTTCAAAATGGAAAATTTTACGAACACTACATTTAGATCACAGGGAGCCTATTCATTCGATGCCGGTACAACATTTACATCCTGAAGATCCTGAGAAGAGAGTGTCATTTTCGGAATTTATCTTTTTACATAAAGTCTTATGGACTGACGAGTCAACATTTACCAGGGCGGCAGTTGTGAATTTTCATAATCTCCATGTTTGGTCCCACGAAAATCCGCATTTGATCCGTCCACGTTCCTTTCAAATCGAATTTAGTGTGAAATTATATAACTCATTCATGAACTGTAATAGGTCTAAAAGTTAGCTCATTGATATTTCCACAATAGATGTGAATTTCATCACAATCGGTTATAGCATTTCTGAGAAATCAATAAATAATCGATTTTTTAAAGAGACTTGAACACCCTATATCTCGAAAACGAAGCGTTTAAAAGTATATGTTCATAGGAAGTTAATTTATTATTTCAACGAGTACTATACGTTGTAAAATTTTCCGTATCAAAAAACGGACCATCCTGTATATATATACTTTGATTGAACAAAAATGGAACCGAGTCTTCAACAACAAACGGCTTCTTTAGAATGACGTGAAGGCACTCTAGTTGAGGACACTGCGTCTGACCACAGCCTACCACATGCTGACAATGAATGAATGATAAACCATCGGCATGAAGAGTTGCGCAGATATAAATAAAAAAGAACAGGAGAAAACACGAGAGGAAGTTTAACCAGGCCAGTTGGGAGCGGAATAAGTAGAAGTATGTCACTAAGTTAATGAATCAGTCATGCGCATTGGAGAGCAGTCTATGACTGCACATGAGTCGACTGAGAAGACCAAGACCAACAACACCAGTGGTAGAAAATTTTGGTACCTGCAATGATTCAGGAACTATTACAAGCCACACGTACAATTAATAAAGATTGAACTTTGTCAAATTGACCAATTATAAGTATCTCCAAAATTATATCGTATTCAATCTCTTGTAGATCGTAGTTGGACATTCATATGGAACATCATAGAAATGGAGAAGCTGCAGAAGGAAGTTATAAGAATTCAAAACACCAACATACTGAATTTTGAGATGAACATATAAAACGGATTTGCTTTTTGGTGTATGATAACTTGACATTCATCATACAGGGCGTGGAAAGAAATTCTGAATTGAGAATGGCTGTAAGAATAAGTGGACATCATGGTTACTGATGAGGATTCAGAAATCCGAAATGGTTTCATTGCAATAAAGTCATATAACCTGTGTGTGAGAGATAATATTTCCCATATCACTGATATGAATGATTATTTTTGGAAGTTTTCAAGCTCATCAAGATAAGAGTTTATGCCAGTATACTTCTCCTATACATTCCAATTTTCATTTCAATGCTGAATATATTGGTAAGTTATATTTCTATATCATTATACATCATATTATTCATCCGATTTGAAGAAGAATGTCAATTCTCAATTTCGGAGGTTTTTATTCTTCATTTTTCATGTTCTCCTTTCGAATGTTCATCAGATATAATTCAATGTTCGACGAGGCAAATAGCCAGGAAAGTAGTTGTTTTCTGTTGAATATTCAGAATGATGTGTGCATATACATATTTTTGTCTGAAGGAGAATGCAAATTCTCAATTTCAGAAGTTCTTATATTTTATTTTCAAACTCTTATCGTGTGTGTTCAATAAATGTTCGTCGTGGCATATAGCCAGGAAAGTAGTTGTTTTCTATTGAATCAACTGAGGAAGAGTAAATATTCTCATCACATAGAGAATGCGAATTCTCAATGTATTGCTTTATATAAATATATATCCATTTTTGTATGTTCATAATTCATCTGAGAATATTCCTTTTCAATATAAAACAGATCCATGATATATGATGGAATGCATTTTTTAGTATGTATATACAGATTTTTGATCCCTTTTGCAACATAACCTACATTTTCCTTCTTCTGGAAAGCCGAAGTTCGTGATGTGTGCTTCGAGTTAGGTTTTCATCACATACCAAGCAAAAAAACTAGGTATCGAGAACAATATTATGCCTTGGACTGAGAAAAATCTGATTAGTAACATTTTTCCAATGGTCTCCTCACTTGTGAAATTTGAAATTCGTACCTTTTCTATACAGGGTGTCCGATAAGTCATGGATCGAAGGAGATGAGGTGGTAGGAGTGGTTATCCAATTGTTGAAAGTTCAAATGTTATTATTTTTCTCAATTCTTTCCTGAAATCATGTTGTTTGTTTACTAAAAATATCCGCATGGATGTACCTTTCCCAAGAAATGATTTTCATGACCAGTGTTACTTCGTATTCATTAAGAAAACTGTTGTTTCTCTCAAGTTTTGTTGAATGAAATGATTTATTTGAATATCACCACAAAAATGACCAATTATCAGGAAAAGCTGTTCATTCAATACAGATTTCCGAAATAATATTATATATAGGGAATTCGAGCCTGTTTTTTCAAATGGGTTGCGTATACCAGGGAAATCGAAAAACTCTTGCACCGTCCACAATAATTGGATAACCACATATATGGTTAATTGGAATTTCACCTTCCCCCCTACTTATTCTGATCCTTGACTCATGAGACACCCTGTATATTGCAGAGTTTTCATTCGATGCTGCACGATTTCACTCTATTCAAAACTTCAAATGGAATTGTGAATAGTGAAAATACCTATCCCATGGTCATATCGACATATCCACGACTAATTTCTATGTCATATCACAATCTGAGAGATACTAACAAGGCCTGTCCATACTGGCAATCGAATATTCTGGGTTATTTCCCAAAATCTATTGGCTAAGCCTAATGAATTCTCAAAAATACCCGATCTCCATCAGTTACTCCAATGGGGAAGACCACTGAGAGGAGAGATCCGTGCAAACCTCTTTCAATGTACAATCAATATTATGACTTAAAGTTGAAGGGAATCGAATCTATATCGTTTTGTAATCAGCATATTTCATTCGATATTTCAAACAGCCAAATATGATGATGGAGTCGTGACGTATTAGTCCTGAACTGTAGCTATCTCTCTCTGATACCTCGTCATTCTGCAGTGTTGCAGTGTGATTGGTCAGTTCAAGGACAATAGGCGTGTTGGGAATAAGACGTCGCACCAGTCACACCAATGAATTGACAAAATTTCAAATGGCGCAGGAATTGTGTGTTTTGAATTGGACATATTCTAATTTATTTTTTCCATCGTCTTAGCATGAATGTCGAAATTCGAAATCGAAATTCTATAGCTACGTCAAAACCAATAGGGCTCAAAGAATTCCTTCTCGATAACTTTCACATTTTTTTCTAAACCATAACATACAACAATATCTTGCATTTCTACGGGGAAAGACTGATGGTGGAAAAGTTCTCCAACCGAACAGTTCCTTCCTCAATCAACTTATGCTTAGAGAGGTGGTAGTGAGTACTCGCTAGCATAGCTTTTACATGCTTTTACTCAAGACCACGACCCAGAATTAACACTATGTGAACATGAACTTGACACTACTGAACTGGCAATGAAGCGACTATCAGGTATCGCCGACAAGTGAATATAACCTGAGGCTTTGCAAGATTTTCAATGGAGCTCAATTATTACTCAGTTGTTCTGATGATACGATATCATTCTTACGAAATCGTAGAAAGGCCACTGTTGTGTGTATTTCATTTTATTTCTTTATTTGGACTTTGAAGAGAAAATAGGTAAGTCTGAATAAAGAAATAAAATGGAATACACACAACAGTGGCCTTTCTACGCTTTCGTATATTCTATATTGCAGATACATGGGTAGACTTGAAGCTCAAGGCAGAAACTGACTTCCAAGTCATTAGGAAATGGTTCCAACTCAACAAATTGACTCTGAACCTGAAGAAAATTCATTATCTTCCATTCACGTCCTATACTTAATCATCTGCCATACTTAGGAAGCTTGAATATCGGTAAAAACACGACAATACCTGAAGCAGAGTCTGTTAAATATCTGGGTATCATAATAGATAAACATTTCCGTTGGGATTTACTCGTTAATTTCGTAACGAAAAAAATCATTGGTGGATTTAAATATTTGTCGCAATTCTTCGATATTCATCACCTGAAAACAGTTTACTATGCACTCATTCAGTCTCACTTGTCATATGGAAAGAATAAATGTTGCACAAAAATGGGTTTTGAGAATTATTTACAATAAAAAACATACGTTTATTATTATTTCTAATGAGTAAAATCCTAGATCAAAGACAATTATACTGTCAGAAAAGACCACAACTATACCACTCGGAATAAAAACACCACTGTATATAAAATGCGATAAGAACGTTGGACGAAGAAGCTTTTGCTGTATTTGGGCCCGATTTATATCTGTGACCAACATAAACTCATTCAAATATATAGTTAAAATATGGATTCTCAACACACAAAGAGTATTCTTCAGTAATTTTGTTAACGATATAATGATTTCAACAAGAAAAATAATCTCCAGATTTTGACAAAATCTCATAAAAATGTCACAGGTATCCCGATTATGCAAATATATCCCGAATGTGTCAAACATACCCTGATTGTAAAATATACATATATCATGAGTTAGACACTTATTCTATATTTTATAATTAATTTCATATTTTTGTTTGCTTTTTGTGATAGTTTTATATATTTTCAGTGCAAACTCTCACGCACAAGCAATCACTTGCCTCTGTGAGTATCCATGTTTATTCATTTATAGTATACTAGATGAATATTGTTGATTATCGACCCGTAATAAACATTATCATTATTTTTATTATTATTATTATTATTATTATTATTCATTAGGTACTTTGTTGTGGTTGATTGTTCATATTGTCAGTCCTCTCATTATCGAAATATTGGGGAACTTTGAAATAAGGAGTATGCCAACGACACTGAAACTCATTGAGGGAGTTCAAAAAATATTATGTCACTGTTACCTGGCTAGAAATTTGGGATGAGTCTTTCACTGAATTCATGATTTACTCTTGGTGAGTTCTCATTGCTCTAATAATACGTGGAACCGTGAAAGATCAAGCCAAAGTAACTCTCAGAATCCAATATTTCTGTAGGATATCATGAAAGGATCAAGAAAAATGGGACTACTTACTGAACTTCATGAGAATTGAATTCAATTCACTGCATTCCGAACATTTCAAGGCTCAGTAGATTTGTGTCACCGGCATTTATTGTAGGTAGTAGTTTTTTCTCTGTTTACTCATTGTCACGTTTCTATTAATTCATAACAATTCTTCGCTATCTGAATTTCAAAATGTTTGAGTTACGCGAAAGAATGTACATCTCTTTGTTATATTTATATTGAGATAGTTTTATTGTCCTGAATTCTATCCTATGGACATAATGACAAAAATTTGAACGACAATCTACAATATATGTGTTCGGTTTATACCTAAGAACTTGACACAGGGAAAACTATGTTTTCATGTTTTTCATACGATGAATTGAAATCGTTATAGCTAGAGAACGGATAGTGCGATTCCACTCCGGTTTGCTCTGCTTGCAATGACATTTGAAGAGAAACAATTTGGAAAGAACGATTGAGAATCCTTACCTCAAAAAATTCAATTCTTTACCTTGATGTTTCTACCGAAAATAATATAATGAATGCGAAGGACTCCAGGATCTGATAGCTCGTACAAAAATATGAAAAAAAGGTTTCTATCAACTCACCTTCCAAACTGCATCATTTTCGAGATACAGGGTGTTGGAAATTGAAAAAAAAATTGTTTTTTTGCCTAAGCAAAGTACAGTTTTGAGTCGCTTATTCAAACAACCAATGTTTTCTACACAGAAAAGATACTCGTGGTCATGAGATCTTAAGTTGTCCGTTTTTGAGAAGAAACAACTTTTATGTTGAAAATCAGGGTAAATTTTTGAAAAATAATTTTTCTGGTAGAGTGGGTTGCTGAAAACTATAGGTACTTCTTCCAGTGGCGTAGAAGTTGGGAAGGAAAACACTGACTACCCTTTCAAAATCTCCACCAATTATGACCAAGAAATAAAAAAAATCCGCACAAAACATAGCTTATTACAAGTACACAATGATTACGGAAGCTGTCCTTTGTGCGATGAATGGTTCCAGAGATATTCGCAAAAAACGAATTTTTGTTCAAATTTCAACACCCTGTTTCTCGAAAATAGTGAATTTCAGAGGGTAAGTCAATGAGAGAATTTGAAAGAGCTATCACTTCCTGGAGTTTTGCGCATATATTATGAAACACCCTGTATAAACATTGACTACTATATACCTATAGAAAAAATGAACTATTTGGAAGAAACGTCAAAAGTACCACAAATAATTGAAATATCGAACAAATCAATTCTTCACCTTGTTTCTCAGACAGAAGAATAGGGTGAGATGGTAGTAAAGAAATGGCTGGTACACATTGACTTACATACCTTGGAAAGGAGACAATTTGGAAAAAGAACGATTGAAAGGAACTCAAAAAATCAAAATTTCCGAACCAATCAATTCTTCACCGTGATTTTCGCACATAAAATTAGGTTGAGATGAGAGAAAAAGAATGTTTGTATGAACATTGACTTAATGCCTTCGGAGAGGAGCAATTTGGAAAAAAAATTTGAATACACAACAGAAAATCGAATCAATTTTTTTCCACGATTTCCCCACAGGAAAAGAGATTAGAATAGGAGAAAAATAATAACTGAATGAATATTGACTCACATACCTTGTGTGGGCTGCAATTTGGAAGAAATGATGAAAAATACTTCGAAAGAATCAAGCTTTCAAACCAATCAATCTTTTGCACTTTTGCAGGTTTAGCTAAGCAAAAATTATTGACTGCATTAACATTGACTTATATTTTCTGTAATTTTCCAGATAATGAATGAATCTGGTATCTTTGAATGTATCTATTACTCATTTTGTTCCAAATTGGCTGACGCCATGAATTCTATTCTCGCAATTAATCTCCTGGATTTTAATTTTATCTTCAAGGACTTTCCGGAAGTGGAATTAAGTGATCTCAAGTATCAAATTGTACAGCTGATCTCAAAACATCAGAGAAATCATTCGAGATAATTCTCATTATATGTATTTTAGCTTCACTCAAGGCAGATTAAGTGTCCAGGTTCCTTGAAGAATGAAGGATCAACCCAGTAGCCACCAGTATAAATTTGTTAACTGAAAGCAGTTTCAAAAATTCAATTTCAACTAGTAAAAATCTTAATCAACGATACATTTTCAGATTCTTCTGCTCCTCACAATATTCTGATACTCCGCTACTCACCACTCATCAGACTCCTAGCCTCAGAAGAAGGTATCCTGATCCGCAATTCATGCTCTGTCAAAAACCTGATACACCTCTCAACAATGTTCTCATCATGTGTCACAGATTTCCCTTGCCTAGGTATACTCATCACTGAGATTATGCCACCATCGTCCTCAGAATTTTCCAAACTGTCAACGTGAGCTGTGAGTTCTGTTTCTATGCACTCCATTGAATCTTCACAGGGTGTTTCACATTTCGTTAAAACAAGAATGCTCAGGAACGAAATGGTCACTATTTTGTACATGTTGAGGTTGATTCGGAAACTAACATAAAATTGGCAAAAAAGTGTTACTATATTTATATTTTTCAAAGCAAAGTGGGGTTAATTTTGATACAATATGTAACACGGATAAAGAAGAACGTGGGCTGGGAAACAATGAGTGTCGCGAATCCTCAATTTTATAAATGTTCTTTGCAAAATTTCTGTATGTCTGCGTGATTGAGTATGCAATATGCACAATACTAAACAGTAATTTATTCATCAATCTCACCCATTGTCATCAAACTTGAATGAAGTTGAATATTAATTATATCCTGTTCTTCGCAAAATTTTTTCATCAGATGGCACCTTCCTTCAAATCTTCATAATACCATTTTAAGAAAAATAGTCTTCTTTGGAAATTAAATTACTTGTTGTGTTTCCATCTATCGTAAAACTGTGAAACCACTATGACTACCTACTCTAGTGTATAGTGTTGTGAACCACTTTCATATTACAGTTAAGTACCAACTGTTGGTTTCTGTTTTATGTTCTAAGGTTCCCCGATAGATGCTACCAGAAGTACTCTTCAAAATAAGTTTCATACTTTCTCTCAAACTATTTTGAATATAAATACAACTGAAAGATGAGTGTCAGTAAAACGATTTTAATAAATAAAATAAATATTATAAAACATGAAATATCTTAGTAACAAATTCATCACTAGTTAGACACTGTTGGGGCTTCATCCAAAGACCTTGCATAAGGATATCCATCCTGCTGATTCCATCCTCCCAAAGTATTGGTACCATATCCATAGGATGTGCTTGGGGTGTTATCTCGAGTGTTATATCCATTGTATCCATAGACTGGCTTGATTCCATAGCCGTATGATATAGGTAACATATTCTAGAAAATAGATACAGTATCCATCAGATCTGAATATCAACAATCAGGTGAACTCATTGCATACCAACACATATTTATAATTCAATAATAACTGTCTTTGTCTGTCGACCCAGAAATTAATTGTGCTGATGCCAACAGCATCTAACTCACTCATCGAATGATAAATGTTCGAATTATCGTTTACCCAGATGACTTGAACAGGTGTGTGATTTTAATGAACAAGAATTTTAAGATTGTCAGGTGCTGTGAAATATGTAATCTGTAGTACAAGTCCATGGTATCTTAAGTGGAGCAGATGAATGAAGAACCTAGTATTAGGGATCCCAGTCATCTTCATATAATTACGTTTTTCCTGATATTTTTTTTCGTGCTGATGCTTACCCTTCCACCTGAGAAGAATCCTTGGACGAAGAGGATTATAGAGAGAACTAAAGCAATTTTTCCAATGACTAGAGCCTTTGCTGAAATAAATCCTATTCCACCCAACATTATGGGTACTAATGTGAACATGATAGCTCCAAAACCTAGCTTGATGGGATCCAGCTTCTTCTTTTTATCACGACCTGAAAAAAATCTATTTCAGTCTCAGGAACATTGATTTGTTGACGTTATGTCTTTCATTGGAACAAGTAAACAAGAACACCTTCTGGTAAACTGTGATTATCGACACTTACTTTCTTCTAGTGCTCTAGCTAGTCCTTGTGCAGTATTTTCAGGAAGTCTAACCTGGAGAACACTTCCAAAAACGAATCTAGATGTAGCATTTATGAGCAAATCTAATAAAACTTCTTGTTTCTTCCTTGGATCAATCGGTAAATCGTGGGAATTCAACATTTTGCCAATCCTTTGTGATTCCGAGGAATTACTGTGAGAATAAAGTATAAGTGTTAGTTGTTTCATTCTTGAAAACTGGTATAATATGGGACGAAATTATTCAAATTCATGATTTCGTTATTTGTTCACCTGATGATTTCCAATCCTGGAAAAATCTGTAGGCTTCTCTGTTCTGATGCTTTCAATACCATCTTCAGAGATCTCTCAGTCATGCAGTTTATGATACCATATAGACCACCTTGTTTTGAGCATTTATCTATGAATCTTGTTATCATATCAGGAATTCCATCCTGGAAAAAATACGTCTTCGTTTCAATTTCATTTCGATTTTTCAATGAATTCACATACCTGTTGTAAAGAGGATCCAACCACGCAAAGAATCACGAAGAAGTATTTTTCCATCGAATTCATTTTGAAAATAACCGAACCAAATTGATATATTTCGTGAAAGATCACTGTTGAATGGTATATCTGATGATATTGTAGCTTATATACCCATTGGTTTCCCTTCTTGAACTCGGAATTTGGTGACAATGAAAAAATGTATTGTAAAATGTTACTATTTCAAACAAAACCTTCCCATATTTCGAGGTGACCCACTGGAGAACGAGAATAAGCAATCAATACTATTTGCTCTGTATGTAACCCGGAAAGAACATTCTGTTGCATTTATTTCTAGACAAAACTCTTTCATAAATCTTGAACAAATTTAGTTTTTTGACACTCACTGAGTATCAGTCACCTACAGTGAGCAGATGAATATTTCTTCCTCATCCTGGGCAACTACAATTGTTCTAGTTTTTTGCTAAACGAGAAAATGTCCCTGATAAAATGTCCTTTCCAAATTAACAATGTGATATTCTCCAATCCCTCTCTGTTTTTTCTTCTGATTGAGTTGAACAGGAACTTTAAATGAAAACAAGTGGAATATAGAAACAGTTTCATTCCAGATTCAGTACAACATACTCTTGCCAAAGTTACAGAACACGATTAATATGAACACTATCAACTGTCTGATTTTTCGATACGTGTTTCAAGAGCCTCGTCGATCCCCTAATGGCAGTATTTGAGCCTGTAGACTTCAGAGTTTATTATAGTATTTAAAAAAAGGAAACACACATGATTTTTCGTAGTGAAAGACACGCTTTGAATTTTGAATCACCGTTACTCCATTTTAAGTAATGATATCTTCAATAACAAACGTTTCCATACCAAGCTGGATATTATTCCGGACATTGGAACGTGTCAATCGAATAACAAATTCCATAGGCGGAGGTAGAGTTTCTGATCCATTCAACAGTCGAATATAACGAAAAGAATATCGAAGAAAAGATCATGCTGAAGGTTTATTGATATTCGATACAATAGTTCAGCTTTTACAATACAAGTTCTTGAAAATACTTCCTTATTTAGCAAAGAATTTCTAGACTTGTCCTTTGACAGACGAGTTGTCATATGTAGAAACACTGTTCTGGAATCGGCATAATCTGTGCTTCGTAGATCATAGAAAGCTGTTGAAGTGTGAAGTAGCATTTTGCTCAGAATAAAAGTACCGAGTTTTTGTGAAGCAGTATGTGATAGATCTTACATCATTTCCGCTGACTGATGTATAAGATATTGTGGATTTTGTGAGAATGGTGATATCGAACACCGTTATATCAGGAATACTGAAATAGGATCTTTGGAAAAAAATACCTACACGCTTGAGTTTTGGTTTTTAGGTGATATTTCTGAATTTTGGTAACTCTGACTTTTGTATCAAAATCTTTTTGCTTAAACTTTTTTCCAACTCTTTTTTTTTCTATTTGTATCTTGAATTCCTCGCTCTCTTCCACTCGTAAACCTTGGATTTTTGAATATTCCTGCTCTAAAAATTCGATTCTCAAGTTTTTTTTTTATCGCTTGGAGCGCACGAAAGGGAATCCCTATAATGTTCAAAGAACATCGTGCGTTCCTAGGGAGGATAAGGATAGGAGGTATAGGTATTGAAATTTTTTGACCTTCTGGAGATTATATGTTGTTGGGAATACTTCCTCAGGCAATGAATTCCAGAGCCTAGCCGTTCTATGGATGAAGGAGTTTTGATAAAGTGCTGTTCGACATCTTTCGAGGTTGACAACGAAAGGATGTGCTGACTGGGCTTGTCTAGTTCTTCTGACTGGTATTGCTAGTGAAGGGATGATAGCAGAGATTTCCGAAGAACATTTCCCGTGGAAGTATCGATAGAAAAGTGAAAGGTCGCCGACCTTTCTACAGTGTTCCAATGATGTCAAAGACTGAGTGAGTGTGGCTCACCCACCAGGCGGATGGCTCTTCTCTGGATGGAATCTAAGAGCATCAGCGTATGTTTTGGTGCTGAACCCCATATGTGGGATCAGTATTCTAGAACAGGCCGTATCTGAGTCTTTTTCTTTCAAAATATGTTCGAAATGAATTTTATTATCTGCAAGTTTCTCATTTCCTGTTGGTTATAAATTGGAATAAGTTTCTTTTCGATACTCGCTCACAGTTTATGAATTGTGGGTTCGGCTCTTTCTCTCAATACGATCCTATTCTTCAACATCAAATCTTCCGTTCTGAAGTGTACCTGATAAAAATGCGTTGAAAAATGTTTTACCAATGAATTTGAATACCTCGCAAATTTTGTGGCCTGAACCTATATTCCATGCCGGCCTCATCATATACTACTTCCATTGTTAAAGAATCACGTTATCCGATGGAAATTCGAATAGAGTGAATTGATTTACCGTGTTCTCACAATCGGAAACTGCACAAACTTGCATCTTTCTCCTAAATCTCTCAATTTGTCAAACCTTTGAAATTTATATCATGTGCGTCCGTGTACTGTCAGTTCCCGCTTTTCCCATCAATTTATTTGTGGTTATGTCTGCTTGTCATAGTGTCCGTACTCTAATATTCGTGAAATTCACGAAGTGGGCGACATCTACGTTGCATAGTACGAACTTCAATCTGGGGGAAAACAAACTGTTGTCTATGGATAAAGTGCATAGACTACATTGCATTCAGATTGCTGTAGCTGTAGTCAAACTTGTCAATGACATAAAGTGTTGGCACTGTTGGTAGTGATGATGGTTGAGTTGGTTAATTTTTTTACATTATCACATTTTCATTAGTGAACAGTGAAAGGGTGAAGAATTAGAGGTAGTTTGAACGTTTCAAACTAATTATGACGAGCAAATCAATTGACATATAAAAGAACAGCTACAACATGTTTACAATAACCAGATTGTCCTGCTTTGCAGGAACAAATACAAATTCATTGTTCTAAAGGAGTTCCTCTGGACCCCAACTTCAATTCAACTTCATGTGGGGAAGATTTCATCACCGAAGTTTGTAGACAAAGTGCAAAAATGTGCCTTTTGTTGAAGTCTCCTGCCTCACACAAAACCACATGATTAGCACGTAGAACTGCTTCTCCTTCCACTACTGGTCGGCTTTTTCGATCTTAATAGAGCAAAATATCTGCCAAAAGAACATCTACAATAGGCGTTTTCGATCGAAAATTGATTGAAAACTCATCACTTTTATCAATACACAGTACACAAGCTAATGGCACTGGAGGAATTGAGTGAGGATTGAGTTTGTTTTCCCCCAGTTTTGACGTGGCTTTGACATGGAACGATGAAAACCGAGCGCCACCTGGTAACATCGATTCCCGCGAATACAAAAAACGTCAAAACAGCAGTGTCAAGTACCTTTAGGAACTCTACTCTTCTCTAGAAAGAAGAAAAAAATAAAAATTACTATCCGTGCGGTCCATATGATGAGATTGAAAAAATCTCCGCCTGTGTTTTATCGTAAATGTTATACGCAAGACTCTTCCTTCGTACCGCAACAGCTCGAGCAGAACTCCAGATAATATTTGACATTAGCAGTGCCCATTAGAATCAACATGAAAAACGACAGCTCGAGGAATGGATATCGTGGCGGCATTGTATCTGCTCTGCTAACATTTTGTGTCTTCACCTGCGCACATCAAGTACTCCTTGAGACTATGTGATTTCTTCGTTGCTCGCCTGTTATTTCCAAAGACATTTCGCGGCAAAAGATGCGCTGGAATTTCCTTTGGAATTTTGCTGTTTTGGCGCTGGTTTTTTTCTGGGAAAGTGTCCAGGGGGAGGATGGGGGGAATGATGAGGGTAAAAAGGGGTGTTGTGACTTGAGCAGGGGGTTGGAGACTTGGCAAGGAACGTGGTCTGTGTTCCCCACTGCTGCTAGCTGGTCTTTGGCCACCAGGATACCTATGACGACAGGTGAGATATGTACAGGATGACACGTTATACAGTACCACTCTCTATAACTTTATTATTTTTGACAGTAGAGAAAAAAAATGGAAAAACAGCCTTAAAGGGGATTTTTTCCTCATCGAATCAACTGATATATTTTTAGTATCTCAGAGGATATACAGGGAGCAAGACAAAGTGTTGAAATTTTGAATGGAGCGCCCTATATATTTTCGCGCCATTAGATAGACCTTTCAAATATACCCCACTCAATACATTTATCTTCAGTATTTCTCATGATATGGGCAGTCTAACCTAAAAAAAAAGAGTTTATCGATCCTCCAATGATTTTTGAGAGTATGCTGTGACAATGAATTTAGGTAATTAATTTATCGTTGTGATGGAATATTACCATTTGGAAAACGCAATTCATAGCCACTTGATTATTTTCAATGAATGTTACTATTTCTTGCTTTTCTTCATTTGAATGAACACAGTTTCAAGAATTGATTATGGAGGAATTTATCTTCCCTTTTTTTCTGATTTCAAAAATATACATGAGTTGCATATTTGAATCAGAAGTAATTGAGTTATAGATTATCAAAGTTTACAAAAATACCGAATCTTCTATTGAAAGTGTCTATTCACATTTTTTCGTAATAAGATTGAACGATTTCAATTTCATAATAAAAAATACTATGCCATTTCCATTGAGCTTGAATAATATATAAACGGTATTTTGACAAACATTAGATGATATGAAGTGAAGGTTCACAATGTGGCATATGTTTGAAATAAAAAGAAGGCTTTATCATCATGTCGTGAATTATATAGGATGTTCCATTGAGAAATCAAAGTTGATGTCCTTTCTGGAAAGACGAATGACCCTGTATATGAAACAACTTCACGAATTGGTTTGGGTCGTCACCAAACATTTGTTTATATCTCTGAAAACGGAAGAGTCATAAGGGATTCCATTTTAAGACGCGCACCCTTACAGGGTGAACAAATCTCGAGAAAAATTGTTGGATAATATTGAAGGCGCACTATTCTACAGTGCTTTCATGAATTACCAACTGATTGAATCACTTGAAACAGAGGGAGATTTTCAATCCCAATATCCACATTTATGAGAAAACATTCAATGTACAGGGTGATCCACGTTTGAGTAACGAAAAATTGGGGATATAATTTTTGGAAAGAACGCTCGTAGCCGTCAAATTCTACGGCTCACTGAAAAGAGAACTGGAGATTTTGATAATTGAATAATATATAGAGTCTTCCATTAAAAAAAAGTCGCAGACGTCAATACTTAAACTTGGATCATCCTGTAAACTTCATATTACCTAACGAATGTGGTGAATTTAGATGGATTCGACCTGCTGTTTCAGGAGATTCCTCAGAAATGGATAGTTTGGCTCAAAATGAATTGATTCAGTACTTTTACTTTTACGATTTATTTAGCAGTAAGTAAAGAGTTTCTCTATATTTGTACGATGAGTCGATATTGATTGGTCACAATCTTTTGAGAAATATTTACTCATGTAATAATATCAACACCATCATTATGAAAATGATGATTCAGCAGATAATTAAACTTTGGCTTTTTATCCGATTCCGATTCTATTCTCAATTGAAGATCATGACATACTGTATTTTAGGATGAAATAACACATTATTTTCACAAAAATCGAAATCTACTTCTTGAATGTTCAGGAAAGGGGATTCAAATGATACCTAACCGATTTCTGTCACAGACATCTTGAATGCATGTAGATATTTTGGCATGAATACAGTTTTTTTCTGGTATTCGGTGGATCACCTGATCAGAAAAAATCTTCAACGAATGACTGAAGCTTCAGAAACATTATTTCTAGATATGTTCCATGATATTTTGTGTAAAATTGTTGATATGATTTTTTCATTTTTACCCCACCGAAAATATTTTCTCATACTTTGTCCGAAAGTACAATTCATCGTACTTTCTTGTGAGAAATATGAGTTTTCGTTCCTTCAAGGATTTTTTTTCTCTCAAAAATTCAATTGCCTGTACTGTTTTTCATAACGAAATTCCTGAAATTTCCTGGTTTGATGAACATACAAAAACATACCATTACTTACTTATAATAGCGATATCCTCTGTATTTCTTGTCACATTTGACCTCAATGAACTGTATCACATTGAATACCAGGTTGAATAATTCTAGTGTAAAACTCCACAATTTTAAAAGTGTAGGTCACAATATCAATTAACGGAATGATTTATAATTAATCAACACTGATTGAAGATAAAAAATCAGGAAAGCCAACATAAGAAATTAGCTTCTTGCCCTCAGACAAGCTTGATTTTTATATACCTATCAAATAAGAGAAGAAGTTTAGAATATTGGGAAGGCAGAGAAAAATGCAAGAAGAATATGGCGAGAATTAAAACAAGAGGAAGAAGAAGACCGGATTGAATTAGATTCTTCTTTTTAGGTCCTGGCAAAGTACTATAATAACAATTTTTTTCTGTGACGGGAAAAAAAGTTTGGCATTTCATCTCTGTTGGCAGGTTATAAAATGTCACTTTTCATAAATTACTTTCTTCCTGTGGGAAAAAAGTGAGTACTCTCAGATTTTCGTAAAGTTTCTCATTTTCTCATAACATACATCAACTTTGGTTTACCTTAAAATGCCTTGAATTTCTTGCGGTAATTCGACGAATATTTTCGAATATTTTTCTCAGGGCACTTAACGAGTGAAATGAACCGATAGGCATGTATTATCGATAACTGTAGAATTAATAGGAAATGCTCACAATAATGTTAGTTTATACAGGTTTCTGCTCGCATTGTGTCACGAAGTATCTCGGTATATAGAGGGTGATACCGCAAAATCAGACCACACAAATAATAATCAAATATTATTGCTAAAGATAAGTAACTCCTCCCCACAAAATGGTGGGATATACTTGATATCGGCTCGGATATAAGTGTCTCTCATCGATGTTCCCCATTTCTTTTCCAACAGGAGAATATTTCGTAGTAGAGAATTTAATCTATAGTAGATGAAATAATATAATTGAATTCGTTGCCGAATTTCACATGAACACCTATTGTTATTCATCAAAATTAGAAATATGAAATGTATAAGGTATTATTCATTTATTTCAATGGAAACTATACGTTTACAAATAGAGCCCTTATAGGAATTAAATCCACTGGTGAAGTATGAAGCAATTTAAATCAATTAATCTAAAAAAGAACTGGAGATACTAATAGGTAAGACTTTCTGTTGGTTTGAACTCCCATAACAGTTTTAGTTTTTTTGGGACAAACAAAAAATGTTGTGGTATGGAAACCTTATCATTATTTTCGTATTGATAGATACATTACTGGTTTGGATCGCCATTATTGAAGAGGAGGATCAAGTTTGTCGAAAAGTTCGTCCAAGCCGAACTTGATTAACAGAGCATGATTTTTACGCACGACAAATTCAATGTCTCACCTGATGTCATCTATACAGTACTTACGCGTATAGGTACCTACCATAATTATTATTCATATTTGCCTAAAAAACTGGGTGATTTGGACCGTTCTATCGAATAGAATATCGCGCTTCCTTGAGAACGTGAATATTATTAATATAAATGATTTTCCTCTTCTAGAAAAGAAGATAACAACCAGAGGAGGAAAAGCAAGGAATCTGCTCACATTCTTCTGAACGGAGACAATAGCATTGCTTTCTGTTCAGTTGATATAGATGAAACATGGTATTCACTACTGAAATCTGAAAATGAAGATGGTGAATTCAAAATTGATTGATAAAATCATCCTGTAACTCATTCGATTGCCAACGTCACTAATTGTCAATGAGAACTGATGAGTGTCAAGACAAATGAAAAATTGTTGTTTAAATATCCATTTTTCATGTTAAAACAGGAGCAGATTCGTTCCCGAAACGTCCAGAGTGGAAATCTGATATTTTTTCTATAGGTTTACCTTTACTTCCATTCTCCAAACCTCTTTTCAATGCAAATTGTCACTGGCAAGCTAGTGAATTTTTATTTAAGGCTCTCTGATAGGAAAATTCTTCAAACACAGTGACCTTCTGGAACAAATCATCTGATTTGTCCTTACTACACGTATACTGGAATAATATTAATATTTTCATTTCATGGAAACGAGGAGAGAAAATCCAAAGAAATCTGGAACAATGAATTTACCACCTCCTCGATTAACCTACAATAGTTTTTTATTATACAAGGGAAAAAAGTAGTAGATTTTAGCTCCAGGTTGTGTTGTCTCCCGACGCGTAGCGGAGGGAGACAAAAAACCGTGAGCTAAAATCTAACATTTTTCCCGTGTATAATACACTATTTTTTTCTGTGACAGTAGAAAGGACTAATCAACATTGAGAAGATATTACATTATTTTGAAATCTGAAAATTATCGACGTGAAATTTTAAGTTTTTAACAGAGTAGGGACACCTGCGTTGTAGACATCTTCATCATTCTTTTGAAGAATATATGTCACTTCTGTCAGTCTAATTCTGTGATTTGATTTCGAAAAATTGCGAATTTGGTGGTTGTTTAGTAATATACGTAACCGCGAATTCGAATGGAAGATAAATGGACTTGCAGTTCTTTCGTGGAGACGTCATTATTTGAATAATTCCAATGGTCTTCCTAGATTGCAAAAACAACGAATTTGACTCACAATGACAAAATATGTTTGTTTTTTCAGCAGATTTCATGGATTCTGGTAGACAAGGACGAGGGAAGAACAAATACAAGAAGAAATTCAAGAAATTCATGCTTCCGCTGTTGCTGGCCTACAAACTGAAGTTCTTCACGCTGATCCCAGTGCTGATCGGTGGTCTGATCTTGCTGACAGGAGCGACTGGCTTAGCAGGATTCTTCTTCGCGCTGTTCGCTGCAGTAATGGGGCTCAAGTCTGGACATAGTGGTGGTCATAGGACACTAGTTTAGTCTGAGAAAGTTCCTGAATCTTTCACTGTCTAGAATTATCCTCATCCCTAGTTATTTATTATTTAGTTTATTTATTAATTTACATATCATGTAGTCTTTGTAGAGTTCAGGAAGTTGTTCAGCTGAGTGCAATATCCTCAATAAAGATAAATAAACCATTATATTATGAATTTTTAGTCAAAGCTTACTGCACGTCTTTCAACAGTGATAACACAAGAGCTTTTTTTATTGCATATTTTTCTCTTATTAACGAGAGAAATTGGTCATTTAGTCTTATATCAGTTTCTCGAATGGAATTACTGATGGACAATGTTTGAGTTAGTGAGAAGAATTGAATGAAAAATGAGCTGGAGTATATTTTGGCTAGATGAATCAACGACAATATATCAATAAACAACAATAATACATTGATGATTTCGTGTTGCTAGTATTATTTTTTTATATCTCTCGTGGTTTCTTCAGACGAAATTTTCCCGATACGGCTCATCTTCAGAATTTTCGTGTAAACATATAATTAACATATAATTAATCTCTGCTTCGAAACATCCATAATACCACGACAATGGAAAGAATCTATCGTAACCCCTATCTTTAAAACAGGAGACTCCACTCTCATGAACAACTATAGACCCATTTCTGTCATCAATAACTTTGCCAAAATATTTGAACATGCTTTAAAAACCAGACTGCTTGATTTTTTTAACATACACAAAATCATAACAGACAGACAGTACGGTTTCATTAAGCAATCTAGTACCGAAAACGCCATAGCTGATTTTCTCGAAAAAACAGTGCAAGCTTTAGATGAATCATCAAAATGTCTGGCTATTTTCCTTGACCTTGCAAAGGCCTTTGATACGGTCTCACATAATATCCTTTTAAAAAAATTAGAAAACTACGGAATTCGAGGCATCGCATTGGACCTGATGCTGAACTATTTGAAATATAGACCACAAAAAGTAAAGATTGGAAAAGAAGTGAGCTCAGAATTGACTGTCAAAATGGGTGTACCACAAGGGACTATCCTGGGGCCACTTCTTTTTTTGGTTTATATGAATAATATAGTTCAAATACGAGACTTATCGTCCAACATAATATGCTATGCTGATGACACAGTCTTGATACTCACAGGTACAAGCTGGGAAGAATTAAAGTCAATTGCAGAAGCAGATCTAAGAAAATTACAAATTTGGCTGGATAATAACCTACTCACCCTCAATGTCATCAAAACTAAATTCATACCTTTTACACCTACAGTTAATACGCAACCCCCCACAGATTATCTTATAAACTTACACAAATCTAGTTGCACTGGAACTAATACATGTACCTGCCCAGTAATAGATCAAGTATCATCTATAAAATACCTAGGAGTGACCCTGGATCAGCACATTCGCTGGACCGAGCACATCTCGAATGTTAATAAACGACTAAGAGCATCACTGCACAGATTTTACACACTAAGAGATATCCTCTCACGCAAAAACCTGCTAATGCTTTATACTTGCCTAGTAGAATCGATTTTAAGATACAGTATTATAATATGGGGAGGAGCCTTTGTTAACAACTTACGTCCTCTACATATCACACAAAATTCCATCATAAAAATCATATTCAGAAAAAGGAAACAGTATTCCACAACATTACTGTATGAAGAAACAAAAATACTTCCAATCAGTCTATTGTATGCTCATCAATGTATAATTCGAGTATACACAACTAAAAACTCACTTCGAAGCAGATCTGTTCAACCAACTAGACAAACTAGAAATGAAGAATTAGCAATACATACATTTAAAAAAACTATAACCCAGAGAACATTTCTATTCTTCGGTCCCAAATTTTACAATTCAATACCGGTACATTTAAAAAAAATTAACACACTAAATAAGTTCAAAACTGAAATAAAGAACTATATCCTGAGAAACAAGGAAATATTCTATAAAATACAACGATAGTTACTACAAAAAAAAAAAAAAAAAAAAAAAAAACAAGCTCATCCCACCATTGCTGCTATCCCTGCCCTCTACCAACCGTTCAAATCAAATATCAACAAAATTTTGGTTAAAATTAATGTACACATATTGAATACACATGCGTGTGAAGTCTCTATACTTATTTTTTTTTTCTTTTTTTTTTTCTTTCTTCTTTTAAATCTTTGCCCGCCTAAATTTCTAGCATTAGTTCATGTACAGTTACAAATAGTTTTTAGAGAAGCCCTGGATACAACCCACACACAGGCTATTATGCCTAGGTATGTTGTACTCAGAGAGCAACTCTAACCCCATTTTTGTAAAAAAAAATAAAATGTAATATTTTTGTACATGGAATACTTGAATAAACTTGAAACTTGAAAACTTGAAACAATACCCAAAAATCATATACCTACTTGACAGAACAGAAATTGAAGTAATGGGCGCATATACTAGATGAAGTATGGTTTTGAGGAACAAGCATTTTCACAGCGATAAAAAAGATGCACTTTTTTTATCGATGTCAAAATAACTCACGTCATTTTCCAATGAAGTTTACTGTGTGAATGATTTATCAGTGGAAATTTCACAACTTACATTTTCGACCAGTTAGGAGCATGCATTTTGTATCGTCACCATAGCAACTGACCAAATTTCCGGAAAAGTTTTCCTCCTCTTTGGGGACCTTGGAGGAAGGAGCATGAAATAACACTAGAAATTTCATGTTGTTATAAGTGAAATGAAATCTACAATTAATTTCAGGTTATGTCGAATTAATTATATAAGTTGATGAGTTCCTTGCAAAAAAAACTTAGCTGAATGAATTTGTGAAAAACTGAATAATTAAGCTATTATCGACATGTTTTTATTGTCATTGGAATAAAGTCGGTTCATTATATTTCATTCAACCGGATGATATTTTATTGACACTAAATAGTACTTCAAGTTTCTTGTGAGAAAAAATTTTGCTACCAACTTCGGTAAAACGAGTTCGTGAAAAACTGAGGAATTGAGTTACTTAGTTTTCTTTTTATTTCGTGTAATTAAAGTAAAATAATTGTGTTTTATTCACCATAACAATGTTATGGATATGAATTTCATTAATACTACATACTGCTCCGAAATCCTTGTAACAAAATATGTTTCCATCACCTTCAGTGAAATAGAGTTAGTAAAGAATAATGATTTCAACTACCCTCAGCTGCATCATCAATATTTTGCTCTACTGAAGTCGATATTTTGTATCATATCCAGAGTATGGTCATACTTACTAGTATTTGTTCAATAATATTTTGGTGTAAACTCTATATCTTCGAAACCGGAAATTTCTCTCGAACACAAATATTCCGAAAATTTTCCCTCATCATATATTTCCAGTACAAATTTTAGCACCAAAACATACGCTGATGCTCTTAGATTCCATCCAGAGAAGAGCCATTCGCCTGGTGGGTGACGCCACACTCACTCACTCTTTGACATCATTGGAACACCGTAGAAAGGTCGGCGACCTTTCACTTTTCTATCGATACTTCCACGGGAAATGTTCTTCGGAAATCTCTGCTATCATCCCTTCACTAGCAATACCAATCAGACGAACTAGACAAGCCCAGTCAGCACATTCTTTCGTTGTCAACCTCGAAAGATATCGAACAGCACTTTATCAAGACTCCTTCATCCATAGAACGGCTAAGCTCTGGAATTCATTGCCTGTGGAAGTATTCCCAACAACATATAATCTCCAAAAGTTAAAAAAATCCCAATACCTACCTCCTGTCCCTATCCTCTCTAGGAACGTACGATGTTCTTTGAACATTATAGGGATTTCCTTTTATGCGCTCCAAGCGATAAAAAAAATATATTCATTGAATTCTCAAGATTTACTATGTCAAAAACCTGTCACAGCAAGACTCGTCATGATTATCCATATTCTAAATGAAAAATATCGAAATCAAAGGAAATGTTTCTCATATCATGTAATCTGTGAGTAGCAATAATTTGTTTTAGATAGCTATAGTATTTGAAGCAAATAAATATGCAAGATATCTGAACTTTTCATTCACTTTTGGAACCGTCTCATAGAAATTGTTGAAATCGCCCTGTAACCTGATGCATATCTAATATAAATACGTTTTCGATAAATCTAGTCACATGCCGGAAATAATTGTGGATATACCATACGATTTCACATCTTCTCAATGGGTATCCATAACTGCATAATATTATTACCATAACTGTAATCATATAATATAGCGAATTCTTTGTCAAACAGACATGATACTATACAGGTTGAATCAGTTGGTGGTAAAACGGCCATAATATACAGAGAAGTGCACAAAAAACGGCCAGGACTATAACATTTGAATTATTCAAGATAGCGTTTTGAAATTTAGTGAATAGCAAGTATACCAAACTGTTCATTAATTGATGAAACAATTGTTCTTCTATCACTTCCAATTTCTCCGGAAACGACCCCAACTTTTGATTTTCGAAGGAGACACCATGTATTGTATTCCATAATCGGTTAGGGATTATCATGAAGAACTCAACGATACCGGGTTCGATGAGGTTATTTCAAAGGATTACAGAGATATTTGCGATTGCAGCTTCTTCTTGGGGTTTGGATTCGGTTTCATAAAGAATTTCAAAGGATTAAGTAGAAAAACGTTTGTCAATTTATTAATATTTAGTTAATCTGTAAATAATGGTTTTCATTGAGAATGGTTTACATTGTGGAATGATAGTAATGAGAACTAATTCAAAAAAAGAGAGAAAGTTGAAAACATTTCTGTTTCATCGTTCCATGTGGATTAGATGAACGAGGGAAACTATGATTTGTTGAGGTTAATTTGGAGCTGTTTGTCATGACAATGCAAAAGACATTTGACTAAAAATAATGAAAGATGACAAGAATGACATGGAAACAATTATAGAATCATATGTCAGGTAAGAGTTTTCTTCTTTGTTGTTCTTTCAACTTTGACAACACGAGTGTTTTATAAATTTTGGCAGATGTGAAATGCAATATTGAAAAATTGGAAAACATTTTTTTGAAATAGTGGACTT